TAATGAACATTGAAATCGATGTACTGTTGAACGAATCTGTTGAACAATTTGTTTAATTTGAATGATAAATAATTCAATCATGAATAACAGATAAATCATTGCATCAAACAGTTGACCAATCAGATAAATGGTACGTAATAATAGATTAATTATCAATAAGCCATAAAAATCATTGTAAAGAATGTAATGTCATCATTTGCATAAAATGAATACAGATTATATAGGCCAAACATTCCGGATACACACAATGCAATCACAATGGTTATGTCCAGTGATTTTATAATCAATTTACCAATACGTATAAAACGTGTTAAATAACGACGATATTGTGATTGAAATTTTCGATCATCAAATTGCCTATATCTAATGAATTGATCATTTGCTTTGAATTTATAGCGAAGAATTTTTCGTAATAAAATAAACCAATGATATTCAAGTATGATGAATGTAATGATTTGAAATAATAAAAGTAAATCAGATCTTTCAAAATGAAATAATTGAATAAAACTTTTCATTGCTGCCAATAACACTGGATTTGGATAAAAGAATTGATAGAAAATAAAAATAACATTCATCCATGAATTCATTGTCAACCATATTGTACGATCAAATGTATGATATGACCATGGAATCTTATGATTCTGATAATCTTCTAATGAATATTCCAAACGGAAAACATAGAATTTAAGACATTCAAAACAATCATCTATAATATTGCCAATAATTATATAATCAGTGGATGTTTGATGATGTTGATTATTAGATTTTTGTAAATTCTTCATCGTGATTTTTTGTTGTTGTTGTTTCGTTGAAACAATGATCAGTTATGAAATGAGAAGGAAAAAAATATCCGTTCATTATGATTATCGATTTGATTGAATCATGAATCAATCGATAAAAAAAAATTTTTCATTTTGAGAAAGAAGGTGACTAAGCAACAACAACAACGAAGAAAGACCTTGAATAATAACAATTTCATTTCATTCAAGTAACGATGAATCTGCGTACTTGTGTGTGATATCAAAAAAAAAAAAAAATAAAAAATAGGAAATGGCCAAGATGAATATGATTGAAATTGATTTTTATTTCAGTAAATAAGATTTCAAATTGATTTCAAATGTTTGTTTAATTTTTTTGTGGGAAGGAGGAGGAGAGGAAAAACATTTTTTAAATTAATTTTTTTTTTTTAAATTTTCAATTTAATGTTCAAAAGTAAATTGTGGAAACAAAAATCGACCAAGATATTAATAGAAAATGAATCGGAGTGAAAAAAAACAATGATTAAATTCAGTCATTCAGGCATCAATTGACGTCGTGTAAACAAATTTTTTTATAAAACAAAAGAATTAACACAAAATTCATCAAGAATATTTCAATAAATTTAAATTTTGTAATAAAAAATGCCTGTCCACAGGTGAAACCAAAACGATGATTCATCGACGAAATTGTCTGTATGAATAGATTGGATTTGATTTGATTACGAATCCATAAACGGTGATTATAACGTCGTCGTGTTTGCAATTTTAATCGATTATTATTATTATTATTATTATTATCAAACCATTGTAAACGTGCCAACCAATTGAATAGATAATGGTAACCAAATTGATTGTAAGATGGAAATTTTGCCACACGCATATACAATGCATTTGAATAACAGAATGGTGATAAAAACAACAAAATGGCCAACACGCTATAAAGATTCATATGAATTTGTTGGCTATAAAATAATGTACCACAAATGAATGCCGATTTTGATATGAATTCAATATCAAGAAAAATACTACTCAATGTTTCATTTAATATTGAAGTTTCTGTGAAACATTTTACATAATTTTCAGAGAATTTTTTCCAATTTAAATTTAAATAATAATAATGGCTACGATGATTATTGTGATAATATAAAAAAAGTGTTGAACGTTTATAACAATATGATGGCCATTGTTCGATATAAACAATCGGAAACAATGACGATATATCGAAAATTATTTGTTGAAATGAAAATTTAAAAAATTCAATAATGAACAGCAAATATTTCATTGCGCCAAACAATTGTCCAATCATATAATTTGAACGCCATAATGAAATGAGTGATAATAGATGAAATATCGATAAATATGTCAGATTCATTTCACCATTTGAATAATAACAAAAACATTGATATGAAATCAAAATGAAAACTTGAAAATTCAACATAATCATTATAATAGTGAACCATTTTGCAACGAAATTAAGAAAATGAACAAATGTAGAATATTGTTGATGATATTGTGGAGACAATCGTTGTTGATCATCATCATCATCATTCATTGAATATTTTATCAATAATTTTTGTGATTTAAAATTGTAATTTAAAATCTTCTGAAATAAAACATACCATGTATGTTCTAATATAATGAAAATAATGACCAAATTGATGATAAGAAATACTGATTTTTGTATTTGAAATTGTTTTTCAAAATCCATAATCATTGCAACACTATTATCATTCAATGACCAATATACTATGGCCATCATGAAACCGATAGAAATCCATGAACAAATTGTCATCCATATAGTACGATAATAGGAATGGAATTCATTCCATCGACATTGATGTTGTTCATATTGATCGGATGAATATTCTAAACGAAACACATAATATTTAATACAATCAAAACTTTTTTCCGCTATTTCATTGATGTAAACAATTTGTTGCCGATGATTGAATAGTAATAATGATGATGATGATGATAAAAATAAATATTTCTTTGCAAATTTATTGATAAACATTTTTTTTGTTTGTTTATTTTCAAGTCATCCACATTCATTCATTCATTCATTAGCAGCAGCAGCAGCAGTGACGATATGCAAATGTAAATATGGAATTTGTTTCTGCCTTTTTGTCAATTCCAAATTGTTTGCTTGTTCTCTAAAGATCGAAAACATTTTTTTTTCGAATGAAACAGAAAAAATTAATAGGAAAAAAGTTCAAATAATTCGAATGAATAAACTTGAGAATTAATATCATCATCATCCTGTTTTGTTTTCTTGGTGCGGTGGTATCAATGACAACCAGAAAAAAAAATACCCCTGAATACATAAAACAGAAACGGCGATCAATTTTCATAATTAATAAATTGCTAATTTTTTTTTTACTCAACAAAATGACATTCATGTTATACAGAATTTTTTATAAAACAAAAGAATCAATACAAAATTCATCAGGAATAATTCAATAAATTTATAACGTGTAATGAAAAACAGATGGCCACAACTATAGCCAAATCGGTGATTATTTCTGGCCATTGTCTGTGAGAATAAATTCAATCTAATCATTGAATACTTTTGCCATATACGATAATGCAATGATAATGATGATTGATTCCATTGTAATGTGGCAAGATTATCGATTAATCGCCGATAAGCTAATTGATTATAATATGGAAATTGTACAACACACGAATAGATTACATTTGAGTAGATGAAACCAGCCATAAATACTACACAACATAATGTGTTATAGAAATTCATTTCAATTTGTTTGCTAAAGAATAAACTGCCAAAAATGATGGCAATTTTTGATATGGTTTCAATATCCAAAAATATATAATCAATCGATTGATTATGAATATTTATTTCCGTAAAAAGTTGCACATATTCTCGTTGAAAACGATAATTATGCAATATAAAACGTTGTTTCCCATATCTTTGTTGCTGTGGTGGCTTGATTTGTAAAATTTCTTTCGATCGAATCTTATTAAATTCAATAATAAATAGAAGATATTTCATTGCCCGAAACAATTGTCCAGCCATATAATTTAAACGCCATATTGTTATCATTGACAATATGGTCATTGTAATCATCTGGATAACATTGATAAGTCCAGATTCATAATAATAATAATAATAATAGATGATTAACAGGAAAATTTCAATTTCACTTGACAATAAAAAAATGTCAAAAAATTTGAAAATTGAATTTCACATGCGAACGAAATGTGAATAAAATATTTGATTCTTTCGTTCCATTTGTTGTTTGAGATCAAAATTTAGATAATTCACGTAGAAATTGATTGATTTATATCGATATTTGAGATATTTTTGCAATGAAATAAACCATGTTGATTCAGAAATCAACAACACAATTATCAAACAGGTGAAAGATAGATCTATACGTTGGACATTGAATTTTTGTTCAAAATTTTCAATTTTTAAGAAAAAACCATTCGATGGCCAAAATGTTATGATTGATAGAAAAATAATTGCTATCCATGATAAGGTCGTAATCCATATGGAACGATAAAATGTTTGATAATTGATTGAACATTGATGATTGATATATTGATCAATGGTAAATTCCGTTCGTAATAGATAATATTTTAAACAATCAAAACTTTTTATTAATACATCTTCACCAAATACAATTGGTTTCATTATCATTTTGTATGTTTAAATCAGTGATGACTTTTGTTTAGCTATTCGTAACGGGAACACAAATTATACCAGCAAGCAAAAATTGTTTCATATCAAAAAAAACATGAACGGTTTGCGGTATAAATAGGATGATGATCAGATACCATTAAAACTAATTCAATGGAAAAAGTTTTCTATCCACAGAAAAACAAACGAAGTAATTTGCTTTGAATTCCCATTTCTTTACGTCAATGCATTTTATTATAAAATGAAAAATGCAATAAATTTTTGCTTTTCATTTTTTACCAACGAATCATATTAATAAATTAAGAGTTTTTCCACTTAGGAACAAAATCGGAAATCTGTAATCATCATTAACTCAAATTGACAAATTATCAACAGATGAAAACATAACAATGCAATCATCAAGTGAGAGATTGGTTGATAATCAAGTTGTTATTGGTAACCATTACCAATTTTTTTTTTAAGTCTAATCCTACAAAATACGATGATGATGATGATAGTCATCATCATTATTAGTAAATAAAAATAAAATTGTGTTTTAGGTTTTTTTTTAATCAACAACAATAACAACAACAACACCATCACCATCAATCATTGAATTTTCGAAAAAAAAATGATGTCCAGTGAACAAAATGAATTTGAAAATGTAGAATTATATGATCAATTCTATGAAAGTCGACCAGCATATTGGGATGTAAATAATACAACAACATTATCATCATCATCATTATCGATTGATGATCATTATTCAATTGAAGAATTATTAAACAACAACAACAAAAGCAATGAAGAATCATTGAAAAATTATGTAATTGTTTCATTATTAGAAAATTGTCATTTACATTTGCCCAAACAATATGATGAAGTTGTTTATCTTGGTTCCGGTGAACAAAGTGTTCTTTGTGCTGCACGTGATCGTTTAACTAGAAAAATGGTTGCTATAAAAAAATTTGATCAACCATTTAAACGACCCGATTGTGCTGAACGTATGATTCGTGAATTTCGTATCCTACAATTTGTTAATCATCCAAATGTAATGAATTTATTGGATGCATTTCCAGGTAATGCACAATCGTTGGATCAATTTGAAGATGTATATCTAGTCACTGAACTAATGGATCATGATTTAACAATAATTTGTAATGATAATAAAAATCATCTTTGTCATCGTGAAATTGCTGACATTGTTTATCAAATTCTATCGGGTGTTCAATATCTTCATCGTATTGGCGTTGTTCACGGGGATCTATCACCAGCCAATATTGTTGTTCGTCGTCATCGCAATGATGGTCATTTAGAGTTGAAAATTATTGATTTTAGCCAAACACGTTCACGACAATCAATGATGATGAATGATGATCAGCGACAATTATTGTTTTCAACAAGATCATATCGTGCACCTGAAGTAATATTGAATATGGATAATTATTTTGATTATCCAATCGATATATGGTCCATTGGTTGTATAATGGCCGAACTGATTAATAAAGATGTTTTATTCAGAGGCATTAGTAATCTACATCAATGGAAACATATTGAATCTTTGCTGGGTAATCCAAAAGAAACATTCATACGAAGAATACGTTCTAGTGTAAGAAAAATTCTTAATGGTAATCGACAACAACAACGACGATCATCGGTAATTTATCGAAGAAATTTGAATCAAATTTTCAATAAAGAATGTGATTCAAACGCCAACAACAAAGACGAAGAACATAATAATGAAAAAGCAATGGATTTATTACGACGAATTCTGGTTGTTGATCCACGCGAACGTATAACCGTAGATGAAGCGTTGAAACATGAATATTTTTCGATTCGAAATTCCATATTACAACAAAATGATGAAGAACAAGAAAAAATGGAAAACATTTGTAAACAATCAATAATCGAATATCGTGAACAATCGAATAATAGTATCGATACCCTGCCAGAAAATGAACAACATAATCAATGGAAAAAATTGCTATTCGATGAAATTCGTATGTTTCAACATAAAAATCGACAACAAATTCGTCGAACATTGAATTCAATTTGAAAAAAATGAATATATATTGATTTCATTCAAAGTGAAAATTGGAGATGAAACTTACGCGTGATGATTGGTTCAAAATGTCAGCTGGGAAAAAAATTAAAGGTCATTTTTTTCATTGATAATATTATCAAGCAAAACAAAAAAGAACATATTGATGCAATGAATCAATCGATGATGACGAATGTGATTTTGATTGATTCAAATTTTGGAACCACCTGTGTTGATTTATGAATGATGATTGATTGATGTCGACGTGTGAAGAAAATGTTGTGTCGCACACTTGAAATTTTTCATCGATTTGATGAGGATGATCAAAGATTGTTTCAACAGCCTAACCAATTAATGTAGTTATATGTCTAGTTGATGATGAAATGAAATAAATAAATTGGTCATAATAATCAAATTTATTCATGAACATGAAAAAACAACAACAAAATAAATGTTCACAAACGTAAAAAATTTTCGAATGATTAGAATCAAATGTCACGTTCATAAATGACGAAACAAAATTACATTCGAATCTTTTGTTTACTTTATTTTGATATCGTTTTGGCCACGATTTTTTTCCAAGATGATGATGATCAAATTTCACTGATTGTTGTTTTTATTGTTATCTCACACAATCTTTATTTAATCTATTGTCAATTGAGATGTATGATGATCACAAAACGTGATCATTGATCGTGATTTTTATTGTTGTTATTGTTGCGACGATAAAATCTACAGAATCTAAGAACTACAAGGCCATCATCATCATCTATCTATCTAGAAAGGTAAACATGTTGTGATTAAATCAATGTCAAACATTTCATTTTATTTTATTCATAATCTAGAGATATGGAAACATGTCGAATGAATAAATATAAAGAAAACAATACGAAATGATTCTCATCATCTACATCAAATGGAACAAAATTGATAATCATATCGAATGAAAGTAAATCTAACAGTAGATTATCATAACTGTGATTCGTTCATCATTATCATCATTGTTCATCATCATAATCACTGTCACTTTGAGTGTTTATCAAAATCACAATGAGAATCATTTTTCTGTTTTTCTGTTTATGTGAATCTTTCTTCCCCTACATTTCATGATTGGATTTCAAGCTAAGCATTTCTTTCATTTTCTTTAAATGTCAAGTAAATTTGTGAAATGCATTTTTGTTTCTGCCATTACGTAAATATATTGTTCTAATCGTCTTTATATAAATGATGATTAATATGTAAATGTCAAATGATATCGAAATAAACGAGAAAATTTGTCGAAAGTTATCATCACAGCATTACACTCGACCAATAAAAAAATATTGATTTGCCTTGATGGTGATCAAATTTGAATCGATAAATATTTGGGAGATTAATATTCACCAATAATCATCGATCCAATTAGAGTATCTGTGTGTTTGGTTTCGTCGCTAATGATGGAATATCGTGCATAGAATCGATTTATTATGTTTGAAAAATTCAAAGTTGAAGTCTTCAAACTGTTTTTATTTTCATATATAAATATCAAATGAATGATATACAAAGACTCACACAGATCACCTAATCATCATCAGATATATTCCAGTGAGAAATTACTACCAAGAATTAAATCATCATGATCTTTACTATTTATCGTACCGAATATATACGTATAAGTGATGTTATCAATGAATGTTTTGAATGTCTAAAATTCTATGTATTTCGGCTAGAATATTCATTAAATGAATATGAACAACGCCAGATTCCATGGACATATAAAACATTCAAACGAACAATATGGATTACATTGAATTCATGGATTAATATCTTGTTCATCAGTTATGTTGTTCTAGATCAAAATCCAATACTATCGAAATCATTAGTAACAATTGAACAATTACTTCATTTTGAACGTTCAGATTTATTGTTACAATTTCAAATATTTACGTTTATTATACTTGAAGCACTTTGGTATAAAAAGTTTCGAATGATTCTCACTTATAATTATAATGCTCATTTTATAGTGAGAAAATATGGTAATCACTTTAATGATGATCATGAAATTGAACAAAGTAATCGACGTCATTTAACCCATTTTGTACGTATTGGTAATTTGGTATCGAAAATAATGAGTTTTAATATTCTGATGGCAATGTTTGTATCTGGTGTGTTTGTTGTTTATAAATTTTTTTCATTCTATAATGCTGGCAACATTGGATTCATTGAAATGATCATTTACATTACACTATTGATTAATCTATTAATACGTTCAGCATATCTAATTGGCCTGGTTTTTGATGCAATCAGATATCTATTATATGTGATGGAATTGTTTAAAATACAAATTAAACAAATGATTTTTCGTTTACAATCAACCATTCAATGTTTTCAATATTCATTATTGCCATTTTACAAACAAAGATTTACATTTTGGCCACAATTTATAAAAGAATATGACAATATTAATGCACAAATGTTCATGTTGAATCAAGCATCAAGTATGGTTTTTTTTGTTGTTGAAGCCATTTCAAAAATAGCAATCATATTCTGTACATTGTTTTATAGTAAACAGAGCGCCATGAATATATACAATACGATTATTGTATTATTTCTACTGGCTGCATTCATTTATTCGAATGGCATTTATTTATGTACAGCAAAAATACCCGATTATAATGAAATTGGCTGCAAAGAATTGATGAATTGGCTAACAAGATTTCAAATGCAGCAACAACGACGACAAGCAAATCGTGGTCGAAATTATTGGCATAGAAATCGGTCTAGATTATTCGCCATACGTGATACGGTTCGATCAAATTTATTTGTACAACAAATGTCTCAAAATCGTTTTGGTTTCTCATGTGGTCAATTGTTTTTCATAACAAAATCTAAATTTATCGAAGTATTTTTGCTCAGTTTTGTATTGAGTTCTTTATTTTATAAAAAAATTTGTTTATAATTTCGTAATATCTATCCACACTATGGATGAATGAATTTTTGATTCAAAAAAAAAAAAAAAAAAAATGAAATTTCATCAAATTCACATTACATTCCACATTAGTAGATTTCTAAATAAAATATAGAACACCTTCATACACAAATCAAGTAAAGTTTGTGACCATGAAATTTTCATTTTTTTTTTTTTTTTTTTTTTTTGAAGAAAAAAATGATGCATCAGTTTTCGTCGTTGTTGTTGGGGATATTGAGGTTGTTTTCGTTTTAAATCCGTCGTTATCGCCACACCATCATCACATTAAATCGAATCACATCACATCATGATTGAAAACAATTTTTTTTATTATTACATAATGGACAATGGTCATGGAATTCAATTGTTTTTCACTCATAATACACACACACACACACAGTGGGTGGTGGTAGTAGGATTCACACACACACACACAAACGTACGCGTAACCTTTTCAATCATTGGTGATGGTTGTGGTTGCTTTTAGAAGAAGCAACAGTATGTGATGATGATTTTTTTTTCTCTATTCAAGATTTATTTACCATTTCAATCAATTAATTGAAGGTTAAGGGTTGCAAATAATGATGATTTGTGGGCAAAGAAAGAAAGGAAAAAAAGGAAAAAAAATCCAATTGATTGATCCATAATACTCAATGAATGACTGATATACATGGACATTTTTTTTTTTTTTTGGAAACGGAAATCTTGACTGAGGTTTAGTCCAATGTATGAATGGTTCATCATCACACACATATATGTGGAACACTTTTATTTATAAAGAGATTTGAATTGACAATTCTTGCCTGGCCAATCGATTGGTGATGATTGATTCCTCAAATGAAAAGTCAACAAATGTCAAGGTTAAATATTTGACCAAAAAAAAAAGAAAGAAGATGTTGACGATTATAGAAAATTGATTTTTAAAAAAAAATCAATTTTCTCAATCAAATTAAGTTTGAAAATCTCTTTTTTATTCTTCACATGAAGATAAATTGAGAGCAAAAAAAAAAAAAATAAATAGATCATGATCGAGAGATCGAGAAATGCAGTTTGATTGATGATGAGTTTAACTGGATGATGATGATGATTGGATTTGTATTTAGCATGAAACGAAAGAAGAGAAAAACGTGTGTTTAAGATTTCATCATCCACTCATAATGACAAAAACGGAATATAGAGAGTGAAAGAGAGAGTTGAGAATTTTGATTGAAAAATTTCAATTTTCATAAATCTACAAATGAAATGAAAATAAAAAAAGTTTTTTATTGTTTTTCCCGTGTGCCGTATGAGAATATCCGGATTGGTTTCGGTTTTTTATTCCGCCACTCAATATGAAGAAGAAGAAGGAGAAAAAATGTCAAACAAATGAATAAATGTCAGTGAGTGGTGCTGGTGGTGTAATGGATTACGAAAATTTTCGTCTCTGCAATAGAAACAGAGAAGAAAAAAATCATTTTGTTGATCATTGAATCAACTTGATTTTTTTGTATATGAATTTACCGTTCATATTATGATTGATTGATTGATTTTATTAATTATGAAAACATGATCATGTTGACCATGATTACGACGACGATGATGATGATCTCAATTGGATCAGAGAAAAAAAAAGAGAAAGAGAAAGTGGAAATTTTTTTTTTCGTTTGATAATGATTTAATTATAGGGTTGTGTGTGTGTGTGTGTGTGTAAATGATGAGAAATTTTCCAAGCAACTATGTTTCTTGGGAATTTTTTTTTCTTGATAATCACTAAATCATTTTTAGCTGACTCTTTGAGAAACAGAAGAAGAACAAAAAAAATCATTAAATATTCAGCCAATATGATCAAAGAAGAAGGTTTTTTTTCCAAAAATTTCAAAGTCTAACGAAATTCAAAAAAAAAAATTAAAAATTCACGCAATAGACAGGCTACAAAAAAAATTTCATTTTTTGATCGAATCTCAACAAAACATTGATGTTTCGTCACTTGAAACATTTTTTTTCGTATTTCTTAAAATGAAACCACCACCACCACAACAACAACAACCAAGGTGGACAGCAATTTTTCCCGAAATAATCATTACCGTCCATAGTAGTCGTCAAATGGACAACTAGGTTATTATCATCGACTACGACAATCGTATCTGTTATTGTATCATCATCATCATCATCATTAACACATTTTTTCACGACAAAAAAAAATTGTTACCGAAAAGAAGAAAAAAAAAAATGAAAAATAAAATTTTGCAATGTCGTAGCATTTGCACAATTGTTGAAATTTAAAAAATTTTTTCAATTTTTTTTACAGTTTGTTTTGTTGTTCACAACTACTATGCTGCTACTGTGCTACTGTTTTTTTCATTTAATGACTCTATTACAACAACAACAACAACAACAGCAAAAAATTTTACGTCATTTTTTTTTCGTTTCTGGAAAATTTTTTCCCTTGGCAGCAAATAAACGATATATATTGGAAGATTGTTTATTGCTTGTTGTTGTTGTTGTTGACATAATGATGTCATTTATGGATTGTTATTTTTCTTCTTCAACTGCAACATATTCATCGATGTTTCATCGATCAATCATTAATGCGGGTTTGGATGGAAAATTAGATCATATTTATTTATTTATTTATCATTTTTTATATTATTAAATTTATAGCGTAATAATGATGGATAATAAAAAGTTTTTTTTTCTTTCAAAGTCAAGATTAACCTGATCGATCAATCAATCGATCGATCGATCAATTTGTATCGATTGTGTGTGTGTGTATGTTTGTGGTAATCGTTTATTACTTTTATATGTTGCTCTTGTTTTGTTTTATTGTTATTTGTTTGTGGTCAAAAAATTGGATCAAATCAATTTTTTTTCTGTGAAAAAGGCAAAAAAGTTTTCAGGGAATTTTTTTCCCTGGAAACTTTCTCCATTGGCGTTTCCCGGTAGCAAAAAAATTTTTGGCCTTTTTTTTATTTAATCTAAACAAAAAATATTCCATTCACAATTAGTTTTAATCAATCAAATCACAACATTATCGAATCATCAGATAATCCGGATATGATGTGAACAGATGACATACAGATGATATATTTTCAACCTACACATTTATTTTAATTAAAAGGTGGAGAAAATGAAAATTTCATCTATAAAAAAAAACAAACAAACATCTACGACATTGATGCATAAAAAATAATGATCGAAAACAAAATCATCATCACAAATGATCAAGTCAATCGGAAAATAAAAATCCGGCTCATTATCGCGCACACACACACACACAAATATATGACAGTTTGATCTGTAACAACTGAGCAACGGGAAAAAAAATGTATGCAAATTTTAAATGAAACAAAACGATGAAAAATTCATAATCATCACGCATTAATCGTATTTACCATTATTCAATTCAATCTTGAATCATGATAAAATTGTTTGAAATTCGAGCATTTCACGAATGAGAGAAACAAAAATCAAAATTATGATATGGAAAAAAAACAAATTTAAAAACAGCTTGCATCTTCCGGTTATTATTTTTATTTTTTTTTTGAACAAAAAAAAACAGAACAGAACAGAACAAAATGATTATGACACGCGTTAAGATGATCATGATGATGATGATGATGATAATTGTTCATCAAAACAAAACAAAACAAAACAACAAAAATGAAATGAAAATCATCATCATCATTGAGAACAAGATATAAAGGCCACAACGTGTTTATTATGATGATGATGATTATGGTTATGTTTTGAAACTGGTCCATTGTTTAGACACCTATGGCGCCCTTCATTCTGTCCATCTTGACATTGGTGGTCACATACTGAATGATGACCTGGCGAATTTCTCATTTTTTTTTATTTTCAATCTAAAAATTCAAAAAAAAATTTTTTTTTTTTTTTGTTCTGGATCATCATCATCATGATCTTGAGAAGAAGAAAAAAAATTTTTGAATTTTCTTTATTCACAAAAACAAATTAAAATGAATGAAACCAGGGATTGAACTGAATTTTACAACAAAAGCACGCGCGCACACACAACAACAACAAAAAAAACACGTGCAAATTATGTGATTGGTAATAATAACGAAAATTAAAAACTTGAATGAAATGATTTGAGATTTGTTTTTTTGTTGTTGTTCATCATCCAATTCCATTATCCATAATCCATAATAAATGACTTGATAGTGAAACAAGAAAAACTATCGGATTAAATCCGGAACACAGTCCACCAATTAATATATGACCTTTATTGATCAAGTGGGGACAAATCAAAAAAAAAATTCGATTAACGTTATTTATGGATTTTTCTGTCACTTTGTTTATGGAAGGGGGGGAATGAAAAAAACTGAATTTTGTAATATAACACAAATAATTTATATATATAATATAATATGTGTGTGTTTTGATTGCTCTCGAAAACATCATGAATTATGGCGAGAAAAAAAAAATAGTCGAAATTGCCTAAAACGCGTGCACGACACGCGTTTGTAATTTGACCTGATGATCATCATTTTGAATCATTTCACAGTGTCTCTTTCAAATAGAAACAGAAAAAAAATTTCCATCATAAGACATTCATATGTGTCTTTGCAACACTATTCGGGATTTTGTTTATTTGCTCGATTTCTCTCTGTTCATTTCTTCACCACCACCATCATAATCATTCTCTTTGTCCGTTTTTTTTTTACCACAAGATTTTCAAGGTAAAATTTGATTTTCAATACCGTGAATGGATAATGTGTATGTGGATGATCCACCACCACTGTCATCATCATCATCATTTGACCAATTGCATATTGACCATTCAAAGACCGCCTTTTTTTGAAAAATTGAAAATTGAAAAATGAAAAAAAACGACTCATCTTCTCTACATTAGCAAGTGTGTGAATACCATCATCATTATGATGATGATGATGATAATGATGTTTCATGGATTGAGAAAATGAAGCTACACGTTTGTTGACGAAATATGTGTCTCTCTCTCACTCTCTCTCTCACACACACACACACTCTACAGTTTCAACAAAATTCGGTAATAATTTTTTTTGTTGGAAAAAAGGGAAAATATCGTCTTTTTCTACCATATATAAACTGGATGATCAATGCACGATCGGTCATCATCATCATCATCATCATCATCGTCATCATTCGATCATTTTATTCGACGATCACAAATCGACTTATTCAGAATTGAAAAGTTTGAAATTCTTCATTTTTTGTTTCTGTGACTAATATCTTGACATAAATCGAACAATCATGTTCAAAGTATGTGTCTTTTGTGGATATGTTGATGGTTGTTGTGATTTTTGATTTGAATAATTTCTTCTTCTTCTGTTTTTTTTCTGGTTATATCACACTAGTATATTGTTGCCATTTCATCCATGATTGTTTGCTCTATGGCTGGAGGATATGGTGGTGGCGGTTCTTCTTCTTATGGGGGTGGAATGAGTAGTCGTGGTAGTTCTTATGGTGGTGGTGGCGGTGGTGGAGGTTATGGTGGTGGTGGAGGTTTTGGTGCCGGTGGTATGGGTGTTATCCAGGCTGCAATTCAATCCAGACATAATGTACAATTCTATGATGTTCCATCATCCGGAATGATTAATCCAACTACGATCGAAGGTCTGTATTATTTTGTTTTTGTTGGCTGAATTCTTTGATCAATTAGTATATTCTGATTTGCCTTTAGTTGGTGCACAAGCCATACCTGTGAATATGATATTTCGATCAGCATCATCGAATCTAAATGTACAACAAATGCATCAAGGTGCAGCCGGTTCTCAACAAGAATCACAATCAGAAGATGAGCCACATATATTGCGTCATACGGTGAAAAAACCGATTTATCAAATGGTCAATGAGATCATTACACCATATCGCAAAATTACACAGGAAGTTAAACCTGTACAAGAAGATATCCAAACAATTATTGCACGAATGTCCGGCGGTGGTTACGGCGGTGGTGGTGCTGGTGGAATGTCCGGCGGTGGTTACGGTGGCGGTATGTCACTTGGTGGTGGTGGTGGTTATGGAGGTAGTAGTGGTGGTGGACGAAAAGGTGGCTATTAAATGATTGATCTTAATCATTAATTCCAAAACAAAAAACAAAAAAAAAAGAAAAAAATAGATTCGAATTGAATTTCGTTTCGTATTCTGTGCTTATTTATTTATTGTCAATTTTTATCGAATCGAATCAATTTTTTATTGATGAATTTTGTTTCCTATTCTCTTGTCTTGTTGAATTTTCATATCCAATTTCGTTATAAGATGAATTCTGAATGTCCAAAGATTTTTTTTTGTTTTGTCCAAATAATTTATTCTGGTGCAAATGCAAATGTTAATTATTTATTTTGTTTTTGTTTCTGTTTTTTTTTATTGTTGAAAATTTTCATTTCAATTCTGTGACACAAATAAAAATTACGAAGAACGAAAAAAAAAATTGGAAAAAAACGGCCGATGGAAACATCTTCCTCATCATTCACATGATTACATGATGATGTTCCAGGAACTGATGATTTACTTAAAATTAAAGTTTGAATAAAAAAAACAAAACAAAAACAAAACTTATTAGACAAAATAACACCTGTGTGTGTGTGTGTGTGTGTGTGTGTGCGTTTGTGTCCAAAGTCATCATCATGATGATGATTTGATTGGAACACTGAATAGAGAAAAAAAAAACGTGTGTGGATAACGATTATAATAATAACACATAACACAACGCCTAGATGATTATTATTTGAATGGCCAAAAAAAAAATACAGTCAGTTGGTCATTGGTCAACATTCATTATAGTACGTGTTTATGTGATGCTGATGCTGATGTTGTTATTTTTTTCAATTATGAATAAAAGGCCGGAAAATAACAAAGTGTGGCACATGGTTAGTCCATATATTTTTTTTGTGTAACATTTGAGTGTGTGCATGTTGACCCCGACTAACGTAAAGATAGAGTGAAATTGACAAAAATGTCCAGAAATTTCATGGTTTTTATCATTTTTATCTTTAGATAATTGAATGATATGTGTGTGGGGGTGGCAAACGAATGGGGATAAACAAGCAAACAAAAAAAACGCCATCTTGTAGGAAAATTGTGAAAATTTTATCATTGAAAAATCAAAATTCAACTTTTTAATTATGGGGGGAAACAAAAATGACAATGACAAGATTTGAAAAAAAAATTTAAGAAAACTTCCATAACGATATTTATGAAGGGCATCATCATCGTCGTCATCATCAAGATAATCGTATTAAAAAAAATTTGGAGATAAAATGAATGTCCATCAAAGTGATAATAAGATAATCTCAGTGTTTTGTTGAAATTAGCAAAAAAAAAAAAAAAAAAAATTTAAATGTCGATGATGATGATAAGATTGTCATTGCATTTTTTTCAATTTTTTTCAATTTTTTCGAATAATAAAAAGATTTTAAATGTTAATTTTAGAATAAACATAGAAAAAAAACGTTTTTTGCACACAAATGCCGATAATGATCATCGTAAACAAATGACGGACAAATATCGACAAATCGATTCAAGGTTTCATTGATTTCCTGACCGAAATGGAAAATAAAAATTTGATTATATCATCATCAACGACATTGAAAGTGAATTCATCATCAAAAAGGTTTTTGTATTTTTAATCAGAAAATCAGAAAAAAAATCTCCTTATTAAATGATTTCTTGTCATGTTTGTTCCAGAAACCATATCAGGTGAATCTGTTTTGCTGTGGTTTTAAATCAAAACAAAACAAAAAAACACACTGATTGATTTGTAATCGATAATGATCATCTATCGATGATAAAAAAAATATTGTGAAACATTTCAGAGATTATCGATTTAATTTAGAAAAAAACAAATGATGCAATTAATGAATGAGTGAGTAAAGTCAAAATCAGATCATCATCATCATCATGGATATCTCTGCAAGAATTTAAAGAATGAAAAACAAACTTGAATATTCGAAATTTTTTTTTTACTCTTTTTTTTCTGAAACGTTTACACTTACACATGTTCAATCATGATGATGATGATTATCAATCCAATCAAAAATGGATCGTTTTTTTTTTTTTTTTTTTTCTTTCTCATCAGACTCTATATGAAATATGTGTCTGTCCTTGCGTCTTTTATTAACAAATTTTACACATTTTTTTTCTCATCATTTTTAAACGGAAAAATTGAAGAAAAAACAAAGACAAAAAAATGGCTTGAATTCTTGTATATAAAGTGATACAAGTATCGATAAACTAAATCAAATTCAAATTCAAATTCAAATCAAACAACAACAACAACAAAATTCCAACAATTTTTGTCACTGTTTGACGCTTGAAATTAAAAAAAAAATGTTCAAAGTATGTTAAACTTTCAAATGTTTTTTTCAAATTTGAATTTTTTTTTTTTTCGTTTTCTGTTTTATTTGCAGCAAATTATCGTCATTTCCGCATTTGTTTCGGTTGCGATTGCTGGTGGTTTGAAAACCGCTGGTTATGGTGTTGGCTATGGTGCTGGCTATGGTGCTGGCTATGGTGGTCTTATTGCATCCGGTCCAGCTCTAGCTCCTGGTTTAGCTCTTGCTGCTCCTGCTCTTGCTCCAGCTGCCTTGGTTTCCGGTCCCGCATATGCTAAAACAGCAGCTTATGCTTCTGCTCCGGCTATTGTAACGGCTGCCGTACAATCACGACATCATGTCCAATATTATGATGTTCCAACTACTCGTCAAATTACACCAATTACCATTGATGTTGGTGCCAATGTTATTCCTGTCAACATGATTTTCCGATCGGCATCATCACAATTGAATGTTGAACAAAATCATCTTAATCAAGGCGGTAGTGTAAGTAAATCTGGGATTTCATTTAATGATCGCCATAATAACCACATTATATCACACATTAGGTACAAGAAACAGCTAGTCAAGATGAACCACATATATTGCGTCATAGTGTTCAAAAACCTATTCTTCAAGAAATTAGAGAAGTCATTATTCCAATGCGACGAATCCAACAGGAAATTCAGCCAGTACAGGAAGAAGTTTCCACTTTGGTCGCTCGTGGACATCAACAAACTGTTGTTGCAGCTGCCCCTGTTGCTGCTGCTCCAGTTGTTGCCGCAGCCCCAATTGCTGCAGCCCCAGTTGTCGCCGCAGCCCCAGTTGCCCCAGTAGCTGCTGTTTCCGCTGGCCCAGCTTTAGTTGCTTCAGGTCCAGCTTTGGCTGCTGCCCCGATATCTGCTGTTTCCGCTGGCCCAGCTTTTGTTACCGGATCTGCTTTGGCTTCACCAGCTTTAATTGCTGCTGGTCCAGCTGAATTTGCTGGTACTACTACTTTGCTTGCTCAAGGTGGTCCTGGTTTTGCTTTTGGTAATGGACAATTTGCAGGAGCTGCTCCATTTTTTGCCGGTAAACTCAAATATCGTAAATAAATCGTATTGAACAAAAAATCAATACTCGCACACACACACCACAAATACCAATCACCTCGAGACCTCTTCTGGATAATTGAAAGAAACAAAAAAACACCCACTCTTTCACACATCACCATCCTACACAGTTGAATTTGAATTATGAAAAAAAGCCACACGCTTACATCACAGTAAATATTGTTTTGAGCTTATTTTTGTATCCACAAATCACCGAATCAATCAATCAATTATTCATTTTTTTTTCTTCTATTTATTCAATGAATTAAAATCAATGAAATGTATTGAATTGCGAAAATTTTTTTCTTGATTCAACATTACATTGCTAAATTGCGAGGTCGATGATTTTTCAAAAAAAAAATCATTGCAATAGATGGCGTTGAAACAAAATGAGCAACACTGTTGAATTCACACATGTGTGAAAGTTTTTGTTTTGTTTTATTAAAATTCAATTTTTAAATAATGGATTTTCAATCCGAATTCACAAATAATGATCCAAATGGATATCAAACGATTGGCAGACAAGTGGAAATAGATTCAAATGATAATCAAAGATTAATCATTGAAGAATTGTTCGAATCAACGATGAATGCAATGGAAACGGCAATGGAAAATGAACAAAAAATACTTGAATCAAAATTGGAAATAATTGAAAAACGATTAATGAGTCGCCTGATGAATATTGAAGTTAAATTCGTACATTCCTGTCATGATATTCGATCATTGACCGATGATTTTATCGATTATCAACAACATTGTTTGAATCGTCCCAAACGTTCGGCGAACCAAAAATCAATGCCTTCAAACATCATCATCATCATCAATTTCGGCCACAATCAATCAAGCACCGACTAAAAGACGTTCAGAACGATTATCCACTAAGCGTTCAAACGATGTTGTTGTTAATGCTGCAATCGATGATAATCAGGAATCAGATCTCTCAGGTTCTACAACAGATGATGATGAAGATGAAGATGAATATACAGCACCTAAAAATCGAAAAAAAGCAACAACAAAACAATCGTCGTCATCATTATCATGTCCAAAATGTTCATTTAAATTTGAATCTGAAGCAATATTAAATAGCCATTTAAAAACACATGTTCCTGGACGTGAACAAATATGTGAATTATGTGGTAATCTATTCACTAGAAAATCAGATCTTGATCGTCACAATCGTACCGTACATTCGGATGTTAAACGATTATTTAAATGTCAATTTTGTAATTATGCCTGTTCGTTAGAATTATCATTACAAAAAACATATACTTATACATTCAAACGATCGTTTGTATGGTTGTGATCATTGTGCCAAACGTTTCTATCAGCGTCATGATCGTGATCGTCATATGCAAACACATACAAATGAAAGACCATATTATTGCAAAGATTGTAATATAAATTTTCGTCAGAAATATAATCTAAGTAGACATTTACGATCACCAAAACATCAACAACAAATACAACTACAACAACAACAACAAGAAAAAGAATCACAATAATAATAAAACAATAGATTCTCAATGATTACATGAATATTTTCTTATAAAACATAATAGTCATGACAAAATTCATTAAAAACAATTCTGTGTATTTATATTTTGTGATGAAAAACACCTGTCCACAACTGATACCGAATTGATTATTTGACATTGTCTGTGCAAATAGATTTGTTTTAATCACATTTCTTGGAGAAAGACGAATATTCTTTCGTTGCTTTTGTTGTGTTCGGCCTATCCATTGCATTATTATACGGCTACCAAGCTGATTGAAATGTGGAAATTGAGCCACTCGTGAATACAATCCATTTGTATAGATGAATGGTGCCACAAAAAATATTACCATTATTGTATTGTATACATTCATCTGAATTTGTTTGCTGTAAAACAATATGCAGAATATAATTGCAGATTTCGATATGATTTCAATATCCAGAAGATGCTACTAACAGTTTGATTGAATATGGCCACTTCATAATAAAGTTGAACATATTCTTTCGTGAACATTGGCCAAAATAATCGATAATTGATCGATGAGAATTTACCACAACAAGATTGTCGTAATTGCGAAATCATTCTTTTCATTTGCAATTTTAACAATTCAATAAAATATAATAAATACCGCATTACACCGAATAATTGACCGTTTAAATAGTGCATACGATGAAATGAATTCGTGATTACTATGATGAAAATGATCATAACAAACATTGATATTTCATCATTTTGATAGAATGAATGAAAACGATAAATGATTAATAGATAAATTTTGACCAAGACAATGAAAATGACAACATTCAATACATTTGATGCCAGATTGCCAATTTGAACAAAACGTGACAAATAACCACGATATTCTGGCTCCAATTCATCATCATTGAAACGACTATATTTCATTATTAATTTGTTAGCTTTAAATTTATATGTTAAAATTTCGCGAAATAAATGAAACCATAAATATTCAAGCACCGTAAATGCGAATAACAAGTGTGAAAAAACAAGATCTGATCTTTGTAAATGGAATTCTGATTCAAAATTTTGCAATACTTTCAATTCAATTCTGGTTGGATAGATGACAAAATGAGAAATGCACACGATATTCAACCAAAAACTCAATGTAAACCATATTGAACGACGAAATGTCTGATATGTCCATTTAATTCTGCGATTTTGATAATCATCTATTGAATATTCCAAACGAAATATGTAATATTTCAGATATTTGAAAAATTCATCCATTATATGGCCAATTTTTACAAATTTTTTCAACGATAATGATGATGATGGAAAAATTGTTTGTACACGATGTATAATGATTCTCATTATAGAAGCCATGATATTGATAATCATTGGATATGTTGATTTATTTGTTTGGTTATTTACATGAGAAGAAAAATGAACGTTGAATGTTTGGCAAATTTGTTTCATTTTTTCCACACAATTCAATGGTGATGGTGGTAGTAGTTTTTTTGGTTGAATAGTTGTACTGTACTTGACTGTATAACGACTGATGATGATGGTGACATTTGTCTTTCTTGCCAGAAAAAAAATGAAAAAAAATTGATTCATTTTTTCCACTTATTCATTTCACCGTTTACAATCGATTGACAGAAAATATCATTTTGTTACATTCATAATTTCATAATAATTATAATTATGGTTGGTGAAAATGCTTAAAAGATAATAAGAAATTGATGCTGGAAATTATTCTTTGAAGTCATTCCATTTCCAAAGAAATCACCGGAAACAGTAAATGAAATTGTTTATTTTTTATTGTCTTGATTTAAATTTTAAAATTTTCATTGGAATTTTTACATGAAACATTCAATTCAAAAATAAACTAGAAAATATAATGTATGTGTGTGTGTGTGTGTTGATTTTTATACGTGATTTTGAGAAAATTTAACCAGATTATCATTTTTTTCATTAAAATTTTGAAAACTTTATTAATAAATAAATAATGGACATTTTTATTGCCACCACAAACAACTAGTAGTCAGCCAAATATTCCACACATTTTTTTACTATTAAGTTGGTTGACTTTAAATTTATAGGTTCTAAAATGTTCTGTCGAAAATTATCGATTTGTGACCATTATAGAAGAACCAAAAATGTCTCATTACATGAGAAACAAATTTTTTTTTTTAATTTCTTCCATATCCTTGAAAAAAAATCATGCAAGAATTGTGAAGAGTGGTGTTGTGTTCATGAGCAGGTGTATGCACATTGTATTAAAAAAAAAATCGAACAAAAATAGCGATTTTATTTTTTCCATTTATCGAGTTAGTTTCATAATGTTGTTGCTGTTGTTCAAGACCAAATTTCATTTTTTTTTTCAATTTAAAATCCACAACTGTTTAACGATTTTTTTTTTAGTTTGAAAATGCAAAAATGTAAAAAAAAAATAAAGACCATGACCATTATTATTATGCAAAATTTTTCAAAATTTAAATTGAAAATTTTTTTCCCCACAATAGATAACCTAGCGCCATCTATCGTGTTTGTAGATAGTTAATTTTCAAAATTTCAACTTTTTTTTGGACTGAATACAATAGAATCGGTGATTATTTTTCTGAATGATAGAATCATTTTTGGATAAATAAATTATCACTTTTTCATGGAATTTTCTTTCGTTCATTTACACCATTATTTGAATTGAATGTAGGGCCGGGGGCCATCACAATCGATATACAATGCGCGTATGATGATCAATAAATATTGCAATAGAATGACAATGAAAAACAACAAACAAACGACAACGATAACGAAATGATTCCAGAACAAAAAAAAAATTAATGTTTTTGGAAATTGGAAAATTATAATGTACAACAACAAAACGAAGCAGAAAATCAAATTATTTTGGCTTATTTGATTGACCATCATCATTATCATCATCATCATCATCATCATCATCGATATCGATGTTTACTGCCAACTAACTAATACAGAGACAAACGATAATAATAATAATAACCCCGAATAAGGAATTTATCATCATCATCATCATATGTGGGAATCGATTAGTCGATGATGTATGATGGTCATCGAAGCATTTTTTTTTCTCTGTGTTGTTGAATGAATTAAAACTTGAAATTCATCAACTACAAATGTTGCAAAATTCACACACATACACACACGCACACTGGAATAGAGAGATAGAGAAAAAAAATTACAGCTGCAACCATCGATCCATTGAACAACGAATGAAAAAAAATTGATCCAAAAGAAAAATGAAGCAAGGCAAAGAAAAAAAGTTTTTTTTTCAAGATCGTTATCATCATCATCATCATCCGTAATAATTTTTAATGCAAAACAAAAAAAAATATTGCTATTTTGGAACAAAACACAGAAAAAAAAGTGTAATGTTTATGGCAGTAGTAGCCTAAAAAATGAAAATGTTATGTTTTGTTCATTTGTTCGTTTTATTTTGAAATGAAACACCGACACGATCATGATGATGATGATGATGGCTGGCCATTATCAACACAGTGTAAATACAAAATAAAAGATGATCAAAATCTTGATATTTTCGTATTACACACACGATAATCCATAATTTCGTCAGCCATAATATTATGTGCTGTATTTGTTCTTTTTCTTTGGAAATTAATATGGATTTTTTCTGTTGCTATTTTTTTCAAACAACAAAACAAAAAGAAAATTACGCTATTAATTTCTGAAATGTGTAGAAATGAAAAAAATTTTTGCTTATTTCGTTTGTGTTGACTCATGATCATAAAAATTGTTGATATGATAAAGGTTGTCAAGGGAGAATGGTCAAATTTTTTTCGACATTGTACACAGAGGGTAACACATGTGACACAGGCGCACAAATCAAGTATACATGCATGTCCAGGTTCACGTTTCGATTTGATAATAACTAATCCAAACACAACGAGTGAAGAACAAGAAGAAAAGGAAAGCTAACAATCTGGCCTGATAATTTTCGATCTGAACGTTTCTTTTTTTGTATATATAAATCGATCACACACAAAACATGACCATCACACACATGTGGCATTTTTTCTGGTCGTCATCTTGTCAAATCCCAACTAGAAAATCATGTTTCGTTATGAAACTTTAATCGAAACGGTGGACGCACCTCAACGTTGCAGTAATAATCAAACAGAATTGAATCCAACCTATTTACAGGAATTATTATCATCGCAACAGCAACGACCAAACAATCGACAACAACCGACTTCTGACTACCTGAATGTACTGCAATTTTATCAGGATAAAACCATATTGATAACTGGTGCCACCGGATTTATTGGCAAAGTTTTACTGGAGAAACTGTTGCGTGTCGGTGTCATCCGTCGGATTTACATTTTATTACGTTCAAAACATTCGAAAACACCACATGAACGACTGGAGGAATTACTGAGTAAATCACCATGTTTTCAATTTCACCGCCAACGGTTGGATTTCGCCAAAGTATTTGCAATCGAAGGTGATATTACGAGAAAAGATTTGGGGTTATCAGCTCAAGATCAACGTCGATTAACCCAAGAAGTAGATGTTGTGTTTCATTCAGCTGCATCCGTACAATTCAAAGGAAATCTGCGGATATTTATCGAACAAAATGTTCTCGGCACTGATTACACGATGAATTTATGCACAAAAATGATTGGCTTGAAGGTAATTCTCCGATTGTCCTAGTTCGTGTTTGATGATCATAATTTTCTTCATTTTCATTAGGCTGTCGTGTATGTGTCCACCGCATATGCAAATTGCAATTTATCCACCGTTGAGGAGAAAGTTTATCCACTCAATTTCACCATACCATATGCATATGTAAATGATGAAAGTATCGATCAATTCATCAGTGATATTCTCTGGAAATATGGCAACACGTGGCCCAAACGCGGACATCAAGCACTGTGGGGCCGTCCAAATTGTTATACATTTTCCAAAGCATTGGCTGAATTGTTATTGGCGAAAAAATACTCGAATCTTTTGCCGTATGTTATTTGTCGTCCATCGATTGTGACACATTCAGCTGCCGAACCAACGCCAGGTTGGTGTGATACAAAAAATGGTGTCTCTGGTGCCATGATTCTTGGTGGTCTTGGTATTGCACGTACAATGATCTGTGAGTTTTTTTGAGTTTCTGGATTGAGTTCCATTTATTTATTCGATTTCTCCATCTTCATTAGTGAATGGCAAATGTAATGCTGATGTAATACCTGTTGATCATGTCGTCAATTCGTTGATAGTTGTGGCTGCACATACAGCCATCGTACCTGTTGAACAACGGAAACAAGTTGTTCATCTCACATCTGGACAACGTAATCCAATCACATGGGGTGAATTACTGGATCGTTCACGTGAATGTGTGGCTACCAAGCCGTTCATGAAACAAATTCGTCCATTGGCACAAAAACCAGAAACAATCGACACAATGTACGGCCGATTATCGCATCAAATGACGAAAATCTTTTCACATTATGGTTTCGCACTGTTGGCCGATGGTTTAATAATGCTGACTGGTAATAAACCATTCCTGATGAATATAACGAAACGCATGCATCTAGGATTCGACACGTTGGAACCATTCACGAATAACGAATGGCAATTTCGACATGAGAATTACCAAGACATCTACTATCAATTATCACCGCATGAACAAGAAATATTCCAATCTGATGTTGGTTCATTGGATTGGATGAAATATGTGGATAATGCTACGCTTGGCACCCGTCGCTATCTGCTGAATGACGATGATTCCACCATTGATCGGGCTATGAAACGACAAAAATTCATAAATTGGGCACATGGTTCGGCCGAAGCATTGGCCTATCTTGGCATTTTCGGCATAATATGGTGCAATATATTCGCCCAACATATTCATCAATTGTAATTTGAGCTTTTTTTGATCTAAATAATTTTGTAATTAATTTTTGTTAATAAAAAACATTTTAATGCATCGAATTACAATGAACGAACAAAAAAAACTTGATTTTTATCGATAAAATATTCGTTGTGTTCCTCATGCAGTAAAAATGGATCAACCTTGAAATCGATTGATATCTAAATGATCCATTCAATTGAGACGCAAAATGATAAATCTTTGAATCATGAATCAATTTTCATATTTTACTAGACATGTCTACTCATACACACACAAACGAAATGAAATGAAATGATCGATCGAATCGATGAGATTAATCAATTGATCAATGATTAATTTAATGATTTCTTTATTTATAAAAAATAATTATTTATTCATTTATTTATATACTGAGAATGTGAGATAGAGAAAAGGGATGTATGTGTGTGTGTGTGTGTTTGCGTGTGGCAGTGATGGAAAAAACAAGATAATGATGATCAAGATAATGGATTTTTTTTATCATTGATACATTATCGAGAGTCAGCAAAAGAAAAAAAATATTCGATTCACACACATGAATCACAATGGACCGTAGTAGTTATATTTGGCACCCGGAATATATTGATTGATTGTAGGTAATATAGGAGGGAAATTGATTGTGATGAAAAATGGGTGATGGATATTTATTTACTGGGGAATATTCATTTGATTTGGGATTTTTTTTAATATTTGCCATACAATTTACCGGCTCCCAAACCCAAACCATAAGCACCAGCATTATATCCGTAACCGGCGAAACCAGCACGGCCGAAACCAGCACCAGCTAAACCGGTGCCCAAGATAGCGCCACCACCTAAAACACCACCAGTAGCGATAGCTGGACCAGCACCAATAACACCAACACCAACTGGACCGGATACAGCAGCAACTGGACCGGCTACAGCAGCAACTGGAGCAGCTACAGCGGCAACTGGACCAGCGGCAACAGCACCAACACCAACTGGAGCAGCAACGGTAGCGATGGCATTACCTGCTGGAGCACCACCAGCGTTACGGGCAACAAGAGTTTCAATACTTTCTTGGACTGGTTGAACAGTTTGGGTGATTCGTCGGAATGGTGAGATGACTTCTCGGACTTCTTGGATAACTGGTTTGTTGACAGTGTGTCGCAAGACATGTGGTTCGTCTTGGCTAGCGGTTTCTTGGAACTATATAAATAGATTGCGTGATTAAATAAGAATCGGTCAATTTTCCTGGGTGGAATATACTTACGGAACCAGCTTGACCTTCGTGCATTTGTTGAACATTAAGAGCTGATGATCGTGATCGGAACATCATGTTGACTGGGACGGTGTTGGCACCGATATCAATATTGATTGGAGCGACTGGACCGGATGATGGAACATCGTAAACTTGAACGGATTGTCGGCTTTGTACAGCAGCTTGAATTGGACCACCAACAGCAGCTAAACCGAGACCACCGCCGATCAAAGCACCACCGCCTACCAAAGCACCACCGCCTACCAAAGCGCCACCACCGAGTAAAGCACCATTACCAACCAATGCACCGCCACCAAGACCACTTGCTAATCCATAGCCACCAGCTAATCCATAGCCACCAGCTAATCCATAGCCACCAGCTAATCCATAGCCACCACCTAATCCATAGCCACCAGCTAAACCATAGCCACCATATTTTGGAACGGCTTGAGCCAATGCACACAAACCAGCGACAACCAAAAGCTATTTGTTTCGGGTTTGATTAGGATAGGGATAGAAAAAAAGAAACGAAAAAAAATCAAAAAAAAATCACATTCCGTTTGTTGTCACTTGGTCAGTTTTTTTAGGAGATTGAATGGGTACAACAACACAACAAAAGATAGATTAGGGTGATTGTTTGGTTGACGAAGAAAAAAATGAATAGATAAATAAATCACCGCAACTGTGGAGAAAAACATACTTTGAACATTTTTGTTTTGTGTTTAATGAAATTTGATTTCAAAAAAATAAAAATAAAAGTTGACTAAAGCTGCTGTTGCTGTTGGATGTTGTTTCCAAATTGTTTGATGATCTGATTCATTGAATTGTGAGCCATATTTATAGTGGAACTGTAAACACACGAAAACAATCAAAATGAAATGAAAAAAAAAAATTTTTCCAACATGAATTATTATGAATTGGAAATGTAACGAAAACTAGAGGAATTGGATTGAATTGAAAAGTGAATAGAATTGACCACCACCACCACTATTCACCACAATCCTATGGCCATCGTAACAAAAAAAAAGAAAAAAAAATTCATTTCTTCATCGACAGAACTGATGCAAAAAAAAACAAAGAGTTTCATTACATTATTAGACATGAACAAAGCAGCAATAGAAATTTGTAATTTTCACATTTTCTCCTTCTCATTTTATTTTTATATCTATTATATTTGTATATATATTGGTCGATATTTAGTTTTTGCTCACTTTTTTTTGAACACGTGCTTGAAAAACACGCACTATTTTTTTTGTCACGCTGATCACTTTTTGTTTTGTTTTCTTCCGAAATTTTTTAGCTAAATTTCTCTTTTTTACTCTTATGAAAAAAAAATCACACCACCACCACCACCACACACACAGACAGACAATTGGTCATTTTTCTATACAAATCATCATTGATTACCAATTTTAGGAATTAATTGATAATAATAATTTTCATTCAATCGATAATGAAACTTTGTACAGAACAGAACAGAAAAAAAATAACTCAGTATTATAATAGACAATTGCGTGGTTATTAAATGAATGGAATGTGGATCGTCAGATTGAATGGTATATAATTAATATTCATCACATTAATGATAATTGTGATTGAAATGAAGAAGAAAAAAAAATGTTTAAATCTAAATCTATTTCTTCATCCATTATTGATCTTTTTTTTTCTTGTTTTGAATGTCAAATTTTTTCAAACATTTTCAGTAGTAGTAGTAGTAGTAGTAGCAGCAGTAGCAGCAGCAGCAGCAGGGAATAATTTTGAATAAAAAAAAAATATTCATGGAACACCTACCGGTCATAGTGTTTCATCATCATCATGGATTCATTGACGTTGAATTGCATGTGCATTCCAGATATGTTTTTTTTTTTTTTTTTTTGATTGCTCCAATTTTTTTTCACACATTCATGAAGATATTGGCTTGAAATTGATCATTGTCATATATCAATGTTGATGTTTATGAGTGGAAAAATTTTTCATTTTTTTTTCTCCTATCTCCCACGCATTTATTTTTGATGATTAATTGTCATTTTTATTTTCTGGTGGCCAACCAATTTACAGGCAAACAAATTGACTGAAAACAGAATGGCCATAGTTTAACCTTGAATAATCATGTTGACCGATGATGATGATGATGATTTTTGTTTTGTTTTTGGATACAAATTATCTATTCTAGCCATATAGTGGTCTATTTGTTTTTGTTTAAAAAAAATTTTTTCAATCAATCAATCAAAGGAACAAAAATCGAAAAACGAAACGAAATCATTTCCATTGATGATCATGATCATGATGGCAAAGTTAATCAAATCAAAAACAATTAAATTAGATGAATCAAAAAAAAAAAAAATTCAAATCTAAATCTAAATCAAAAAAAAAATGAATGATTGAATCATTCATTTCACAGCCATCGTCAATGATTAAAAAAAAAAAACAAAACCCAGAAGCAAAAATCTGATCATCATCCATCACCATCATCATCATCATACTCAACACATTTAGAAATGCGTCAGAAATAAAGTCAATTATCATTCATTTCATTCAAAATGGCTACAGAGTGTTGAGATTGAGATTTTATTTTCAAGGATAAAACACCTTGTTTTTTTTCACTTTCTTGGATTAACGGATTTTTTTTTTACTTCATCGCCATTTTGTCGTTGTCGTTGTCGTTGGCCATATATCGATCAAATCGTTGTTGTTGTTGAATGTCCATCATCAGTTTTTTTTCTTTTTATATGACTAGATTTTCTATTAGATTAGATTTGGCATTTCGAATAAATCTTTTCATTTATTGAAATTCAAAACATTCAATGATCCAAGGAATTTGTCAACGTTTCGCCATTTTAATTTTTCTTTTTCATTTTTGCCAACTTGATGAAATTGTGGTTAATTTATTGATCCAAATGATTGTGGTTTGTATATTAATTGAACGCCCTACGGTGATGGTAATGATAATGATTTGTTTTTTTCTCGTTTGAAAATTACCAAAAAAAAAAAAAAAAATTCTTGGAAAAATGGTTTTTTTTTTGTTTCGTTTTTCTCACGCTCGAAAAATCAATTTGTTCAAATGAATAAATTGAAATGAGCCCGTTGAAGAATTTGTCACCCATTTTCTTGCTGATGAATTTTTTTCTAGCCCAAAGGAAAAATTTTGTTTGTTAATCAATCAATCAATTGAATATGTGTTACATGTTTATGTATATATTTTTTTTTAAATAATGACGATGAATGTTCATCCAAAATCTGCCACCCCTAAAAAAAAAAATTTGTATCAAACATTGACGTAAAAAGAAACGTACATTCTACATTCAATTCAATTCATTCATATTTTGGAAAAAGATTGAAACGCCCAAGATAATCTCTCACCATCATACACACACACACACACAATGCACATCATATTCCATCAAAACATTGAAAATTTTGTTGTTTTTTTTTACTTTCGTTTCTGGAACATCACAGGCGGTATATTATATATATTATTATTATTAATGTTGAAAACAAAATTCGATTTGTTTGCTCGCTTGATGATGATGATGAATTTATTTAAGATTTTTTTTTTCGTCGTCGTTGTTGTTGTTTCATTCATCGTCAATCAATGGTCAATCAATGGTTTTTTTTTAGTTAGTTAGTTAGTTACTTAGTTAGCCAAGTTATTGGATTGGATAAATTTTTTTTCATCATCATCATCAACATTCAGTTGGAAATTATAAAGTTTTTATCATCATCAACAGCAACAACATGGACAACATAAGCTTATTTGGACATTGTATATATGGAACATTTTCGTTTGCTTTGTTCATTGTTTTTTTCATTTTTCGTTTTCCAATTTGATATATTGAGTTTTTTTTTGTTTCTATTATTCAGTTTGACTAACACAATTTTTTTTTTTTTTTTTTTTTTGATTTGAAAAATGGAATTATTTTCAGTATCAATTCGGCAGTTTTATTTTTTCGCCTTGAATATCTTGACCATCTCTTGTTCTCAATGTCTGTCCGTGTGTGTGTGATATTTGAAAACGAAAAATTTTTTCGAGCTTCTTTTTTGTTCTGCTCAATAAAAAAAATGAGAAATATATATATAGAGAGAGAGAGAGAAATCTAAATTTACCAATCAAGATTAATTTAGTCATTCTGATGATGATGACGATGGCGACGATGGTGGTGGTGGTGGTGGTGGTCAATTGGATATCAACGGATAAAAAATTGAAATTGAAATGAAATAAAAAAAAGGATTAAATGTGTAAATGGACAGGCGTATACAGTTTTTGTTTAAATTTATTTCAAAAAAAAAAAAAAAATGCGATCAAAATATGTGCGGCCATCATTTATAATTTTTCTTATAACACACATCACCATCGATGGTCAATTTTTGCAAGAAAAAGAAGAAGAAGAAAAAAAGGAAAAAAAAAATTGGCCAATCATCATCATCATCATCATTTCTATATCGACATTGAAATTTAATATGAAAACAGACAGACAGACACACAGACAGAAATTGTATGCAGATGTAATCATCATTGTTATTTAGCCCCGAAGAAGATGAAATTTTTTTTCCAGATCAATTTAATTTATTTCAGCAAACGAAAAGCAAAAATTCAGGAAATGGATGTTTTAAATTGTTTCATTTTTTGTTTTGTTTTGTTTTGTTTAATCAACTTTATTATTGAATTCAAAAAAAAAAATAAAATACAAAAATGCGTGGAAATTGAAAAATGAAAAAAAAATCAAAATTAATTTCACTGCATTGTGTGGATGCATTAGTGGCCAGTTTCAGTTTCAATTGTCGATTAATGGTTATTTTTAATTGATTAATCAATTTGTTGGTCGATTGGTTGACATTGAAAACTGGTTGCAATCATAATAATCATTTGAACACAATGGATAAATTATTACTTTTTTTTTACTTGAGTGAATGAATAAATTATCTGGAAAACGAACATCCATAATGATGATAATCACATTGATTAATATTTTCCATAACCACCAACACCACCAAGTGTGGCCAATTTACCATAACCACCACCATTAAAGCCACCAAAACCACCGCCATTGAATCCGCCAAAACTACCGCCATTGAATCCGCCAAAACCACCATTAAATCCACCTAGACCAGCACCAGCACCACCACCAATAAAAGAGCCACCGCCATGAGATTTTCGTGCAACCAAAGTTTGAATTTCTTCTTGAACTGGCTGAACTTCTTGTTGAATTCGTCGAAATGGTGTAATGATTTCCTGTACATGCTGAATAACCGGTTTTGTAACCGAATGTTTCAAGACATGTGGTTCATCTTGTGAATGTGATTCTTGGAACTATAGATATACCAACAATAATATGAGCTTCAAATCGATTAATCAATCAATTTCAAATACATACCGAACCACCTTGATTTTCATGATGTTGTTTTACATTCAAATGTGATGATTGTGAATGGAAAATCATATTCACTGGAATGGCTTGGGCACCAACTTCAATGTTGACCGGATGAACATAACCATGTGATGGTACATCATAATATTGTACATTATGATGGGATTTTACTGCCAGATTAACGGCATGACCACCGTAACTACCGTAACCACCACCACCATAAGCACCACCACCATAAGCACCACCACCATAAGCACCACCACCATATGCACCACCACCATAACCGCCACTCAAAGCATAACCACCGCCACCACCACCAAGAGCACCACCATAACTTTTAACACCTTGTGTTAAAGTGGCTAAAGCGGCAATAATCAAAATCTGAAATTATGAACAACAAAAAGAAAAAAAAATGGATTAAAATTTGAAAAATAAATATTTTCATTGGCAATCAACAGATGGCAACAAAAGCACAAAAAACAATGTGATACAAAAAATAAGTGGCGACATCTTTCAGCGGAACGATGAAACTTGAAATTTTCAAATTATTTCGAAAATATTCAAAAAACCGAAAAATCTATCAGTTTTGAAACACATACTTTAAACATTTTGTTTCGGGATTTGTATATTGTTGATTTGTAAGTCGATGAAATGATTGATGATTTTTTTTGTAAGTCGAATTTTGATTCGATTGTTTGATATACAAATTTGAAACGCTAATCATCGATTTATATATAAATCGTGGAACGACCGCTGCTATGCACAGAGAATTCTTAAATTTTCAGTCACACACACACGTGTCTCTTCATACACGCGACAGTATTGATCCATTTTTCAAATGAAAAAAAAGAAGGGATATAATTGCCGAAAACAATCATTTGTGGTCATTTTTCCAATGAAAAACAACATTTTTTTCCCATTTATTCTCTTCATTCATTCATCATCAAAAATCATTATCATTTAAAAAATCATTTCTCTCTGTTGTGTGCAATTGTCAACTATTTAATTCAGAATCTTTTTTTCGTTGTTATTGTCAATTAAATTAGCAGAGAGTAAAAAAAAAATTCAATGTCACAAAACAGAAGAAAAAAAATTTTAAATAAAAAAAAGAAACTCATTTAATGATATAGTTCCAAAATAATAAAGGATTATTATCATCATCATTATCATTATCATTATGAATGGCGAAGAGGCCTCAATTCATTCGCAACCAAATAGTGTTCTTTTTTAAAGCAAAAGTTTTTCTTTAAATTTCTCAATTTCAATTTCTTGATTTGTCATTTCATTTTTGGAAAAATGTCCTGCGTGTGTGTGTGTGTGTGTGTGTCAAACAAAAAGTAAAACACATGGCTTTTTTTTATTAATTTGATTACAAATGTGTGTCCACCACCACCACCACCACCGCCACCATCATTATTCAAATGTGTTTTTTTTTTGTTGCACATGGATCACAACAAAAAAAAACACGTGTGTGTATGCGGTGGCGAAAAAAAAATCATTTTTCATGACAAAAAATTTTTTTTTCCATTCCGTTTGATTCTTTCCCTTCATCGAATTCTTTTCAATAAATTCGTTACCATTGAATGACATTTGAATAAAATTTAGACAAGTGGAAAAAAAAACAAGACCACCATAATCGAAAAAAAAGACAAGAGTTCATTATGGTGCAAATGCATAAAATAAAAAAATCCAATTACATCAAAGCATGATAACCGTTTCATTGCACACACATATATTTAGCCTTTCGGGCAAATATAAAGTAACGAAATGGTGATGAGGCTAAATTTCTTAGCGTGTTTGTTGTTCTAATCCAGACAAACAACAAAGTTTGAAAACTCAAAAAAAAACTGTTGTTGATAATGATTTTTTTTTTTTTTGAAAAACAAAAAAGTCAAAAAAAATTTTTATTTTACGTTAATCCAAAATGGATTGAGCCATATGATGTGTGTGTGTGTGTGTGTGTGTGATTGCATTCGTTGCATACCATACACACACACACAAATCTTATCTACAAGCTTCTTATGATGACATTGCGATATATTCGAGAGTGTTTCGAATATAAACAAACAAATTTGATTCAATTACTGAAATTTGTTTGTTATCAATTAATTTTATTCTAAAAAAAAAAATTTATAAATCCATTTTCATCATCATCATCATCATCGTGTTCCAAATTTTTGTTTTGTTTTTGAACATTTTCATATTTGATTGCAATGATCATGATGATGATATTTTTATCATTCAAATGTATGCAAAGTGTGATTGATTAATTTTTTTTTTTCTCAGTTCTGTTTTTCACCATGTTTGGCAATGAATTTTTTGCCTTTGTTTTTTGTTTTTACAGCAGAAAAAAAAAATCTTTTTCTTCCAAAATACCAATCATTATCATTCGAACAACCATTCACATTCACCGTTGTTTCCTGTTTGATCAAACCAAAATTGAAATTATATATGGCAATGTATGTGCGATGTACAATAATAATAATGTCAATCTGATATGATCATAATCATTATCATCATCATCATCATCATTTTATTGATCAAATTCAAATGCAAATCCTTGAATGATTTTCCTTTTGATTGGTAATTTTGTAGTTCAATGAATGAATGAATGAATGAAATAGATCAATATACAAGCCAAATAATTGATACTAACAAGTAAATCAGATGACCATCATCATCAATGTGTGTATAAAAAATTGGAAAATTAAACAAAAAAAAAAAAAACAAAAACATGCCCGAAAGTGAAAAAATAAAAAATAAATGAAAAATTCAAGTACACACACACACACATTTCATTTGATCTGTTTTTTTTTCTCTATATTACAGTGAAGAAAATTGAAACTTTTCACCACCGCCAAAGGTTGTCAACAACAACAACAGCAGAAGCAGTAGAGATTATTGGAATCAAATTAGATCAGATTAGATGGAGCAAATGCAACGAAAAAAAAATTGAACATCTTTTTCCATCATCATTATGGCAAATATTTGCAGTTTGAATCAAATTTTTTTTTTTCAGATTTTCAGTTGTTTATTGTTTGTTGCATCGATAATGATTGATTGAAAATTTATTATGAAAAAAAATAGACAGAGAGACAGAGAGAGAGAGAGAGAAAGCAAATGAAAGATTCATATTCATTTATTAATTATATCCATCCATCGATCCAGTTGACTTTTAACATTTTGCTTTTCTTTATTTATTTATTTGGTGCATAAAAAATAAGCTCGAAAAGTTGAAAATGAAAGTTTTTTTTTCATTTTCATTTTTAAAACGAGACAAAATGGAGTAAAAAAAATAGATTAAATAATTTATAGAGCAAACAGAAAAAAATGATGTAAAAAAAATTACAACAAGGTCGTGATGATTAATCGATTGAACCTAGAGATGTTGTTGTTGTTGTTGTTGTTAAAGTTGGAGGTGTTGGCCAGTTGTTGATTGGTCAACTAAACAAATGTGCATCACAATTCACGTTCATTTGTACTATTAGTTGTCAATAATAATATAATAAATATTTTGTAAATAAATGTCAAATCAATTGAAATGAATTTGTTGTGTTTATGAACAACAACAACAACAACAACAACAACAAAAAACAGCAATAATATTAACCCGGTGAGTACACATAATGATGATGGTCAGTGTGTGTGTGTGTGTGAAGAGATGCTCTTTTTTTTCCTAGTCTAATCTGAAAATCATATAAAAATTCGTAGTCCACTATGGATCCAGATCACATTAGCACAACACATCAGATTGATCTGATCACTAAAAAGCATCTATTTTGAAATTTGAAAAATTTTCAACTGATAAAACAAAAAAAAAATCTCAACCATGTTCAAAGTATGTGTGTGATTTTTTTGTTTCTTTTTTTTTTTTTTGAAATTACGTGATTCTGGTGCTAATTTTTTTTTATTGGTTTTTTGGTGAATAGATTTTCGTTATCGCTGCATCAATTACCATGGCATATGGTAGCGGTTATGGAAGTATGGGTGGCAGTAGCAGTGGTGGTGGCGGCGGTGGTGCTGGTGGTTATGCCGCTCAAGCCATTAATTTAGCTGTTAAATCTAGCCATAATGTTCAATATGTTGATGTTCCAACACAACGAATGTTCAAACCAATCAGTGTTGAAAGTATGTTTTGTCTGTCTAATCAATCTAAAAATCACTAATCAATCAAATTTTTTGTTTTTTTTTTTGTTTTTATTCGAATCAATCAAGTCGGTGCTCAAGCCATTCCAATCAATATGATTTTCCGATCACAATCATCAGCATTGAATGTTAAACAACAACATCAAAGTGCTGCCGGTTCTCAACAAGAATCAAAATCGGAAGATGAACCACATATATTGCGTCATACGGTTAAAAAACCAATTTATCAAATGATCAATGAAATCATTACACCATATCGCAAAATTACACAGGAAGTTAAACCAGTACAAGAAGATATCCAAACAATTATTGCACGAATGTCCGGCGGTTCAAACATGGGTGGCGGATACAGTTCTGGCAGTTCAGGCAAAAGCGCTGGTTCCGGCATGAGTGGTGGTGGTGCTGCTGCTGCTGCTGCTGCTGGTGGTGATGCTGGTTACAGTATGTCTAGTGGTTCTGGTTCCAGTATGGGTGGTGGTGATGGTGGATACAGCAGTATGACCATGAACAGCAATGGTGGTGGTTATTAATTGTCCTTTTTTTTGGATGAAAAAATTTTTTTTTTTTTAAATTCTTAAACATCCACCTCAAATTTGATTCGAATGAGGCTAATTAATTGTTGATTAGTCAAACAATTTTTCGATTCAAAACAAACAAAATGAATTCGATTCATTATTTATTTATCCATTGTTCCTATTTATTTATTTATTTATTTATCCATTGATTGTTGTTGTTATTTTTTCATTATTTTTCATTCCTTATTGTTGTTGTTGTTATGCAAATATCAATTGAAATAAACGATTTTCTTTTTCACTATACAATCCAGAATCAGAATGGAATGTGAAATAATAATGAAATTTTCCAATTTTCAGCTAATAATCACGAAAATCGAACATATACAAAAATGGCCTGGCTATGAATATAGTATAAATAAATTTGACGACCAATTTATTTTTTTACAATCTAAATATTTTATTTTATTTTTATTTTTTTCCTGATTTGGTTTGGTTGTTTTTTTTTACTCTTTAAAACATTATTATACTCTTAAAATGATGATTGATATAACAATTATGGCCAATAAACGAATATGGTTGAAATGTTTGATGGTGATCATCTTCTTCATGACAATTGTTGCAAATATTGTATTGGCTAATGATAAATCATTCATAGTGCGTGGTAATAATGTAACCGAATGGGATTCTGTTCGATATCCATACAAATCTCTTTATGGTATATCCAAAAGATTAAAATGTGATGGATCAATTCATCAACAATTTAATGAATGTGAACGAACAGCACATCATACGTGGCAAGTGACCATTGATGATTATGTGAGTTAATGGTTAAGATAATTTTTATGGTTATTAACAAATTAATCACTATATTTTTTGTCACTATCAAAGTTTTATCAATCAAAAAAGTTTTGCTGTTTCATCTGGCAAACACTTGATTGTGAGAGAGATGTTGCTGCAAAATGTAGTGTTGATTATGCAAAGAAACTTGAAGCTAACGCTGAACAATCATACAAATCAATGTGCGATGGAGTTGGTTCAGCTCGTGATTCATGGACATGTTGGTTTACAGGTGAAAGAACGGATACGATTCTTTGGATTATCGGAATTGTACTTCTTATCTTAGCGACCATCTGTGCATGCTTGGGAATTAGACTTTACAATAGTAATAAAACAAAGTAGGTGATATTTTGTGTTCGTTTTGTTTTACAATTTGAATCAATCTTTTTATATTCAATTTAATTTGAAAATTTTTTAGACCTGGATTGGAAAAAATTGGAAATCCAGAAAATTATAAAGAGGATGTTCGTTTATATTTGGAAACATTTGAGGCCAGAAATCCTAAATTTTCTGCCATATTGAAAGCAACAACTGCGAAGCAACCAGATGCCACTAAACTAACTCGTCCTAAAAGTTTCCATCATATGGAAAGACCAACGCCTGAAGGAGTTGCAGCTGGAATGGTGAGAAGAAAGGAAATTCTCGATCGTCCACCCACTTTACAACGTACTACCTCTGTAAAGCATCCAGATGTATCAATAAAACCAGTTCGTCCTAAAAGTTTTCATCATTCGGAAAGACCAACGCCTGAAATCGTTGCCGCTGGAATGAGAAAACAAGATATCCTCGATCGTCCACCCACTTTACAACGTACTACATCTGTGCAGCAACCAGACACATCAATAAAACCAATTCGTCCTAAAAGTTTTCATCATACTGAAAGACCAACGCCTGACGGCGTTGCCGCTGGAATGAAAAGACAGGAAATCTTCGATCGTCCACCCACTTTACAACGTACCACATCTCTACAACAGCCAGATGCTTCGATAAAACCTTTGACACCAACTAAAAGTTTTCATCATACTGAAAGACCAACACCTGACGGCGTTGCAGCTGGAGTAATGAGAAGACAGGAAATCTTCGATCGTCCAGCTACTTTACAACGTACTACATCTCTACAACACCCAGATGTATCGATAAAACCATTGAGTTCAAGTAAAAGTTTTCATCATCTTGAAAATCCAACGGCTGGCACCGTTGTCCCTGAACTAAATGCAACGAATCGACCACCAACTCCAGTAATGCCAACAACCGAAGGTGTAACAACAACCGTAACTCCCACGGCACCGCCATCAACATCGCCACTTACTGCAGATATCACATCGGCAATGACTAATGTAGATGAAATACAGAGATTGGTGCAACAATTGGATCATCTGAAAAAAAAATGACCATGCTGCTGATGATGAGCAACAATTGAAATTATTTTTGATTTGATTTTTTATTGAAATTTTATCGTTGTTGTTGAGATTTTTTTTTTTTCTTAAAACTTGAAATTAAAAAATGAATGATGTGGTGGTGTAAATAGAGCCAGCATGCGTTTTTTCTACTAAAATATCTATCAATTTGATTCATGTTTATGCCAAAAATCGAGCATTAGATCTGTGATTTATATTTGTTGATTATTGATGAATAAATGTCAACATTGATTGTTCATAAGACGAAATGATAAATAAATAAACACTGATGTTTAAAATAAAAACTAATTAAAATGTCATCAATTTATCACGCTAGATGGCGTTACATATGATGAATGTTGAAACCAAATAAAACAAAAAAAAAAATAGAATTTTTTCAACTTTGGCTAACAAAATCACGAAAATTGAATAAACAAGAATGGATTGAATATCGTGTAAATAAATTTGACGACCAATTTTTTACGATCTTAATTTTTTGGTGTTGTTGTTTTATGTTATAATAATAACTCTTTTAATGACCGGATTTTTGTTTATAGACAATGATGGCAAACAAATCTCTTCAATATTTTTGAGGATAGTCATCTTCTTCATGACGATTGTTGCAAAATTGTGTTGGCTGATAATAAATCATTCATAGTGCGTGGTAATAATGTAACCGAATGGCAATCTATACGATATGCATACAAATCCCCCTATGGTCTATCCAATAGATTAAAATGTGATGGATCGATTCATCAACAATTTAATGAATGTGAACGAACAGCACATCATACGTGGCAAGTGACCATTGATGATTATGTGAGTTAATGGTTGAGATAATTTTTATGGTTATTAACAAATTAATTACTATATTTTTTGTCAATATCAAAGTTTTATCAATCAAAAAAGTTTTGCTGTTTCATCTGGCAAACACTTGATTGTGAAAGAGATGTTGCTGCAAAATGTAGTGTTGATTATGCAAAGAAACTTGAAGCTAACACTGAACAATCATACAAATCAATGTGCGATGGAGTTGGTTCAGCTCGTGATTCATGGACATGTTGGTTTACAGAAGAAAGAACGGATACGATTCTTTGGATTATCGGAATTGTACTTCTTATCTTAACGACCATCTGTGCATGCTTGGGAATTAGACTTTACAATAGTAATAAAACAAAGTAGGTGCTATTTTGTGTTAGTTTTGTTTTACAATTTGAATCAATCTATTTATATCCAATTTAATTTGAAAATTTTTTAGACCTGAAATGGAAATCCAAAAAATTGGAAAATCAACAGATATTAATAAGCAAATGCATTTATCTATTGCAAATTATGCTGCCAATTTGAGACAGGTATCAGCATCTGATGCGCCAATAAAACAACCACAAACTCGAGGTAACCGATCATTTTTACTTCCCGATGGAGGTGGCTCCATAACGGATCCACCATTACCAAGTGGTGTTCCAAAAAATATCCCTTCATCTGCATCAAGAACACCGACTCCAGTAATGCGACCCGAAAGAGCAACAACTCCAGTAATGAAACCCAAAGGAGCAAGTGTTCCAAAGAATATCGCTTCATCTGCATCAAAAGCACCAACTCCAGTAATGAAACCCGAAGGAGCAAGTGTTCCAAAGAATATCCCTTCATCTGCATCAAAAGCACCAACTCCAGTAATGAAACCCGAAGGAGCAAGTGTTCCAAAGAATATCCATTCATCTGCATCAAAAGCACCAACTCCAGTAATGAAACCTGAAGGAGCAAGTGTTACAAAGAATATCCCTTCATCCGCATCAAAAGCACCAATTCCAGTAATGAAACCCGAAGGAGCAAGTGTTCCAAAGAATATCCATTCATCCGCATCAAAAGCACCAATTCCAGTAATGCAACCCGAAGGAACAAGTGTTCCAAAGAATATTCCATCTGCATCAAATGCACCAATTCCAGTAATGCAACCCGAAGGAACAAATGTTCCAAAGAATATTCCATCTGCATCAAAAGCACCAATTCAAGTAATGCAACCCGAAGGAACAAGTGTTCCAAAGAATATTCCATCATCTGCATCAAGTGAAACCGCCGCTATTTTGGAAAATGTAAGTCCTAGTTCATCGGTTCATAGAGGAGGATATTCAAGCGCCACCCTGACCCCAGCTTCATCGAGAAATAGTTTTGGATCAGATATTACTCAAGTGTTATCTCAACCAACAAACTCCAAAATTCAACGACATTCATCGTTACCTGATCTAAAATCGACACAACCAGCAACAATTGAGCGATTGAGTAAGAGTCTTATTTCTGTTCACGATCAACAAAGCCCCTTATCATCAGCCTCATCGACATCATCATATTTATCGGCAAGTGATGGTTATGCTACCGATAGTTCTGGTTTGGTAATGATTGCAGGATCAAAGAAACCAAAATTTCAAGCAAACACAAGTTCCTCATCCGTTCTCGGGAGACAAATAGATACACCATCATTGCAACAAACATCACCACCACCACCATCTCCAACAGCACCTGTTGGCAACGTCTTAGGTAATTATAATGGATTAATTAGAAAAGATCCCATAACTATTAATGTCTTTCTCTTACATCAAACGCATCGGCATCTTTTAACTCATCTGTACCATCAGAACAAATTCCTCAAATGGACGCTCATACACCGAGAGAATTTGTTCTTCAGCCTCCCATCCGATTAGACCGCACTCAGTCTCAAATAATTACAGGATCGAGACAAACATTATTGCCAAAAAGCGCAAGTTCACCATCTATTTTCTATCCCGAAATGGACGCACCATCCCCAACAACACCTGTTGGTAACGTTTTAGGTAATTATTATATTGATTAATGATCAATTAACCAAGATTCCATGATTATAAATTTCTTTCTTTCATCTTACTTTCTTCCGTTTCATCGAACTCAACTCTTTACCACCAGATCAAATTCCTCAAATGGACACTCATACACCGAGAGAATTTGTTCTTCAGCCTCCCATCCGATTAGACCGCACTCAGTCTCAAATAATTACAGGATCGAGACCAGCGATATTGCAAAAAAGCACGAGTTCACCATCTATTTTCTATCCCGAAATGGACGCACCATCATCATCAACAACACCGACCCCGGCAACATCTGTTGACAACATTTTAGGTAATTATTATTATTATATTGATTAATTTACCAAGATTCCATGATTATAAATTTCTTTCTTTCATCTTACTTTCTTCCGTTTCACCGAACTCAACTCTTTACCACCAGATCAAATTCCTCAAATGGACGCCCATACACCTAGAAAATTTGTTCTTCAGCCTCCCATCCAATTAGACCGCACTCAGTCTCAAATAATTACAGGATCGAGACCAGCGATATTGCAAAAAAGCACGAGTTCACCATCTATTTTCTATCCCGAAATGGACGCACCATCCCCAACAGTACCTGTTGGTAACGTTTTAGGTAATTATTATTATTATATTGATTAATTTACCAAGATTCCATGATTATAAATTTCTTTCTTTCATATTACTTTCTTCCGTTTCACCGAACTCAACTCTTTACCACCAGATCAAATTCCTCAAATGGACGCTCATACACCTAGAAAATTTGTTTTTCAGCCTCCCATCCGATTAGACCGCACTCAGTCGGAAATAATTACAGGATCGAGACAAGCGATATTGCAAAAAAGCACGAGTTCACCATCCATTTTCTATCCCGAAATGGACGCACCATCATCATCGACATCAACAACACCATCCCCGGCAACATCTGTTGACAACATTTTAGGTAATTATTATATTGATTAATTTACCAATATTACATGATTATAGATTTCTTTCTTTCATCTTAAACTCATATGCATCTTTTAACTCATTTGTACCACCAGATCAAATTCCCCAAATGGACGCTCATACAACTAGAAAATATGTTCTTCAACCTCCCATCCGTTTAGATCGCACTCAATCGGAAATAATTACAGGATCGAGGGAAACAATATTGCCAAAAAGCACAAGTTCACCATCCATTTTCTATCCCGAACTAGAAGCACCATCATCATCGACATCCACACCATCCCCGACACCATCTGTTGACAACGTTTCGGGTAATTTTCCATTAATTAATTAAGATTTCAAGATTATAAATGTCTTTTTTATCTCAGTCTCATCATCTAGACCACTATCACCGGCACTATCTGAAACATCTGATATTCATCCAAGTATTGGATCGAATAACGCATTAGCAACAACAGAACCAGTAAATTCATCTATAGATGTCATTAAAGATGTTAATATAAGTCGTGGTCCAAGTTTTAAATCGGCAAAAAAAACAATTGAAAAAAAATTTGCATATGAACCTCGATCAACTGTCGTTACTAATTTGGATAGTTTCGAAACAAGAAGACAATCGATCGCTGAGAAAATGACAACAATAGTGCGACATTTATTTTCGTTTTCTGGAACATCATCATACACGAGACCAGTATCAAGATCAACCACTGCTATTTCACCTCAACCATCGCCATCACCATCATCGTCGTCAATCTCGACATCATCGTCGTCAACCTCGACACCATCGTCTTCAACCTCGATACCAGATATGACAGCAACAACGGATATGACACGAGTCATACAAGAATTGGATGCATTGAGTAAATTACGAAATTTAGATTCAACACCATAATATAATTTATTATTGCGAAAATTGAAAAAAAAGATACGAATAACCAATAATTGTTTTATATTTTTTTTTCTATTTTTATAACTCATTTCAATTTTATCGATTTGACAAAATTTATATTTGAATTTCAACGACAGATTTTGTCTTGACATGATTTTTATGACAAGCAGTGCTATTTGTGTGGCAACAACGATATTATTATTTTCTGCCACTTTTTTTTGTCGAAAATTTCACTTTTATCTTACAAAAATATGAAAATGAAAATGTACATTTTTTGTAATTTAAACACTTTTCTTGTTATCTACTAAATAATTTTATTATTCTTCTTGTCATTTCTTTTTTCGTATTTGAATAAATAAATAAATAAATATAATCATCTGTAGGATTGAAAGAGATATGGTGGAGAGAGAAGAGAGAGAGAGAGATACAATCGATTTGGCATTTCAATGGGTTTTTTTTTTTTTTGGTTCTAATAGCCACCACCACCATAGCCACCGCCCATACCGCCACCATAACCACCGCCCATACCGCCACCATATCCGCCACCATGACCACCACCATATGATTTTCGTGCAACCAAAGTTTCAATTTCTTCTTGTACTGGTTGAATTTCCTGGGTAATTCGTCGACGTGGTGTAATGATTTCATTGACTTCTTGATAAACTGGTTTTTTCACTGTGTGTTTCAAGACATGTGGTTCATCTGAAAAAGTGGAAAATTGTATTACCGATAATCGGAAATTATCAACAATACCACATACCTTGTGAATATGATTCTTGATAGCTGCCTTTTTGACCTTCATGTTGTTGATTCACATGCAAGTACGATGATTTGGATCGGAAATTCATATAAACTGGAACAGCATTAGCATTGACTATCGAATTGAAAATTGATTAACAAAATTAATTTTAAACAAATCATTGAGAAAAAATTCGAAAATAATCATACCATCAACATAGACTGGTTTGCTGTAACCAGATGATGGAACATCATATGAACGGATATTGTGATAAGATCGTACAGCTAATGGAATGGATCCGTAGCCGCCACCACCACCATAGCCGCCACTACCACCACCACCACCACCATAACCTCCACCACCATAAGCACAGACCAAAGTGGTCAAAGCAGCCAAAACCAAAAGCTATTTAAAAATGGAAAGAGAAAAAAAATTAATGAAACGAATGATATGCTTTTCAGATGCGGTCAGGTTATCGGATGGTTATGGATCAAAGAAACTCGAGACAAATGGATCATTCAAACGAAAAAAAAAAATCATACTTTGAACATTTTTGTTTGTTATTGAAATGAAAAAAAAAGTGTTGATGATGATTGAAATTTGTTGATCTTTGATGATGATATAAAATGATCGAACGAACTGATCATTTTTATAGTCAAAATCTTAACGTTGTTTATGTGTGTTTTACGTAATTTTGAAAATTTTATAAATAAATAAAAACAAAACGAAACGATAATTAACGATTCTTAATTTGTAATTTGTTTCTGTCTCTATTTATTCACACACACACAAACACGTGTTGCACGTACTTGAATTTTTTTTTCATTTCTTTGCTTTGATTATAACACACATGTACATTATGTGTTAAATGATCAGATAATGAAAACGGACATATTTCATAAAAATATATCTGGATCAATCAAGTCTGTGTGACCAACTGTGTGTGTGTGTGTTTTTTTTTGAAAATCGTGCTCATCTGTGTTTCTTTTGCTAAGAGTCAAATTATTTTAAAAAATTTTTTTTGTTTCAAGAACACTTTTTTTTCGTCGCAAAAAAAGAGAAACTTTTAAAACTGATGATGATGAAAATCAACAGCAACAGCAACAACAACAAGGTGATTAAAAAAAAAAAAAATACACACACACACACACACACACACATAGTGGATACACCCACCTAAAAAAAAAAACACCTGATCGATCCAAATTGAAATCAATTGTGTATCAATTATCAAGAAATTCATAATGATCATCATCTTAATTTATGTAATAAATTTGGAGGAAAAAAAAACTTCCGAATTTTCTAAATTTAACTTCAATGACAGAGAAAAATTTTTTTTTTTAAAACATTTCGTTTTTTTTCTTCACAGATTCAAGATGAAACAAATTTTTTTTTTCGTGTCCTTTCAAACATGACTATAATTAAAACGAAATGAAATCGTATCAGCAAGATTTTATCTCATCACCATAATGTGAACGATGTAAATGTTTATCATTCCGTTGGTCATAATATCTTGTATGATGATGACCATGAAAAATGTTTCTTTTTTTCTCACATTTTCGTTTTTGTTTGCATAACACACACACACAAGTGTAGATTTTCACAATCTTCAAACACTTGATAGGAAACGATAATGACTATTTCGACATTCAAATTTCAAATTTGATAATAATCAATTATTTTTTATTAAATTGGAGAAAACATACACACAGACACTTGTATTGAACAGTGAGTGTGAAAAAGAAAAATCAATTACATAAAATAAATAGAAAAAAAGGGGTAAAATAAATAATGATAACGGGGCTGGAAAAAATTCTTGGCCCACCAGAAATTGTTGAGATAAATAATTGATTCACAAAGACATCCAAATCACGTTTTTTTTTTTGGTTTCGGATTTTTTTTCAAAAAAAAAACTACAGCTACCACTTTGAATGGTCAACTACAATTATTATCTAATAGCCACCACCATAACCACCGCCCATACCGCCACCATAACCACCACCCATACCGCCGCCATATCCGCCTCCACCACCATATGATTTTCGTGCAACCAAAGTTTCAATTTCTTCTTGTACTGGTTTAATTTCCTGTGTAATTCGTCGATATGGTGTAATGATTTCATTGACTTCTTGGTAAACTGGTTTTTTCACTGTGTGTTTCAAGACATGTGGTTCATCTGAAAAAGTGGAAAATTGAATTACCGATAATCGGAAATTATCAACAATACCACATACCTTGTGAATATGATTCTTGGTAGCTGCCTTTTTGACCTTCATGTTGTTGGTTCACATGCAAGTACGATGATTTGGATCGGAAATTCATGTAGATTGGTACGGCATTGGCATCAACTAATTTTTTTGAGTTAAAAATCAAAATTCAATTTAAATTCAGATTTTATGTTTCATGAAAATGAATGTCGTAGAAAAAATTCATACCATCAACATAGACTGGTTTGCTGTAACCATATGATGGAACATCATATGAACGGATATTGTGATAAGATCGTACAGCTAATGGAATGGCCCCGTAGCCGCCACCACCACCATAGCCACCACCCATTCCACCATAACCATAAGAATGGGCCAAAGTAGCCAAAGCAGCAATAACCAAAAGCTAATGAATGGATTCACGATTGATGGAGTGTGTGTGTGTGTGTGTGGAGGGTAAAAGATGAAAAAAAACAATAGAAAGAAAAAATCAATATAATTGATTGATTGAATACACGATTTAGACGGTCAAATCCGGATGACAAAATTCGGAAAAAATGACACGAAAAACAAAACAAACAAAAAAAAATCATACTTTGAACATTTTTTTGTTTGTTGGTTTGCTTGTTTTTTCAAGGAAAAACTGGATGCAAATTGTTTGCTGTATGTTTGATGGATGAATGAATGTGCGTTTGATACAAATGATGGAACAAACTGCTCATTTTTATAGCCGAAAAAAAGTGAACAAAATAATAATAATAATAAATAATACTGTCGCTGTTGTTGTTTTCTGATAATAATTGAAATTGAAATTAATAACGATTCGTAATTTGTAATCCTGCTATGTTTAGCTCAAAGTTAGGCCCCATTCACTTTTGCTTTTTGCTTTTTGTGTGTGTGTGTTTGTGTGGACTGTGTGACTGCCCATTTGTGTTGCACACGTGTTGCACGTATTGTGTATTTGTGCTTGGAACATTTCCACACACACACACACACACACACACACATAGATGTATTGTACAATGATGGAAAAAAATTTAGAAAATAAAACGGACATTATTACATAAATATATCTGGATTAAATGAATGGATGTATGCGTGGACAAAACAAATGAAACGATGATGATGATGAAAAAAAAATGGAACAGATTGACCAACCATTATCATCATTATCATCAACAATCATGAAAAAAATTTTTTTTTTTTTAAGTCGTAGATCTATTTTTTTCTTCTTCTTTCTGTTGAATAATTTGTCAATTGATAAGTTATGGAAAAAATTTTCAAGTTTTTTCTTTTTGCTTCATTCTCTGTTTTGACAAAAAACAGAGACAGAAAGAAAAATCCATTACCACCTACACGTTGGCCAACACCAAAAACAAATAAAACAGATCCGATCTGCGATCCAAAAAAAAAAAAAATCAATCAATCAATCAATCAGATTAATATTTTCGAAACAACGAACAAAAAATATTAATACCGAAAAATTGACTGTTGAATATCAAAAATTTTGTTTTTTCTTTTCGGTTCGGGTTATGCAATTATTTTTCGTGATTTGTAATTACTTCTTTCCATCATTTTTTTTTCTTCGTTGTTATGGTGGTCATTGATCATCATCATCATGATCATCATCATCATTATCTTTAATTCACGAAAAGTGATAGTTTTCTTATTCATCATCTTCTTCTTTTCATTGTCGTTTATTTTTGTTCGTTTCTTCTTCTTTAATTTCAAAGAAGACTTATAATGTCATCCATGTGTGTGTGTGTGTAAAATTATTCACGTGTTTGTTCCATTTATTTTTATTTTTATTTTTTCATTTTATTTCATCGTCGGATGATGATGATCCAATAATGATGATGATGATGATGCTAAACTTGATATGTTTTTATTTTCATCCACACGCACAACAAAATAAAAACATTAATCCAGTGTGTATCCTTGAAAAAAAAAAAAAAAATTTGCTCCTTGGGAACATAGTTAGAGATAAAGATGGAAAAACACGTTACAAATTGGATTTGGACAAACAAAAAAAAAAATATCTTCATGGCCATTTTGTTGTTGAAAAATCAAAAATCAATTTTTTTTTCTTCTATCGATTCACATAATCACAAGGGGGCAATTTTGTTGAAAATTCGGTTCAATTGGCAATCCATTTTCTATTCATCGATGATTGTTGAATTGATCAAGCCAAGTGTGGAATGTGTGGATGTTTAGGTGCCCTAATAGCAGTGTGGATCAAGGACTCAACGCTCTTGCACACACCACCCAGCCAATGGAGAGAAAAAGATCTTGAAATAGATGAATGAATGAAAAAATTATACATTAATTTCAAATAACTACTAAATCAATCGATTGATCGGAAAACCAATGAAAAAAAAATTTGATCTACGAAAGAATAAAATTTAAATATTTTATGATGATTTGAAAAAAAGCAGCAGCTAAAAGTCTTTCATCATTATTATGTAACTAGATGTATAGATAAATTGACCGGTCTGTGTGAAGTAGAAAAAAAAACAATTTTTTTTTTGTTGACCGATTTATTTATTTTCAGATTTCAGATTAAAAAAAAATACTGTGTGTATGCGGCAATGTGAGAGAAAAATGAAAAGCGTGCCCGATCAAATGATTGAGAGAAATTTGATGAAAAAAAAATAAATGTCTAAAATTGAATTTTTTTTTCTTGTTGCGGCCATAATTCTCTTCAATTAGCCAACAATTTAATAATGGGATAATCAATCGATTTTTGATCGATTATAATCATTATTTATTGGATATTGGATCGATTGATTTGTGGATTCTCATACACGAGAACAGAAAGAAAATTGAGCTTATTCTTGGATTATGAATGTATATGTAATGTAATGAAATGACACAAATGACAAAATTAGTAGTAAGAAGAAAAAAAATTGATTTCCATGATGATTATGTAACTGGCGTTTTTTTTTTTGCTTTTCACTGATCATGAAATGAATAAAAAAAAATTGTGTGTGTGTGTTTGTTTGTAGTAATAGTAAATAACATTCGTTTTCATTTCATTTTCATTCAATATCGATCGATAGATGATCGTCGTTTTCTTCATTAAATGTTTTCATAGATTATCATGAAACATCAATTGCTGCTGCACAATCATTATCATTATCGCTATCAGCCATTTTTTTTTTTTTTTGAATGCATACACAACAGTGACAAACAGTGATAAAACACAAACTTTACGGGGATAAAATTTACAAACGGTTGGAAAAATATAACGAAGCAACAAACATTAACATAAATGCGACATTAAATGTGTGACATGGTTTCATTCCATTTTGTTTCAAAATTTGTTGCCATGCCATGCCATGCCATGGAATGTGTGTGCATGTGTGTGTGTGTGTGTATGACTAAATTGATCAATTTATTTTCGGCCATTTAATTATCATTTTTATCTCCATTTCAAGATTATAATCACTTTTTTCAATCTCATTCTGTCTCTTTTTTTTCACTGTTTACATTTGGTCGATTTTGAGTTTTAATTTTCACTTTTTCATTACGATAGACAAAAAAAATGGTTTCCAATTTACGAATGGTCATTAAGATGAGTGGAAAAAATTTTTGACGATGACGATGACGAATATTTACGTGTGTAGAAATTTTTTTATTTTTGGACAAATTTTTTTTCGTCAAAAAAAATGAAATGAAATGGATAAAAAAAATGTCATGTCATTGAATAGGACGATGACAGGATAGAATGGATGGATGGATGGATGGAAAACAACAACAATTTCGACAAAACAACGTCCGTGTTGATATTCATTGAATCCATTTTTTTTGTTAATGATGGTGAATCATGTTGTATAATCATAAAGATTCGAATTTCGATGACCTTGGTTGTTTTGTTTTTTTTAATGGTGTTAAAATTGTTCATTTTCAAACAAAACAAAACAAAACAAAAAAAAACAATGCATGATCATCATCACCATTGTTATTGACTTGATTTTTTTTCACTGATGATGATGATCAAAGGTGATTTGGATTTTGATGACCGATGTTTTTCTTGATTTTATCATTACCATTACCATTATTATTATTATTATTATTGAACATCTTTATATAGAGAATAAACACCTGCAACAATTTTGGATTTCGACAAATTAAACAAAAACTTGAACGAAATCATCATCAGGACTAAAAATAAATTTAATTTTTTTTAACACTAGTAACGCCATCTTTCTATCGTTTCGAATACATAACATTAAACAAAACAAATCAGATAATAAAAAACAATCAATCATCATCTCATTCGTCTCTTTTTTTTTGTTTAGTACAAAATGGATAATTATCATTTTTATACGACAAATTGTTTGATTGTAAATTCATGATGGCAACCAAGACCAGGTATGATTACATTTGATGGTCGTAATGTTTGATGATGATTCAAAATTTTTTCAGCACGATTTCGCCGTGATTGAAATGGATTTACTTTCACAATCAATGCCAATAATGCCAATGTTTGAAATAACAGGACATTCATAATTAACATCAATATTGAATGATTCAGATCATCATCTACAATATGATAACGATAAAGAATTGCTTGAATTTCTTTCGAACGACAACGATCAAAACCATATTGCAAGATTAATGTACCACGATTTAGAAAACGTAATGGAACAAAATTGGATAAGATTTGATAACTGTAATGTAAATCATCAATGGGTGCATTTCCATCGGATAGAAGAAACCATATTATTGAAATGACAGACATTGTAACGATAATGACGGCAAAACTATTTGCAGCAACAATTACCAGTAAATAACCAATACTTTGCATTGGAATCACGGCCAAAATGAATAACAACGTGTACCAATAAAAAATCCCTGGCCGTACGATTTCATAGATATTGATCGTGTAGACAAAACCAATGGTCGTTATTAATAATGGTATCCATTCAATAACCATCCTGGTTAGATAGAATGTACCACTACTGTACCAACCTGTGTGAATGAATGAATAAATTAATTATTAATTGAAATTTAGTTATAATAACTACTAATTTACTACTAACCATTTCGATGTTCATTTGAAAAATATCGTAATTCAGATAATAATAATATTGTACATTGTAGAAATATCAATGAAACAAAAAAAGTATTTGCTGAAATAATGTACATGAAATTTTGTTCCAAATCATCATCTTTCTGGCGTTCTACTTCGGTTCGATTGCAAGTATTATTATAGGATTCTTCCCAATTCACACAACCACTTGTCAGTGCAATATTTGTGTTGATTTTCATTACTAACGATGGACCTTGTATAATAATAAGAATTATAAATGCCGTAAACGATATCCATTTATGTCCACGAATATAGGCCATATATCGTAATAACAATATCCAACATGATCTTAATGAAAATCGGATACGATTCGTTGGAATACCATCGATAACTTTTTGTGTATCTTGCATTGATTCCATTTTGTTTTGTTGATTTGTAATTTCCATCGCTGTTGCATGTTGAGCTAGTTTTTCAACTATCGGATCTGTGTAATTCAAACAAGAATATCGTATAAGTTGTTCGATGGGAAATAAGTTGTTTTCTTCCTTGATTCTCGTTTCATTGATATCGGGAATTTGCATGAGAAATTGTCGTATATTTGACGGTGGACCCGAATAAACACACACACCACCTTTAGCGAGCACATAAAGTTGATCAAACATCATCAACACTTGAATGTTTGGTTGATGAATACTAGCAATGATGGTCAGATTATGTGCACGTGCAAGTTTAGCCAAATAAGCTACAACAACTTCAGCTGAATTACTATCCAATCCACTGGTTGGTTCATCGATGCAAATCAAATTTGGCATTCTTTGGCTAGTTAATTCTAAACCCAATGCCAGTCGTTTACGTTCACCACCTGAACATTTTTGTACATAAGTATCAGCTATATCTGCGATGCCTAATTCATTCAACATATTTCTTGCAATACTTTCATGATTTAAATTGGATTCTTCGGATGAATTTTTCAATCTTGATGCATATATAAGACTTTGTAGCGCTGTTAAACCAGGCATCAGATGTCCAGAAACTTCTTGCGTCAAATAACATACACGTGTTGGACAATATTTTGTGAGATAAAATTCACTTTCTTCACTCAATCGCGTTTTCATTTGTCCATTTAAAACTTTCAATAATGATGTCTTGCCAGCACCCGATGGACCCATCAATGCATTCAATGAACCGAAACGAAAGTGACCATTTAAATTTTTCAGGATTAATTTCGATCCTTGATCAATATTATTGGCTGAACGCATTTCATATATTGATGAAGATGCAAACAGATTGATCGAACGCCATGAAATCATAATTTTATTTCGTGTAAAATTTTCAAATTCAATTTCTTTGCCAATTTTTGTGCGATTTATTCGTGTTAAATCAATATTTTCCATTTTGGCATTTTCATCATAATCGATTGGCAATAATTCATCGTTTGTCGTGGTCTGAGGCAATTGTTTTTTGCCACGTTTATAATAGAAAGAAAATTTCCACCAAAGTATCAAGGCAGTAATCAATCGTATAATAAGAATATTCAAGAAAACTCCAGAAGATTTACTAAATATTTGATCTTGATCAATATCGTTATCGACTAATATATATGAACGTTCCGTTTCAGGATCACAACGATGAAATGAATAAAATGAATATAAAAAACCATTATAAATATAACGATTTTTAACAATTTTCATCACTGTTTGCCATACAGGATCATTCAATTGTTCAGATTTGAAAATAAAACCAATAAATATATGAAATGTTTGTGAAACAATCAATCCTAATATAACGGCAATTTCCAAATAACGGGTGAATATGATGCCAAGTAGAAAACCACAACTTTGAGTATATATGATGATTAACCATGTAAAATAAACATAATAACCAAATCGTTGCCAGTCAATGCGATATTGATCAATATATAAATGATTTACAGTGAAATAATTGAATATTGTAAGGAAAATGGCTACCAATGTAAATTCAAACAATCGTACAAGATTGAATGATAGATAAAAAGCAACCAAACTATACCATTCTATTTATTGTTAAAATGCAAGATTAAATTAAATTTTAGGCAAAAATGAAATCAAACTTACTATTTCGATGTTCATTAATGAAAATTTTCATCATCTGTATAAACGAAATTGCACTGATTGATATTGTAGTAGCACCCGATATCCATATGATATTTGTTAGAAATATACGATATTGGAATATATAATTCTCATTTGAATGTTTTTGCATACAAGTTATATTACCAATATCAGCGCCATCATCATTATTGTCGAATGAATAACACGTGTTTGGTGTAACCATTAATGGATCATACATTGTTGATAAAACCGTAATAAACAATGCCAATGATATGAGTAATAGAAATAATTTTGTACGTTCCACTACGAATACGATGAGTAGTAAACGATTAAATTGTAACCATAAATCATACAACGAAAATTTTTTTTGATTTTTTGAAATAATTTGATCAATCGAATAAAATTCTTGTTGATTGATGATTTTTGTTGTGGAGTTTATCGTCGCTATTTGTTCCTGCAAACATGAATTGGCGAACTTTCTAACCAATTCATCACCGATTCCTAAATCAAACTTAACAGTTATCAATTGTTCTATATGTAATTTCTTACATACCTTTACAGGCTATTTTCGAATATTCTTCAATCGGTGGTTTATCCGCTTCCAATTCTTGTTGGGTTGTTTGTTCCAATTTTCCTTGTAAATTTTTGGCGTCATCAAAATATATGCAAACACCGCCTTTTGCTAGTATATAAAGCTTATCGAAAAGATTCAAGATATCTGAACTTGGTACATGAATTGAAACCAAAATCGTTAAATGATCATTATGATCCACTAATCGTCGTAAACATTGCATAACCAATAATGCTGAATTACTATCTAAACCGGTGGTTGGTTCATCCAGAAATAAGAAATCTGGCTGTTGTAAGGACATTAGTTCCTGTGCGATTGCAACACGTCTTTGTTCACCACCAGAACAATGTTCAAATTGTTTATTCAGAATAGTTTCGTCCAGTATCAATTCCTTCAATACCTGGCCAATGTGTTCATTCATTATTCGATTGTCATCACGATTATTTTTAAATCGAAATGCATATTCAAGTATCTGACGGATTGTCATTTTACCAATGATTGTTTCTTGGATATGTTGTTCAATTATACGAATTACCGGTATCTTGTCATTTCGACGGATATAAATTTCGGAATCAGCTGAAACGCCAGATTGTAATGTTCCATTCAGACAATTTAATAAGGTTGTTTTACCGGAACCACTGGGACCAAGAAATCCGTTTAAACTTTTTCTATATAAATGACCATTCAATCTTTGTAGAATAATTTTAGGTTTATTAAACCAACAATTGTAACGGCTATTATTCACTTCAAAACGAAGATTTCGCCATAAAATCGATACATTTTTCATGGATTGTGAATGATCATCATCAAAATTTTCAATTTCAATTTCTTCTGTTGACGACATTATGATTTTTCATCAGAAAAAAATGAATGTTGTATTTTTTGCAGGTTTTGAAACAAAATTAACTCTAGAGCAAAAACGAAAAAAAATGAATATTCAGCAATCACGAGATATGTTTAGCAAACACTAACCAGAATAATAATCACACATCAGCCTTTCTTTTTATCATCATTTGAGAAATGTGATGATAATATCGATGTGAATTTTTTTACTTTCAATGCCAATGCTGATGTTTTGATTAATTTGAAGAAAGAAATTTATATCTGCAAGGGAATATGTTGTTTTGATAGTGTAGATTTGATTCAATTAATCGTTAAATGTATATGATTTATTTTTGATGTGAATCAATTTGATTTAAATTGCGAATGATTAATAACAATCATCATATGATGTGTTCATGATGATGATGATGATGGGCAAATATGGTATTTTGATTGAAAATTTTTTTTCAAACATTTGTTATTTATCAAAAAATCTACATTGTAGTAAACTCTGATCGATTGATTTAATTTTATTACTTGCGAATAAATAGAAAAAAACTGGTTTCATGTTTTTTTTTGTCGATAAATAAATATATTCGAACGACAAAACACATATATTTTGATTTTTTTTTCTGTTGTGTTCATTTATTATTGATAAAACAGATATTGATACGATACGCTATCCGCCAAAATTAGCTTACTATATGAAATTTTTGAAGCTGTAATCAGATTTAAAAACAAAGGGTTTTTAACCTTTATATTCATTTTTCGATTTTTGATTTCATTTGTAATGAACCTCATTCCAACATTCGATCCAAAATCATTGTGAATCTGAACACCAGGTTACATTATGTGTGTGTGGCTATTATCACACAACCAGTGTTAGTGTTTTGTATCAGTGGTGGTGGTGGTGGTAGTGGTAGTAGACCAAACATTTCATGCATACATTTATGCATAATTGTAAATTCATGCGTACCATGCATATACCGCTCACATTGTGTGCTGTCAATGTGTTTTCTATTTTTTTTTAAGCGCGCCAAAACTTATTCGCATGTTTTACAAATTTTTTTTTTTGCAAATTATCTGAAAAAAATAACCTGAAAACTTGTCAAATAATTGAACGGTTGTGTGTTTGTTTGATCGATAAAGACAATTAGCCTTATTTACAATTAAATCATGGATGCTCTCAAGAAAAAACTTCTTAAAGATTTCAATTCGATTGTCTATAGAATCAAAGAAAAATCAAGAAAAAAGTAAGCAAAGAAAAAACTGAACCAAATCGTTTTTAATCCATATGATACATTTTTAAATAGATAAAATATTGCAAGATTACATGATATTCATTGATAATCTGAATCGATATGTAAATCAAACAAAATGGAGCCAATTTTCCGTTGGCGAGGAAAGATGGCAAGCATTATCATGTTATGTAGAAAAGAATCAATCAAATTCATCATCTTCATCGGAAATTATCGACCAGGCAAAACTGTTGGAGAGTTTCAAACTGTCGAAAATCTTGGCCAATAAAATTATCTTTGTAAATATATTTCGCAGTATTTGTGAAAATTGGTTGTAATAAATTTTTGAATTTTTTTTTTTGCAGCGCAAAACTGCTGGCGTTTTTCGGCTAAATCATCCGTTGGTCATGGCAATGAACCGCCTGAAACACGGATCCAAAGACCAAGAAGAATGTGCCATCCACCGAAAGAGATTCAAAAGCGAATCAAGAATGAGGGAGCATTTGAAAACTTGTCATCCGTAAGTCTGTTAAATCGCTTATAACATTGATAATCTGATTCTCACTTATTATTACATTCATTCTATAGAGAAGTTTATGTTGATACTATCGATCCAAATGAATATGAATATGACCGAAAAAATGTTTGTCAAATTTTGTATGTTCCTGTGGCAACCATTAAAGATGAGAATATGTCTCCAAATTGTGCAAAAGAAAAACCCAAAATTCCAATCATTACGTTATCATCGGATGATGATAATGGCGACAACAAAGAATCTATTGATCAAAATCAAAATGAACAAAAAAAAAGAAGAAATTGAAAAAATAAATGGCCAGTCCACCATCAAAATTATCTCGAAAATCTGAAATTGTTGGATTTCAGCTTAAAATGGCATCCACCAGATGATGGGGCAATCGCAACTTGAAAAAAATTTAACAGGAAACAAAACTAAACTACGAATGATAAATTCAGCAAATAATCAAATACAAAACGACAACGAAGAAGAAGAAGATATTCAAGTTTTTTTTCTGATATTTCCAAAAATAAATGAATAGAAAAACGAATTTTGGAATTGCCTCATGAACACACACATGCACGTACAACAGAACAACATATTGTATATATGTGAAAATCGAAAAAAAAAATTCAATCCAGCGTTTCAATGTCATCATCAACACTAACGACAACGACAAACTTTTTCTCTATATATACGCGTGTATATCAATTTAATGATCATGTCCATTTTTTTGTTTTGTTTTGTTTTGTATTCGTCATTGAATATTTCAATCTTCTTCAACAAAAATGTTAATGTTGCAATCAATCATCGAACAACAACAGACAATGAATGAATGAATTGAATTGAAGCTGTAATGTGAACATCATTTCTTTTTTTCTGATTGTTTGACTCATAGTGTGATCAAGTTTCTTGTTACATCATTTTGTTTCTTATTGATTCTTTGTTTTCCATTTTTTTTTGTTGTTGAAAATTCTATTGATCTCAATCAGTCGCCAATAATGGTCAATTTACTTCGTTTATTCTCAGCCATAATCATCACCATATTTGTATTATGTATTCAGCAGCCATCAATTGTCAATTGTGATACATGGATTACATTGTGGAATAAACTCAATATGCCAGTAGAAATTCAATGTTTTCGTGATTCAGCAATGAAAGTTAGAAAATTTAAAAAGAAAATTATCGAACCAGATGATCGTTATGATATTAAGGGGTAAGTTTCAAAAAGAAATCATGAATTGATTATGATGATCGTTAATTCACGTGACACTCGTTTTAGGAAATATCCACAAAAATCAATGAAAAAATTTTATCGCCATTGGTGTGAAGTAAAAACCGATGATAATATTTCCATTATGTTTGACGTATTTGGTGGTAAAAATAAAAAAATCAATAAAATGTCTGATTCTTATTCGGATTGGATCATAAATTCTGGCGGCATTTATCGTTTCCGTAAGGGACAATTATTTATGTATTATGGTAAAAATTGGCTCGGCGAAGAACATAATATTGAAGATGATTTAGCCGGTACACCGGAAAAAGAATTGCATCCAGAAGATTTTGTTTTCATGTATGTTTAATTGATTGATTTTTTTTTGATTAATTGATTGATTGACTTTTTCATTTTCCCAACTTTCCCACCACCTTAGTGCACCGGTTGATATTGATTTAAAAACGGCTAAAATGCCAATCGATCAGCAACGATTTGCCATTACAAAAGCTGAATATGCAGCATTGAAATTTGAAAATCCCAAAGATATGGCTCGATACGTGAAAGCGGCAATGAAAAAACGTTTCGGTTCATTTTGGGAAGTATTCATCGAACAAAAAATGTCAAATAAAACCGTAAAACGTACTTGTGATTCGAAATTTGTAATGAATTTTTCCGTCAATGATTTAGCATTTATTGTTTGTCGTGTAATGAGATAAAATCGAATCTGATCTTGATGCAGTGTCTATTTCTTCCCTGAACAACAACTCGATTCCGTTAACTCGTTTTTTGTTTTTTTTGAATTTTGATTTTCAAAAAATAAAAAATTCATTTTCATCATCATTTGAATTAAAAATAATTTTAATCAATCAATAAATAAATCAATCAATCATTTTTTACGTTTCTTATTCTTTTTTTTCTTTTTGCATTTTTTAATTACATTGCTACCTCGTTGAGATTGATTTTTTTGTTTTTTCAATTTTTTTATTCGGCGATTATGTTCACGTACTTCACGATTACCGAATATTAATTTTCGTTGTTCATCAGTGATTGTTGAATCATTTTTAATTAGATAGAAAAATGTTCCACCTGGTGAACGTCTACGTTGATGCTGTTGTTGTTGTTGTTGATCATTACCATCATCAATCATAAGGCCACCAACATCTTCAATATCTAATACTTCGGCCATTAATTGCCGTGCACGTGTTTCACCCAAAACATCGACAGTATTTTCTGTGTGTGTGATTAAACAGACAAAAAAAATGATTTTTTTCGAAAAATTTTTGACACAAATTGAACTTACTGATAATATCGGTTCGTTTTTCTCGAAGTTTATAGGCAATTTCACCAACGATTCCTGGTTTACGAATACGTTTAGGTTTTCCATCCGATGATGAAATTTTTGGTGCAAATTTTTGCTCAAAATCTTTTTGTGACCATTGAAAATAATTTTCACGATCATTTGATTCATTCTGTTGTTGTTGTTGTTGACATTTCCGTTTCTGTAATCGTAATCGTTTTCGTCGTCGTGCTGCTGCACGTCGGTCTTTTATTTCCAATGTTTCATTCATTGTATCGGTTAGTTGTTGTTCCATAAGTATTTCCGACCATATACTAAATTTATTCTTAGTATTCGATTGATCGACAATCGTTAGCTTTGGTGATGGTCGAGACAGGGATGGATTCAAATGATCGTTTTTGATGACAATTTCATCGTTATCATCGTGAATTTTGGCACCAACATGTCTACGATCATCACAATCAGAATCATCATCACTAGAGGATGAACCAGGTGGTTCGAATCGAAATGGTTTGGTAGCTGTAGCCATTACATTATCATTTATGGATTTAGATGAATTCAAATTCATTTTCAATCAAATGAAGAAGAAAGTGAAAAAACATGAAACAAAAAAATGATACACGTGAGAATTCTTTCTCTCAAATGAGTGTCCTAGTGTTTATGAACGGTTTGGAAAATTTGGCACGTGTTTATAAAGCAAAAAAAATTCTTGACATTCTGAGATTTGAGATTTAAATCCACAACATTAAAAAAATGGATGGATCCAAAAAGAAACCAAAAACCAGTCATCATCATCATCATCGTCATCATCATTCATTGGGTAAAGCGTTCTGTAAAACACAGATTAATTTACCATTCCCATATCCAATGTTGGATTTGAAAAAGAAAACAATATGGCCATTTTCTAAGGAAGAATTTTTCATGATCGCTATTGGACGATTAATCGAGAAGGAAAAATTAATTTCCATTGAACATTTGCCTACTATTTTAGCATTGAATAAAATGGGTTTTTTCGGTGCACATTCTAGCCGTGAAATTATATTCAAATCAATGATTGATTCAACAACACAAAACAATCGACAACAATCACAAAATAAACCAAAATTTACGGTCGGATTTTTTTCACTAAAAACCGTCGATATACCATCGGCATTGACAACATTTATTGGTGATACAAATGTAATGGTTTCCTTTCATTTCTTTTTTCTCTATACTAATGGCATGTTTTGTTTTTCATTACAGAAACTTAAAAAGAATGAAAATCAAAATTCAACGACAACAACAAAAGATCAGAAAACATCATTCACAAATATGAAACTTAATTTGGAAGAAGCTTATTTCCTGAGTTATGTGTTTGGAATGTTGAAAATTGAAAAAAATCCCAAAGAATTTTATGGTCTTGATGAACTATGGCAATGTTGTTGTCGGTTATCCAATGATGATTCAAAATCTGGTGGTGATTGTACTAAATTCGTTACACGATTTGCTGCATATTATTATTTTCGTTCACAAGGATTTATTGTAAGTAATGGTTTTAAATTTGGTGTCGATTATTTGCTGTATGAAGAAGGACCACCATTCAATCATTCACATTATGCTGTTATTGTTGAATATAAATACGATGATGATGATGGTGATCAAAAACAAAATGAAACATGCAAATATAATGAAATATCTGGCCTAATACGAATATCGAACAATTCACGAAAAGAATTAATTCAATGTACAGTGATTATACCGGCAACATATCGATCACATTTATCCGATTGTGGACCTGGTTGTATTAAATATTTTCATATTAATCTTATTCATTTACAACGTCAAACATTGGATACATGGCAAAATAATAGTGGTGGTGGTGGTGGTGGATGAAATTGACAATTTTTTTTGTTAATAAAATTTTTTTTTTTTGATTTTATAAAACAATCGATATTTTTTTTAAATAAATACTATTGCGATAGTGGTGTTGTTGGCGGAAAAGTGTCGTTCATCACTATCACACAATTTTATTTATTTTTTCTTTTGTTTTTTGTTTTCATTTCGTTTTCTTTCTGTTTGTTTATTTGTTTGTTTGTTCATTGGATTTGATTCAGAAGGTTCGAAGGTAAAAACTTTTTTTTTCTCATTCCATTTGATTCTTTCCAACTTACATTATCGTCGTCGTCATCATAGAACCTCTTGGCCGTTGAGATGCCGACCCTACTGATCGTAGATTGGTCGGTCGGTCGATTGTTTGCACAATCAGACACGAACGAACTTCGAACACCAAAACAACACTGGAAAATTTTTCTTTTATTCACTCAATATTTTGGTTTTGTTTGTCTTTTATCATCGGAACCAATGTCGAAAAAAATTGAAGTCCATGTACAACTTGGGTGTACACAACAACAACAACAACAATTAGTTCATATTTGAATCTTTGAACAGTTTTTTTTCTTTTTGTGGTTACCTTGGAGAATTTTTCTTTTTCATCTGACAAGGCCATCATCATCCACACATACATACCATATACCGGCAACCACAATGAACTTTTATCATCAACAACCATCATCATCATCATCATAAATGACTAAAAACCGCGAAAATAACTTGGCTAGTGGCTTGAATAGTGGGAAAAAAAACAGTCAAAGAATCAATCATCAAGAAGCCGAACTCAATTTTTCTTTTTTTTCGGGTGTTTCGAAAAAAAAACATTGTCGAGATCAAGAACAGTTCAAATCAAGTGTTCGATTTTTTTTTTCTTTTTTTTTGGAAGTTCAAACTCAAAACTAAATTTTCGAATGTTTTATCGACGGATATAAGTGTGTGTGTGATGACGATGATGATGATGATGGACAACAACCACCACCAAAAAACCAATTGTACATCTGCTTTTGTTACCTAGGTTTTTTTCCAGCAGATTTGTTTTTTTTTCATTTTACTTCTCTTCTCTTCTTCCCAAGAACAAAATGTGCATTATTATCGTTCATTGATCACCATTATTACGATTACGATTAAATCATCGCCAATTTACCAGATTTTTTTTTGGTGTGCAATAAATAAATGTCTCTAAATTGGTAACCACTGAAAACAAATATTAGTCGAGGCCATTGTTTTTTTTTTTTTGTTTTGCTTATCGATTCATTTCATTTCTACACATTTATTTTGATTTTTTTTCTGTTTCCATTTCATCATTATATAGATTGATTTATTGTTGTTTTAAATAATGGAAATGAACATCTTTTACTGAAATGCAATGAATGCAAAATGGTGATTGTCGCCATTTTGCATTAAAGTGAATTTTCCATATGTCATATGCTTGTAAAATCCATTATATAAATGTTCTAATTTTTTTTCTTTGTCAGTTTTTTTTTTAGTTTGAAAATTTAATTTTTCGGGCAATGACATTGTCATCGTAAAAACGATTGTTACCGGAAAGCATTGCAACGACCAACGAAATGATTTCTTAACAAATGTCTTCAACATTTGATGGCAGTGGCGGACATTTATTACATATCGATCGAATCGATCGATCAAATTCAAATGAATGTTATACATCATCATCATCATCATCATCATCACCATCATCAAATCATCACTATTGATAACAACAACAACAACTAAGGGAGGAGAATGTATAATACTTGTCAATAATATTCAAGTGTTTGTGTGTGTGTGTGTGTGTGTGTATACATGAATGCGGCAATAATATACGAACAAATGTAATTGTCTAAATGTGAAAATGAATGAATGAATGAAAAACATCAACATTTTGATGCATCAACAACGCATAAGCATATATATCGTATCACAACAACAACAACAACAACAACCGAAAAAAACCAAACCAGTCATTTGTTGTTTTCGGGTCGTGAAAATCCATCTCCATCGTCAACATCATCATCATCATCATCAGTATCAGTCAGTAAGAAGAAAACGACCCGTTCTTTTTTTTCTGTATACAAGAAACAAAGTTTAACTTGGACTCATACAATTGCACAAGTTAATCTATAACCGGGGAAGAACGGCGCAATTCTGACCAACAGCACAAGCAAACAACAAACTATGGAAAAGAATCATACTCCATAGCCTGCATGCTATTTACAACAGAAACCATGCATCAACATTCATTTTTATTTTGCATTGTCGTCTTGCGCGCCTAAAATTTTCATGATTTTGATGTGTGTGTTTTTTTCTGGTTCAAAATGGTGTATTGTGTTTAATTTTGAGATACAAACTCACATCACTCACATCACACACACACACACAGAGGAATACATCCCATCATTTTTTTCCGATTTTTGTGACCAGCAAACCGAAAACCAGAAAATTTTTTTTCTTGACTTGTCATCGTCATCCGTTCCATTATTATTCTTTTTTGTTTTGTTTTGTTTTGACAATCATTTCTCCCGGTTTTTTTTCGTACATCAGAATTTTTTTCCTCTTTTAGTTCCATTTTTTGTATATATTCACAATACACAATATAAATGTCAGGCGCATTTTGGTATCGCTGACGCCCATTCTTCTATTTTCTCAACCCCCTTTCCGTTCTTTTTGACTGGCTCCAATTTCCAATTTTTTTTTGTTCAAGTCAAAAAAAATATACAAGTAAAAACGCACACAAACACACACACACACACTGGTGGTAGTTCATCACACAACAATATGAGATTGCAATCGAATGATGAAAAACACCATTCACATCTTTTTTCACTTTTTATTACCCATTTTGATATGTTCAATCGTCATAGTCATCGATTGTGAAATTGTTTTTTCATTAAAAAAACATCATTTTGTGACTCATCATCATCATCATGGATATGATATTCCAGTTTTTTGATTAAAAAATATATAAACCATGAATCTTTTTGTTTTCATTCAATTCTAAAATTGTCTTCGATATCATCATCATCATCATGATATTATCACATCACCATGAGTTTTTTCTAAATCGTTGATATCTTCTGACGATATATCAACAATTTTCTCACCAATTATCAATTTTGATATTCAAAAAAAAAACATCGACAACAGATAATGTTTTGTATTTGAATCCATTATCATCATAAATCCAAAACAGAAAAAAAATGGAACAAACATATAAATTGCTGATATTTTTCACCATATTCTTTATCGTATGTATCATTTGATTTCAATTTTTTAAATTTTAAACATCATCATCATCATCATCATCATTCTTTTTTGTGTGTTGTTCTGAAGCACACAAAAAACTAAAAAAAGATTTATTGATGCAAACATGCCACAACACACATACAAACAAACAAACAACGAAACGAAACGAGAAAAAAATCACAACAGCCCGGTCATAAATTAGTGGTGCTGGTGATTGGTTGTTATTGTTGATGAGAAATTTTCTCTGAATTAATTATCAAATGATTTTTTTTGCGAGGGTTCAAATTTCTGAAAAAAAATTTATTTTTTCATAGCACCACCACATTTTTAAATTGATTCATCATCACACACGTTATATGTGGATTTTTTTTTCTTTCACTTTTTGTCCAATCTACATTGACATTTTTTTCATTTACAATATTGTGGACATATTTGGGCCACACACAAACAAACACGTTAATGTTTCTTATCAATCAAAAAAAAAAAAAAATTCTTCTGGCTACTAACTAAATAATAACTATGATGATATTTGCATTTAGCCATTTTAGTAGTAGTTTTTTCCATTATTTTTTTCTTTTTTCCTTTTTGTTTGTTTGTTCAGTACATACCAGAGCTAGAAATATGGCCAAGAATGGAATTTTGTATACGCATAAAACACACACACACACACATGATTCTCTCTTTTTGGTTTTTTGTGTGTTATTTACATTCATATAGTGATGAGAAAAAAAAATCCAATGATTTTGCCAGAATTTTGAAAATCTATATCGAAATACAAACAATGATATGTGGTCCGGTCTATCAAGAATCGAATGGGAATTTTTTTTCGAAGAAGAAAAAGAATTTTGACAATCATTGAACCAAAAATCGGTAAATCTTCTTTATACCTTCATATTCTGTGCATGTGTGTTTTGATTGGCAATTTTGATTTGAAATAATCAAAACATCTGTTTTATAATCATCATCTACCCTGTTTACCTACACGCGCTAGAGAGGCCTTTTTTTGGTTTGACAGTAATAATAATAAGTGTGTGTGTGTGTAAGTGTAGATTTCGTGACTTGAACATCTTATTTTATAATTGGATTTCTTTTTTTTCTTGATAATTTAATCACACAGAAAATAAATATCATTCCCATCGTGCACACATATACATCATTGGGTCGTGGTTGGATCTGATTTACAATCATCAATGAGTTTAATTTCTGATGTTATCAATTATTCATATAAATAATGATCATTTGAAGGGTGATTTTTGGATGATTTGAATTTTTTTCCTTTTTACGATCCGAATGTGAATGAATGGAATTTTTATCTTATGAATTGAATCTCACCGAACATTTGATTTATTACCTTTTTTTGCATCCAAAAAAAAAAAAATCGCCAATCGAAAATTAGATCAAAGATATGCACAAAAAAATAAAATAACGAAAGTTCGTGTCATTCAAACATGCATTCATCATAAATAATAAAAACATTTTTTTTCACATCAATCGATTCTTTTTCGACATTTTTTTGTTTTCATTTCATTTTCTGATGATCACGATTCTTTAAATTCTTGCTGATTGTTTGTTTGTTGTTTGTTTGTTGTTGTTATTATTATAAACAAAATGTTTTATTTTTCTTTCTGCGTAAAGTTTGTCAAAAAAAAAACATCAAGACTAAATACACATAAACATACTATAATAGTCATTGAGAACATCATCATGTGAAATGAATTTTTTTTTTTTTTAGTTTACATTTTCTGTGCATATATACACAGAATGAATTTTGATGATGATTTGGTATTGTTTTTGTTTCGATTCTTGGCTCATCATTTCCTAAATTTTATTTTATGTTTGTTTTATTTTTTTCTCTTAAAATTGTAAAGCAAAGTATGTTTTTCCTTGCATGGATTTTGATTCTGAATTTGATTTTTGGTCTTGTTTTTTTTCAAGGAAAAAGAATAGTAATAAGACATATACACATTGATTCTGATTCCATGATTTTCATTGATGATTGAATGAAATTTGTTTATTTGCACATTTGTAAATATCAACCATATTTATATTTCTGATTTATTATTATCAACCATTTACCATTGATGAACGAAAATAGGTCATTATTTAATATTTCATTATCATACACACACAATGATGATGATGATGATTTACATTTATTTATAGTTTCCGATTTGATTCAATCTTATGATTATTTTCCATTTCTATTGTTGTTTAGTTATTATTTCTGATAAATATTGATCATTATTGCCTTAATGTATTACCATCATCCAATGATAAACATATTGTTAATAATAATGCTGATGATGGTGCCAAGAATATTCCATCATCATTAAATGAATGGTCACAATGGTCATCTTGGTCTCCTTGTTCCAGGTATATATGGAATTGATTTTGTTTAATTTTGAGAATTTTCGTTTTCTTTCTTTTTTTTTTTTTTTTGACAAAACAGAATCTGTGATGGAGGCATAACTACCTCAGTACGTAAATGTTTGTCTCGTTCTGGTTGTAATAATGGCCAATATAAACGTCATAAATTATGTAATATGCAGCCATGTATAATTAAAACAAATTTTCGTCAAACACAATGTTCGGCATTCAATAATAAACCATACAGAGATCGTTATTATGAATGGTTAGCATTTATTGATCCTACCGATCCGTGTAGTCTGACTTGTAAAGCAAATAAATTGAATTTTGTTGCCAAACTATCACCATTTATAACTGATGGTACTAGATGTACTCCGGATTCATTGGATGTATGTGTGGCCGGCAAATGTTTGGTAAGATTTTTTTTGGTTTCAGTATTTTTTTTCTTCATATTACACATCTATTTTCGTGTCAAACAGAGCGTTGGCTGTGATCTTCAATTGGGATCAGCGAAAAAAATCGATAATTGTGGTGTATGTGGTGGTGATGGTTCATCATGTAAAAATCATTCATATCGATGGTCACATCGATTCGAAACCAATTGTTCCACCATATGTTTATCCGATCAGCTTTCTCAATTTCGTACATCATCTGTCGTGTGTGTGGATGCCAATGGATCCAACAATCAGCTTGTCGATGATCTATTCTGCCCAATGGATGAACGACCAAATCCGATAACATCACCATGTGAACCAAGTGAACATTGTAAATTTAGGTAAATTATTTTGTCCAACAAAATCGACACATTGACCTTGTGGTGGCGTGATATCGTCATCAATTATTAACCCCAATTCGAACAGATGAGTTGAGTGTAAATGTGCTTTGGAGTTTAGTTGAATAAACGTAGTCAATAAATACACTATAACCTTTATTTTTTGTTAATCTCTCTCACAATCCATTTTTTTCAACAAAAAAATATAGATGGGTAACCGAAGAATGGTCAAAATGTTCGCAAAGTTTAGGTTATCAAACACGTGCCATTTATTGTGTACTTAGTATTAATCATAATGTAAAAATTGATGAAAAACAATGTGAAAAAATTGGTTTAAAACGTCCGGAAACAGAAAGAAAATGTAATCAAGAAGAATGTCCCCAATGGTATGAAGGACCTTGGTCATCGGTATGTTGTTGTTGTTGTTTAAAAAAATCTGCATCAATTGATTAATTAATGGCTTTGTTATTTATTATAAAAATACAGTGTTCTGAAACATGTGGTAATGGCATCCAACGGCGTCTTGTTGTATGCAAGGATAATCAAGGATCGCCAAGGTTAATTAACGTGGTTTCTTTTCTATTATTTTGTTAATCTGTTGAGTTTATTTTCACTATTTTCATTCTTTAGTGATAAATGTGATTGGCAACTAAAACCATTGGATAGCCGTAATTGTTCGGATATAACGGATTGTCTGAATGGCCAATCAAATTCACAAGAAGATTCTCCAAATATGATTATTGATTCGATGACAAATGAGCCAAGGTACAACATGCAATTGATTCAATCGATTTTTTTTCAAAACTTTTTTTTCTCAATCAATTAGCTATGATATTGGCCCATGGTCATCATGTAATGTAACTTGTGGGATTGGTTACAAAAAACGTAACGTTAAATGTAAAATTTATCTTGAATTTTCTCAAACATTTGCTACAATACCATTTAATCAATGTTCTGGGCCAAAACCAGCTGATTTGCAAATTTGTTATGGATATGATTGTCATATGGATGGAACGAATTCACTGCAGAAATATAATCATCATTCTAGTATTGAACACGAGAATAATTTTGAAATTGAAAATGAAAAATTTCAATGGAAAATCACTGGTTTTACTAAATGTTCGGCAAATTGTCTTGGCGGTATACAAGAATCAATTATTGATTGTATTCGAATTGGTGATAATCAACGAATGCCTACTGAACTCTGTCCATTGGAATTGAAACCTGAAACTTATACACGAATATGTAATGATCAACCGTGTGTACCACGTTGGAATCTAAGTGAATTTGGTGATTGTTCAAAAAAATGTGGTGAAGGTGGTTATCAAACCAGAATCGTCATCTGCATACATGAAGTAGCTAGAGGTAAAAAAAATTTTGTTATCTTACCGGATAATGAATGTGAACCGCCTAAACCTAAAACTGAACGGAAATGCAATCAAATCGATTGTCATCCCCGGTGGGATATACAACACTGGCAAAAATGCTCACGTGAATGTGGTGGTGGTTTGAAAAAACGAAATATTTATTGTGTCAAGGATTTTGTTATTGGTGGCTTGCAAAATATTTCTCTGGTTGAATGTTCAATGATGAAAAAACCAAAAATATCAAAACAATGCAATCTAAAACCATGTCGAACATCAGCTACTTCTACTACAACACTGACCGGTGAAATGGTACGAAAATCCAAAAGAAATCATTATAATGGAATATATCCAATGATTCGATTGCAAGATCATCAAATACAATATAAACATGTGTTCAAAGTACAAGGCCAAGTGACCATCCGTGAAGGATCAAGAATTAAACTTTTATGTCCAATGACTATTCAAACAACCGGAATAATACCGAAATGGCTTAAAGGTCATGACCGTATCCGACCAGAACGTAAACGTTATATAATGATGGATAATTTTCTTAAAATTCGTAATGTAAAATCCAATGATACAGGTGTTTATAAATGTATCTATAATCAATATGAAAAAAAGGATCAAGATGATGATGATGATGATGGTGGACATTATACAGCATTCAATGTTTTTACATGTTGTTCCACTGAAATCGGCAATAATGTTGGATAATAATGAAATTATGAATGATCAACACTCAACAACAACAACAACAACAACGACGACAACAGAAGTTAATAATTATTATCAAAATGAATTGGATATGTCACAGGAAATGGAAAAATATTCACTAAAAAGTGAAACAACTAAACGAACAAAATATCTATTGAAAGATGATGATGAAATTGTGAATAATGATGATCGAATAAAATCTATACGACCTGATAGACTTGGTGGTATTCAGGAACTAATTGCAAAGTTTGGAAAACCGAATAAAAAATCTCATCAAATACCATCATTAGTGGATAGTTCAAGTGAAATTATCGATGAAAAACAACATCAGCAGCAGCAGCAACAACAACAACAACAAGTGGAAATAAGCCAATTGCCAAAGCTACAAGGCCAATTTAATTGGATTACAACATCCTGGTCTAATTGTACTATACCTTGCGGTGGATTTGGATTCAAAGTAATTAATCAAAAAAAAATTTTTTTTCTCATTCGTCTGACCAATGGTTTTTCATGATAAATTTTTTTTTCAGATACGACATAGTCAATGTTATGTACGATTAGGTAATATGACCCGTAAAGTGAATGATTCATATTGTATTGAAATGGGCATGGCTAAACCAAAAACATTTGAAACATGTGGACTGGAAACATGTTCATATTGGAGTGTTGGACAATGGTCTGAGGTGAGGCCAAAAGATTGAATAATTCTTGTTATTTTTTTAATGGAAAATTCATTAAATTTTTTCTTTAATCATAATTAATAATTACACACACACACACACACACTTTTGCCACAGTGTCAAGGTTGTATAGACATACATAAAGGACTGCAATGGCGTAATGTTGAATGCCATCATCATAATGGTACAATCATTGTGGATGAATCCGTTTGTTATCAATGGAACGATAAACCAGTTAATCGTCAAGAATGTTATCATCATTTGAATTGTATACCAATGTGGAAAATTTTCAAAACAAAAATCAAACAATCAATAAAAGTTTGTTTTTCTTGTTTGTTTCAATTTGTTTTTTTTTTGTTTATAATTAATGTTTCAATTTTTTATTTTCATTTCTTCGATAATCTAGTGTCAAAATACTAATGATCATTGTGAGAATGATGTTGATTTGAATGGAAACGACGAAAATAATAATAACGATGATGATGATGATGATGGTGATTCGAGGACAAAATTATTATCAATTCATTGTGTTTGGAATGATCAAATGCTTCAGGATCAACCTATTGATGAAAGTTATTGTGATGGATTAATTAAACCAACAACAAACTAACAAAAACAACTGATAATGATTATAATTGATGAATGTTGATGATGTCGCCACAATCGATCCATTGTAATGAATTTTTTATTTTTATTTTGCTTAGTTTTGTCAACAACAACAAAAAAAAATTGAGACACTACACATGTATATTATTAATGATGTCATCAATGACTGTATTCAACAACAATGACCACCACCACGCAATTCATTTCATATTTTTCATTTTGTTCATTATCACCATCATCATCGTCAACAATGTTGTTATGGTTTGTTTACGTTTTTTTTTTTTCATTTTGTTACTTATATAATTATTGATGTCCACACTTGATTAGTGAAAAAAAATGTTACTTAACTCACACACACACACACACACACACACACACACAAATGCACACGCACGCACTAAAAGCATGTGTATAGTATTTATCTGATTACCATTTGTCCGGCATTAATTCTTATTTGTCCAGTTGATTTGTGAATAAAAAAAAATTTGCCCATTTTATTCGAATTTTTTTTCATATTGAAACTTTCAATCCATGAAGAAAAAAAAATTGAAAAATCTAAATTCAGAACATCTTGATAATCATCGTAATGTACGATGATGACAAATATAGATGGAAAAGCAAAAAAAACAAGTTTTGACACCATCATCAGACACATTTTCAATTTTTACAAAAATTGAAAATTTTTAATTTTAAGATAATTTAATTTTTCAAAATAATCAAATTGCTTGATTGAATTAAGAAATAAATGAATCAAGATGATCATGGTCTTGATAATGATTTTTAATTTTGTTGTTTAATCATCATCATCATCATCATCATCATTTATATCATTTGTCATTTATTATTGGTTATTTGCATACATAATCAACAAAAAAAAAAAAACAGAAAATTAATCGAAACATATCCGATACGTTTGTTTTTCTCATCCTCTTCCCGTTTTCATCACACACATCTCTTTAATTAGATTTGATGCAAGTTTACAGAACATGGGAAAATCTAGTTCTCTAAATCTGTCATATATCGATTTATAATCAAACAGAAAAAAAACGATTTATATTTTACCACTGTGTGTGTATGAGTACTCGGGTGCATTTGAATTTTTCTCCCCACACATATACACAAAAAAGTTTAAATTACATTTTTCTATCATCTTTTTATTTTCAATCCAATCCATGTTTTTTTTTTTTTTTTTCTTAAACATCCATCGTCCACATTCTCACATCATCGATGAGATATGAGACACAGGTTTTCTAGCCATTTTACGTTTACATTTTTTTTTTTTTTTTTTTTGATTTCATTTGATTATAATTAAAATATACAAACAATTTGATTGGATTTGATTGAATTTTTTCGAAAATGAAAATTCATCAAAGGATTTACAAATTTTTCTTTCGTTTCTTATTTCTTATGTTCCATTTTCTTATCATCGACAAAAATTTTCATATGGATGAAAATGAAAAAAAAACTGCGGAAAGCCTCGTCGTTTTACTCTTTCAATGGATTTGTCAATGGTGAATTTTGGCAGGAAAAAAAATCTTCGTGTGTGTGTGTGTTTGTTATGTCTCTATACACACGATATATATGTTGATGATGATGACGACATTTGATGAAACTTGAAATCTTAAATCTTCAAATGCCTTACAGGCAAGCTTGCTTTTTTTCCAAGTATCGAGGAGAGATCTAGTTTTAAAACAATTTTTTGTTGTTGTTGTTGTTGTTTTTAATCAAACACACACACATTAATATATTATTCAAAGTGTTCGATTTTGATTTTTATTTTTTCTCATTATCATTTGATGGATTTGATCAGAATGATCGAAATTTTTTTCTTTCTTTTTCGTCGTTTATTTCCTAATTTGTAATAATATTTTAAGGCAAAAAAAAACGACTCTAATTCTGAAGCGATCAATCATGACACACACATGAAGTATTCAAAGGATTTTTTTTTCTTTTTGTTTTTTTTTCATTCATCTTGATAAATGCCTGAATGGATTATTTTGATTTTTTCTGATTGAAAATTTTTTTAGTTTTTTTTCCATCTTGTCTGGTTTGATTATAATCAAACAAACAAACAAAAAAATCTTTGAATCCAAAGAATGAATTGTTTCTATGTGACATAATTTGGTGGTGTTTATATAAAACACAAAACGTCTAGATGATGATGATGATAATTTAAAGATTGGCGTCTGCGAAAAAAAAACAAATGCAGACTAGCTGGTGATTCAAGGTTGTTTGTTGGATTTTTTTTATGATTTCATTTTCACTTTGCTGGACCATCACCATAAATGAGATAATCATCATCATCATCATCATCATTTTATTTATAACGATGCAAATGTCAGACTGCAAAAATTAACAAAAAATCAAGATGAAAGTCATCATTCAGAGGTTCGTAAATGCGTTGTCGTCGTGATGGTTTTGCGAATAAAAATTTTATTCCATTACATTCATTGTCATCCAAATCATCAAAACCTTTGTATATGTTTGTCCTCGAATCAAATCGTTGATTGATTTGAATGGCAAAAAGTAAAATTCGATTTTGATTTTTTTTTTTTATTTCTCCCATATGATGATGATTGATGATAAAATCGATTGAAATGAAAATTTTGTTTCAATTCAAAATACAAAATTACAGATCATTCGTTTTGATAAATAATGATTATTAGAAAGAAATTAAAGCAAAAAATCCAAAGAATTTTTCAGCAAAAAAACCAATTCAAAACATTAAGATAATAATTTCAAAGATGAAGAAAATTTTCCAAAGTTGAAAAAAAAAAAAATTTTCAATTGATAACGATGATCATTCGATACAATCGATAGTTTATGAATCAAGAATTTGACGACTATTTTTTCCATTATATTGAAAAGGGTTTTCGAACTTTTGGATTTTTTTTTTGTTTTTGTTTTTGTTTTTCTCAACCATAATGATGATGATCACCAATGGCAATGAAGAAAATTTTTCATTTCTTCACACAAACAACAACAACAACAACAACAATGTTTTTCAAAAACAAAAATTGATTCTGATTGATTTTGATAAACGGTATGTTTTTTTTTTTTTTTCTATTTTTTTTTTATCATTTTTCATCCCAAAATTTAAAATGATTATATAGAAAATCAATGGAAAAATAATCAGAGCATTCATGATGATGCTCATAATCAAATCAATCAAAGAAAAACGCTCACCACTACGTGACCACAACCACCACCACAACATTTTTTTTTCTTCAAATGTTTTTGATCTGATCTCCATATTTGTATCTATCATTGTGGTAAAATAAAATGACCATGATGAATGTGATAATGAAAACGAAAACGAAACATTTTGCATATATACGAACAAACAAACAAACAAAAAAAATGTATGTGTATGAATCGCGAATCATCAAACGATAAAAATGGATCATGAATCAAAATGAACGACATAACATGGGGTGGCCATGCTTCGTTTTGAAAATGTGGACACAGCATATGAAAAAAAAATAAAACAAAGAAAAAAACTTGTTGCAATCACATTTATTTGGGGAAAAAATGTGTGACTGCGTGTGTGTGTGTAAACGTGTTCCAACAAGGTATTTTGTTCATAATATTCATATAAATAATGATCTGAAACCATTTCCATTCTATCCATTCATTCAATTCAATGATGACGACAATGATAAAATCCATTAATTATGATGAATGAATGAATGAATGGACTACGTGTATTCTTAAATGATACGATATGTGTTTGCTTCTAAAGGTGAAAATGAATGATTTTTGGCGTGTCTTAAATCTTCAATGGTGGTGGTGGTGGTTGTGGTATGTTTTTATCTGTATATGTAATAGAGGTATTGATTTTCTAATCGAATTTTTGTTATTTTTTTTGTTGTTTTGTTTTCTCAACAGGCTAAATTTTGTTATTTTTTCCGTGGAATAAAAAAAATATAAAAACATCGATTGTGGATTTGGAATCATTTTCTTGTCATTTCGGTTGTTGGAATTGTGTGTGCTGCTGCTGCTTCTGCATTGTGTTTGCTGTGCTGTGCTTGTCTGTCTTTTTTTTGTCATCGAAACAAAAAAAAATCGTGTGTGTGATTTCCGGTTTTCGTTTTGTTCTGTTTTTTTTTTATTTTGCGTGAATCATAAACCAATCATGAATATCAATAATATGGTATGTTTTTTCTGTGTGTGTGATGAATCATCAAATGAAATTTCCGACTGTCAAAAAAAAAATTTGGATTTTTTTCAAAAAAAAAAACTGAATTTTTAATTTTTTTCCAATGAAATTTCATTTTTTTTTTTTGTTGTTGTTGCCTATATTTCAATGTCTTTCTTTTTGTTGTTTCTTTTTTTGACTTTGATGAATTTTTTTTTTTTCATAGATTTATAAATATAACTATAAATAATTAATTTTCAAAATTATGCTAATGAATTTTCTTTCTTTTTCTTTTTTTTTTTTATGTTTTTTGTTTCATTTTCATTTGAAATCAATTAATTAATTAATTAATTGAATTCTCAATCATCATCATCATCATTAGTTATTTGCCATAATGTTATTATTGTTTATGCCATTGGCAATGGCACAGCCACCACCACCAGTATTACAACGGGATCCGCATTCAATTACATTGCATGAATTATTAGTATCACACGGCATTCAAAATGGACAAATGGCATTGGTTATGGTTGCACCACTTAATGCTGAACAAGCATTACAAGCTAGTGCCGGCACCTTACAAAATCAATTGGTAAATCGTCCATTATTGGTACAATCACCAGCACAAGAAGTGAATGTTCATTATCGTTCACAATCGGCACCATTGAATGTACAACATACACATATTCCAGCACCAAAACCAGAATTGCAACTATCTCGTTCGGAAGAAGAGCCACATAAATTGGTACACGAAATTGTTAGGCCAGTCATACAGGAAGTACGTGAAATTATTCAACCATATCGTCGTATCATACAGGAAATTCGTCCAGTACAAGAAGAATTGGTACAGAAAATTGCTAAAAATTCTAATGTTCATTAGAAACGATGAAAAATAAAGAATGGCCAAATCAATCAATCAACATCAATTTTCAAACCGGAAATGGAATTTTATTTGGAATCAATTTTTTTTCAATATATATCTCTTTTTCTCCACTTACATCGACCAACCGGAGGGAACAAATTATCATTTTTTTTCCTTCTCATTTTGTTAATGAATAAAAATGAATCTATTTGATCCGATAAACAATGTTGCGAAATGTTTTGGCCAATTAATTTTTTTGTTTTTTTTCTGATTATTAATTGGATCAATTTTTTGTTTTTGTTTTTTCGTCAGGTGCAATCAAACTATTGATTGACCAAAGAAGGAAAGAAAATCATATCATCAATTTTTAATAATCGATTGTTAATAATCGATCAATCAAGAATTTAACGAATTTTTTTGGCCAGAAAAAAATGTATCAAATTTTTTTTCTTCCTCCTAAATTGGATGATGATGATGATGAATGATTGGATGGATAAAAAGGTGTGTTCGTGTGTTTGTTTGTTTGTTTGTAACTAAGCTCAGTTGGCTGTCAACGTTAATGATGATGATTGACAATTGTCGGATTTTTTTTCTGATGTTTTTGAAAAACAAGATGTGATTATCACACAAACATATTGCTTCTGGTCAGTATTCAACAGCAGGAAAAACAATTATTTCTATTTATTGATTGATTGATTGATCGATCTGGATAAATGTTGAAAATATGTGAATATCTAGGATGAATAAATTGTTTGTAACTTCCATTTTTGAATGAAAGGGAAAGTTGTGGTGAAAATGGGTAACATCAATGAAGAATGGCCACACATTCGGTTTCAAATATCCGCCGTAAGCGCCAAAAAAAAATTATGATAATGATGAATAAAATATTTCCAATTTCCATGCATTTCAAGGTATTTTCATTGTTCTTTATGTGTGCAGATATATATGATTTATCTTGACAACGACAATAGATCAATTTTTTTCCCCAATATCCAATGTCCATTATATATTAATATTAATTTATTAATAATGAGAAGTATTGTATTTTGATTATCTTTTTGTATCTGGATTATTAAAACATCTGATCAATGTTAATTCAATGATAATTTTGATCTAGTCTAAAAAAACAAAAGATAACAAAAAAAACGAGAAACGACCATTGTCATTATCATTATTATTTCCATGTTACTTTCAATAATCAGAAAAAATCATTGTTTCTGAATTGAAGTTTAATGAATTTTTTATTATTTTCTTTCTGTCTGTCTGTGTGTGTGTGTGTGTGTGTGTATGTGTTTGAAGATGCCTAGAAGACAAATTTTATTGAAATCATTCTGTATATATTCATGTGTTTTGATTTGTTGCTTTGTTTCATTGTTTAAATGATTGATTGATTGATATTTTGTTAAAAAAAAGAAAATCTCTCTTTGTTCAAATTTCATTTTCATTGTCATTTTTTTTTTTTTCGTTGCAACTTCACAATTGGTGAATGTTGATGATGGACATTCCTTTTTTGGGGCCACCATTATATTGTGGCCAAAAAAAAAAGAAGAAAAACTCACATTACACACAATATGAAACAAACGAGATAATAATGATGACGATGATGATGTCAAAAAGTTTTCATTTTTTTTTCTCAACAAACAAACATTGAAATTAAATAGCCACAACACACACACATGTGTGTGGATAATTAATCATCAAACACTAACTAAAAAAAAAAAGAGAAAAGAATTTTTTTTTCTGCCATTATCATCAATTGAAATCTCATCTATTTTCGGTAGCTGTGGTGAAATGGGGGTCATGTACAAATAATTGGTTAAAAAATAAACAACAACAACAACAACAACAACGAAACAAGCCTTTTTCAAATAGAAAAAAAACGATTTTCTTTTCTTCTTTTTTTTTCACTGATAATAATTTTAATAAATTCATCACCACATACTACTTTTTTTCTGATTTTTTTTTGTCTTTGACCAAATGTTGGAAAATTTCCATCCATCTACTGATTCATTTCGTTTCGTTTTAAGTTTTCTCTTTTTTTTCAACAGTTTCATGTTTCCTATTTACTGGATATAACTGTTCGTACAATGGTGTGTATTGGTTGTGTATGGTGTGAGATGATTGGTGTTTGTTTGTTTGTTTGTCTCTAAAAAAACAAAACGGTTGAAATGGAAAAAAAGGTTTCAGTTTTTTTTCGCGTTATCATTCATCACATCTTGAATGAAGAAAAAAAAAAAATGGGCTAAAAAAACTTACTTCGGGCGTCATATTTAAAGCCGATGCACATGTTCATGTTCGATCGATTGATGATCGATATTTATTTTCCATCTCACGTGTTTGTGTGTGTGTCATGTTCATGGATTGTCCATGATTTTTTTTTTAATTTTATCGTTTATTTCTTCTCGTGATTTATATATATTCATGTGTTCATGCGTTCATTTTAAATTTAAAATTTCAAAAACCAATTCAATGTGACAATGATTCATATTGATTTCATGAATTTCAACAAAATTTCATCGTGTTTAACATCATCATCAAATTATTTATTATTTGGACCAATGTAAATTTTTGTTGTTGTTGTTGTTTTCACCGAAAAATATATATATCCAAATTAATCATGTTGTTTTTTAAATCGACGACAACAATGATGATGATGATTGGTACAACAAAATCATCAATTTTTACGGCAATAACGATCAATACAATTGTATTGGTATTATTTTCATTGATCAAGGTAATCAATCAATCAATCAATCGTTCAGTTTTTCATTTTCATCATTAAATAAATTATATCATTATCATAATAATCATCATTAATGTTCACACATTGTATCAATCATACACTAATCATCTTTTTTTCCCATTTTTTCTCTTCTTTTTCATATATTTTTCTATCGATTAAATCGATACTCATCGAATTAATCGAAACTTATCATCATCATCATCATCATGATCATTATTGATTGATCAATTTTATTGCCCATGAAACCATTGTCCATCATTTTAAAAATATCCCATTTAGCATACAAATGCCGGCGCCTACGATCTACCAGCCGGTACATTGAAACAAACCGGATTAACCGAATTAAAACGTACATTTAAATGTGAAGCTGAAGGTTATTTTGCCGATGTTGATAATGAGTGAGTGTGTGTTTGTTTGTTTGTTTGTGTATGCATGTGTGTGTGTATGTCAATCAAATCAAATTTAATCCTCTTTTTTTCTTTTCTCTTCGTGAATATTCATTCATTCATTCATTCATTTAAAGATGTAAAATTTATCATCAATGTAATTCATTCAATTCGAAAAAAGGATCCCCAAACGTAAGTTACCATGCACACATGTTCATGTCCATGACATCATCATCATGCATCATCATTTGCATTGTAGTTATGAATGTGTTAATTGAATTTTTTTGTTTTGTTTCACTGGTTGAATATTTACCATTCGAATTATGAACATAAAATGGTGATATATAAACTTGAATTATAGATAAAATATGCACAAACAACAATGGCATGTGGTGAGAATCAAATATTTGATCAATCAAAATTTGCCTGTAAAGATGAATCGGATGCAATACCATGTGAAGCATCATCAGATTTTTTCTATCTAAATGAACGTATTGGTGATGAAACTGCCGATTTTCTTACGGATGCTGATATTGAAAAAGCACAGGCAGCACGTCCAGAATATCGTGCTGCAGCCAGAGCTCGTGCTAAACGGCGTCGTGCTATTTCGAAATTGAAAAAACGTAGAAGTACTACATCACGTGCTGATCAAAACCAGCCACAACCATATCCGGTTTTAGTGGATGATCTAAATACCGCAAGTAGTAATATTGATGGAAAAGTTATTATAACTAGTCCGAAATTAATTAAAATAACTAAACCATCATCGCCATCGTCATCTGAATCATCTAAATCATCATCAACTAAATCGAAATTTAAACCATCCAAATCAAAACAAACATCATCATCATCATCATCATCGTCGTCGGCGAGGGCAAAAAAATTATTGAAAAAAATGAAAAAATTAAAGAAAAAAAGAAATACCATTAACCAACAACAACAACAACAAGAACAAAAAAAATCAGAATTATCAAAAATATTGGTCATTAAAATGAATAGATGATTTCTGTGAAACGTAGAAAAAAAACAAATGAAAATCATGTGTATGTAAATGATTTCGATTGAACTCACACACACACACATGCACACATGCACATATTTCCGGTATTCACATTCATTTTCCTAAACAGCATTTAGCAACATTTATCGGATGTAAGAAAAAAAAATTAAACTTATGTAATACACTTGTATAACAGGATCTGATATGATCAGTCCATCCATTCATTCATCCATCATTATCATCATCATCATTAATGTATAAAAAAAACGAAAACGAAAAAAAAAGAAAAAAATTTCTCGTCGCTCTCACTTTCATTTTTTTTTTATTTTTTTATTTCTATTATCAATCAATCAATAGATAGATAGTTTGTTCAAATGGACAGCTTAGGAAGAAGAAGAAGAAAAAAAAACTTTTATTAATTTGCAAAAGATATTAAGCAACAACAACAACAGCAGCAACAAATCAGGGAGGGAAAAAAACAAAGAAACAAAAACCTTATTAATCAATTCGACTAAAACAAAAGTATTGGATAATTTTTCACACTGACACACACACACACACACACAAAAAAATTCCCCATATATTGATTTATGTATTGGTAATGGTAATGTATGCATTTGACACCTGTTGATCATCATCATTATTTTTTTTTTTGTTTTGTTATATAATTTATGGTCCGACTGTTTTTTTTTCTCGATTTTTTTTTATTTTGAAAATGAAAAAAACAAAGATTCCTGGATCAAATTAAAGAAACTTCAGTCTTTTTTGCCATTATTCTAATATATTTCAAATTTTATTCGCAAATTTTTTTCGTTTGGTTTGGTTTTGTTTTGTTTGTTTTCAAAATCATTAATTTCAGGGTTTTTTTTCGTTTATTCTAATTGCTTTCATTTAATCATCATCATTTTAATTACTGATGATGATGATGATGATGATGATAGTAGATTTGTAGATCGATTTCCAATGAATTTGATTCGATTTATAATGATTTTTGATTCTCGTGATTCATTGGTGGTGGTAATCAATTTTTGTTGTTGTTGTTGTTGTTGCGTACATACAACGACAAACAACAACAAAAAAACAGGTTTTTCCCATTCGATTTTCAAATAATAAATGAATGAATGAATGATGAATCGAATTATTAAATGAAATATAAATTCGTTTTCAAATCAATTATTCAAACTCAAAATGGATGAATGGGTGGTGATGGCTATACTACAACAAACAAATTCGATGGTGAAAAGTTTTTTTTTTTTTTAATTAATTGAATTATAATTTGAAATTGAAACTAATCATTTGAATGTATTATCATTACCTACAACAACGACAATGACAACAACAACAACAACAAGTAGCCAAGATAATTATAGTCGAACAACAAAAACAAAAAGGGAACAGTAATAATTGACAAATGATAAATTACACACACACACACACACACTTACAGTGACACAATAGCTTCAAGGTTTTACTATGGTAGTGAAATTTTTTTTTCTTTTATCAAAATTGAACAAATATTTGGTTAATCAAAACAAAAAAAAAATTGTTTCGAATGACAGAAATTTTTGATTCGATTTGAATCAAGTTTTTGTTTGTTTTTTTGGCTTTTTGGGAAAAACCAAAGAATTGCCAATGAACGCTCTCACACAAGCTCACAGACACACACATACACAGAGAGAGAGAGAGAGAGACCCCTTCTTTTCAAGAAAAAAAAAATCTTGAGAAAATCAACATTGAGAATGATTGTTTGTTTTTCCCTCTCTCATTTTTCTTTTCATGTCAATCATAATTTTTTTTCATTTTTGAATTTTTAAAATAAAAAAAAATTCTTTTGTTCAAATTCATCTGATGTTTGAATGAATGTTTTCACATGTAACAAAAGTTGTGAACAAACCACAATTATAATAAACAAACAGTTTAGATGCATTTTCGAATGTTTTTATTATTCATCATCATATGAATGATAATAATGTATTCTTAATCATCTTTGATCATCATCATCAAGAGATAATTAAGAGAAAAAAAAAAAAAAAATTACCTTTAGCTGCTGCTGCTGTTTTTTGTTAAGTGTTTTTTTTTTATCATGCGTGTTAAGTTTAAAATGTTGAAGAAAGAAAGAAAAATGAAATCATCATCAACCAGAAAGAAAAATAAAAAAAATTTTCATTGGAAATGGCCATCATCATTATCATGATCATGATGACTATCATTCGAAAGTATATGTCCAATATTATGATAATGAAGATGGCTGAAAGTAGCGAAAGAAAGAAAGGATAATGAAATACTGAATTGAGATGGATGTTGAATGGACATGGTTGCAATATTGCAAATAATAATCGTCAATACGAATGTAAAAAGATGATGGACATTGGTGTAAACTGGCGTGGTTTTGAAAAGTATTGGGAAAAAAAAGGTGGTACAACCGTCATCATTCGACTTAAAATTGAGATAAAAAAAGAAGAAAGGTAAGTAGTATGTTTGTGTGTGTGTCGAGAATTGAATTCATTAATCATTTTTTAATTTATTGAATCAATAGATTTATAGCCAATACTAGTACATGATAATAACCATAACGTTTATGTTGTTGCGTTTGGTTCTTTGTTGGTTGGTTGTTTTTGGCTAAATCGTTACGAATTGTTGAACAACAAAACAACAACGACGACAATAACAACGAAGAAAGAAGAAAAGAAAAAACGCTTCGTTTTTTTTGTTACGTCGTAGTCGAAATCACATCAATTAAATAGAGTGTGTGTGTGTTTTCTGGATTTTTATTATTTGGAATTTTTATCACCAATTTTTTTTTAAGTGAATTTGAATTTTATCTATCTCGTCTTTGCAACATAATCAAATTAAATCATGGGAAAAACTGAAGAGACAAGTTTTGATAACAATAATAATAATAATAATGACACCGATATCAATAAAAAGAATGTTACATTACCGGAAAAATCCGAATCACCGCCAACGACAAAAACGAATAAAGATGGTGCATTGAAACGGAAATGGAAACGTGTACTACGTACACGGCCACATTTATTCATAATTTTCATTATAAGTGTTATTGGTTTTTGTTATCATTTCAATATTGCGCTGAATCAATATTGGGATTATAAAACAACCGTATCGTTTTCGAATGAAGATCCAAAAGATTATAAATTTCATTATCCAAGCGCAACGGTTTGTTTCCAGGATGTTGTACCATATTTTAAATTATTTGAAAAATTTCCCGAATATGAAGAAAATGTGAATAGAATCTATGGTGAAATGAAACGACGAAATAATAGTAATTTTTGGAATAATCCAGCGACGAAAAAATTGATCAATGTTACTGGTGTCAATCTGGAAGGTTTGTTGTTGCTGTTTTTTTTCTCGTTCGATTGATTTATAATTGATTCAATTGTCCATTTAGCGCTGCATTTACATAAATATTTTGAAGAGAAAATATTTCGTCGTGAAAAACTTATTGATATTTTGGAGAAATATTCACATAGTGAACACGAAGAATGTTTACTGGATTCAAAACCAGCATCAAAATATGGCTATAAATTGCACAATTGTGAAAATGTTACACGCATAATCCAAACAATTAATGGTGAATTTCGTTGCTTCACGTATTTTTCGCATTTTGATGTTAAAGAAAATGAAATGTCTGAATATTTTGACGATAATTTTATGACATCAATATTTATTAGTTCGAAAACTTTTGAACGTCGTACAAATAAAGTTTAGTAAGTATGAAAAGTGGCACAAATGTTTGAATTAAAAAAAATTTCATCCTTTTCATCGTTTTGTTTTTTTTCTATAGTTACATAAGCCACGCATTAAATCATTCACGATCATCGCATCCATTCGAGAAAGAATTACGTGCACGTATCGCAATACATCCATCGGATATGATACCGGTGCCGGAATTTTATCCAACAATTTCATTATATCAATTTTCACGTTTTTATGTCATAAATTTCCAAAAAACAATTTCCTATCTATTGGAGAAACCATATATTACAAATTGCTTTAAATATGATCTAGGTATGGAGTATTTAATGCGAATGATGAATGGATTTAATTAATTTCAATTTTTCGTTTTTGTTAGGTAATCGTGAAGCATTACAATCACACGACGATTGTTTCACAAAATGTGTTATGAATAAATATCGTGAAAAATGTAAATGCCTACCACGTAGTGGACTATTATATCGACGATCCTTACTGACCGATGAAGATTACTTCTGCCCGGTGATAAATAAATGTCAATTTACAAATTATCGTACAGAATGTTCAAATGAATGTCAACCAGATTGTGTTGAAGAGAAATATGAATTCGAGAAATTTGTCGATATACCATTTTATCAACATAAAAATCGTACCGGTATACAGATTAGTCGTAAACCTGTGTTTGATAAAGTTTATCGTCATTCACCAGCGATGACATTCATACAATTGATTTGTGATTTTGGTGGTTTAGGTGGCCTATGGCTTGGTTTCTCAGTGATTTCCATTACAGCGGCTATTATTTCATTGATAACAAAACCATTGGAAAAGATTGTTGTCGTTAAAAATGGTGATAAAGAATGAAAAAGAAAAAAAATCGATTGATTGATTGATATAAATATCTTCTTTGTAAAGCTGTGATCGAAAAGATCTTTGAAGCAACAATTTTGGAATCAATTCATCATTTCATCGCCATTATCGTCATTATTTTATATTTTTATTCATTAATCACACACTTTCAGTGTCGTTCATCATTATCATCATTATTGAATTTTCTTCTTGACATTTAAAGTAAATTCAACCAATTTTTATTGAAAGAAATTTACATCAAAAAAAAATAATTATAATATGTCAAATGTCAAATTACAATTGATGAATATGTTGGGCAAGATAGGCCAATGCTTCGGCCGAACCATGTGCCCAATTTATCATTTTGTCGTTTGATAGCCCGATCAATGATCGTCATTCAGCAGATAGCGACGGGTGCCAAGCGTAGCATTATCCACATATTTCATCCAATCCAATGAACCAACATCAGATTGGAATATTTCTTGTTCATGCGGTGATAATTGATAGTAGATGTCTTGGTAATTCTCATGTCGAAATTGCCATTCGTTATTCGTGAATGGTTCCAACGTGTCGAATCCTAGATGCATGCGTTTCGTTATATTCATCAGGAATGGTTTATTACCAGTCAGCATTATTAAACCATCGGCCAACAGTGCGAAACCATAATGTGAAAAGATTTTCGTCATTTGATGCGATAATCGGCCGTACATTGTGTCGATTGTTTCTGGTTTTTGTGCCAATGGACGAATTTGTTTCATGAACGGCTTGGTAGCCACACATTCACGTGAACGATCCAGTAATTCACCCCATGTGATTGGATTACGTTGTCCAGATGTGAGATGAACAACTTGTTTCCGTTGTTCAACAGGTACGATGGCTGTATGTGCAGCCACAACTATCAACGAATTGACGACATGATCAACAGGTATTACATCAGCATTACATTTGCCATTCACTAATGAAGATGGAGAAATCGAATAAATAAATGGAACTCAATCCAGAAACTCAAAAAAACTCACAGATCATTGTACGTGCAATACCAAGACCACCAAGAATCATGGCACCAGAGACACCATTTTTTGTATCACACCAACCTGGCGTTGGTTCGGCAGCTGAATGTGTCACAATCGATGGACGACAAATAACATACGGCAAAAGATTCGAGTATTTTTTCGCCAATAACAATTCAGCTAATGCTTTGGAAAATGTATAACAATTTGGACGGCCCCACAGTGCTTGATGTCCGCGTTTGGGCCACGTGTTGCCATATTTCCAGAGAATATCACTGATGAATTGATCGATACTTTCATCATTTACATATGCATATGGTATGGTGAAATTGAGTGGATAAACTTTCTCCTCAACGGTGGATAAATTGCAATTTGCATATGCGGTGGATACATACACGACAGCCTAATGAAAATGAAGAAAATTATGATCATCAAACACGAACTAGGACAATCGGAGAATTACCTTCAAGCCAATCATTTTTGTGCATAAATTCATCGTGTAATCAGTGCCGAGAACATTTTGTTCGATAAATATCCGCAGATTTCCTTTGAATTGTACGGATGCAGCTGAATGAAACACAACATTTACTTCTTGGGTTAATCGACGTTGATCTTGAGCTGATAACCCCAAATCTTTTCTCGTAATATCACCTTCGATTGCAAATACTTTGGCCAAATCCAAACGTTGGCGGTGAAATTGAAAACATGGTGATTTAATCAGTAATTCCTCCAGTCGTTCATGTGGCGTTTTCGAATGTTTTGAACGTAATAAAATATAAATCCGACGGATGACGCCTACACGCAACAGTTTCTCCAGTAAAACTTTGCCAATAAATCCGGTGGCACCAGTTATCAAAATGGTTTTATCCTGATAAAATTGCAGTACATTCAGGTAGTCAGAAGTCGGTTGTTGTCGATTATTTGGTCGTTGCTGCTGCGATGATAATAATTCCTGTAAATAAGTTGGATTCAATTCTGTTTGATTATCACTACAACGTAGAGGTGCGTCCACCGTTTCGATTAAAGTTTCATAACGAAACATGATTTTCTAGTTGGGATTTGACAAGATGACGACCAGAAAAAATGCCACATGTGATGGCCATGTTTTGTGTGTGATCGATTTATATATACAAAAAAAGAAATGTTATCAGGCCAGATTGTTAGCTTTCTTTTTCTTCTTCACTCGTTGTGTTTGGATTAGTTATTATCAAATCAAAACGTGAACCTGGACATGCATGTATACTTGTTGTGTGCGCCTGTGTCACATGTGTTACCCTCTGTGTGCAATGTCAAGAAAAAAATTTGACCATTTTCCCTTGACAATCTTTATCATATCAACAATTTTTATGATCATGAGTCAACACAAACGAAATAAGCAAAATTTTTTTCATTTCTACACATTTCAGAAATTAATAGCATGTTTTTTCTGCTACTTAATAGTTTTTTTTTATTATTCCACTGAAAATTTTACAATTTAAATCAAGAAAAATTGAACAATTTCATTTCAATACACTAAATGCATTGTTTTCGGTGATTTCTTTATTTAGAAACAGAATGATTTCAATGAATAATTTCCAACTTTTTTCTGTCATACACACACAGAACATTCTCCAACAAACTAATGAATGAATGTCTCGAAAAAAAAGTTTTTCTTGTTCGATTTTTCATCATCTTTTTTTTCCATCAGCATTTTCACCAACCATAACTATGAATTTCTGACAAAATGATTTATTCTCTGTAAATCGATTATAAACGGTAAAAATGAATCAATTTTTTTCCATTTTTTTCTGGCAAGAGAGGCGAGTGTCACCATCATCATTCGTTATACAGTCAAATACAGTACAACTATTCAACCAAAAAAAAAAAAAACTACTACCACCATCACCATTGAATTGTGTGGAAAAAAAATGAAACAAATTTGCCAAACATTCAACGTTAATTTTTCTTCTCATGTAAATAACCAAACAAATAAATCAACATATCCAATGATTATCAATATCATGGCTTCTATAATGAGAATCATTATACATCGCATAAAAATATTTTTTCCATCATCATCATCATCGAAAAAATTTGTAAAGATTGGCAATATAATGGATGAATTTTTTAAATATCTGAAATATTACATATTTCGTTTGGAATATTCAATGGATGATTATCAAAATCGCAGCATTCAATGGACATATCAAACATTTCGTCGTTCAATATGGTTAACATTGAGTTTTTGGTTGAATATCGTGTGTATTTTTCATTTTGTCATCTATCCAACCAGAATTGAATTGAAAGTATTGCAAAATTTTGAATCAGAATTCCATTTACAACGATCAGATCTTGTTTTTTCACACTTGTTATTCGCATTTATCATGCTCGAATATTTATGGTTTGATTTATTTCGCGAAATTTTAACATATAAATTCAAAGTTAACGAATTGATAATAAAATATAGTCGTTTCAATGATGATGCATTGGAACCAGAATATCGTGGTTATTTGTCACGTTTTGTTCAAATTGGCAATCTATCATCAAATGTATTGAATGTTGTCATTTTCATTGTCTTGGTCGAATTTTATCTATTAGTCATTTATCGTTTTCATTCATTCTATCAAAATGATGAAATATCAATGTTTTTTATGATTATTTTCATCATACTAATCACGAATTCATTTTATCGTTTGCAATATTTTGTCGGTCTATTATCCGATGTAATGCGATATTTATTATATTTTATTGAATTGTTAAAATTGCGAATGAAAAGAATGATTTCGCAATTACGCCAATCTTGTTGTTGTGGTAAATTCTCATCGATCAATTATCGATTATTTTGGCCAATGTTCACGAAAGAATATGTTCAACTTTATTATGAAGTGGCCATATTCAATCAAACAGTTAGTAACATCTTCTTGGATATTGAAATCATATCTAAATCCTCAATTATATTCGGCATATTGTTTTACAGCAAACAAATTCATCAAATGAATGTATACAATACAATAATAGTAACATTGTTTCTTGCAGGATTCATCTATACAAATGGATTGTATTCACGAGTGGCTCAATTTCCACATTTCAATCTGCTTGGTGGCCGTACAATAATGCAATGGATAGGCCGAACACAACAACTGCAACGAAAAAATATTCGTCTTTCACCGAGAAATGTGATTAAAACAAATCTATTTGCACAGACAATGTCAAATAATCAATTCGGTATCAGTTGTGGACAGGTGTTTTTCATCACAAAATATAAATACACAGAATTGTTTCTAATGAATTTTGTCATGACTATTATGTTTTATGAGAAATTATTCATGTAATCACTGAGAATCTATTGTTTAATATATATGATGATGATTCTTTTTCTTGTTGTAGTTGTTGTATTTGTTGTTGATGTTTTGATGATCGTGAATGTCTAATAAGATTATATTTATGAATGGCAAATAAAAATATGTGCGAAAGCGTTGTATGATTTTTCGTGCGCTATAGCGCCATTTGATTTTCGTTTTGATTAGTTTTGTTTCTAAAAAAAATTTTTGTCATGAATTTATCTAATCAACAATAACAACGAAAGCAGATTATTCGAATCAAATCACTGATTCGACATTTTGTTTTTGTTTTTTTTTTTTCAATGAAAAATCCACAATCAATAATCGATAATGATGATTAGATTATTGTTATTTACATGGTATGGGCAATTTAATTACTGGAAACATTTTTTCAATATTTACCTTAAATCAATTTCAGCATCGATCTGGCTTTTTTCCCAATTTTGGCCAAACAACAAACAACATGGGTATATTAAATTTGGATTCAAAATCAATAACGACAACACAACCAGCACCGGTTGTCAATCTAGATGATATTGAAAAAGAAGCACGAAAAATTGAAAAAATCTGCATTTGATTATTATCGAAGTGGTGCCACTAATGAATATACATTACGTGAAAATGATCGTGCATTTCAACGAATTCTCATAAGACCACGTGTATTGGCGAATGATGTTTCCCAAAGATCCATTTCGACCACTGTACTTGGCATACCAATCAGTTTTCCAGTATGTGTTGCACCGACAGCAATGCAAAAAATGGCCAACGAAATGGGTGAAATAGCCAATGCCCGTGCATGTCAAGCTGAAGCAACAATAATGACATTATCCACTATTTCTACAACGTCATTAGAAGATGTTGCACGTGCAACACCGAATTCCGCCAAATTTTTTCAACTTTATATCTATAAAAATCGTGATCTTACCAGACAATTAGTTAAACGTGCTGAACAGGCTGGATATCGTGCTCTTGTATTGACTGTTGATACACCATTCATGGGTCAACGTTATGCTGATGAACGTAATCAATTTACATTACCACCAAATTTACGTATGGCAAATTTTCCGAAAGATCAAGAAGAATCAAATCGTATTCAAAAAGTTTCTAGTAATGAACCATCATCTGGTCTAACGGAATATACAAGCCAATTATTTGATCAATCACTGACATGGAAAGATGTCGATTGGTTGAAAAGTATAACACGACTGCCGATTATAACGAAAGGAATTATGACACCTGAAGATGCATTATTAGCATTGGAACATGGTGTCGATGCAATTCTCGTTTCAAATCATGGTGGTCGTCAATTGGATACCGTTCCGGCAACTATTGATGTATTACCCGATATAATCAACGTGGTACGTGGTCGTTGTGAAGTCTATCTTGATGGTGGTATACGTCGTGGAACGGATATTTTCAAAGCAATAGCATTAGGTGCACGTGCTGTTTTCATCGGTCGTCCAATGGTTTATGGTTTGGCTTATAATGTATGTGTGTATTGTGTTTTTTTTTATTGATTTGAAAATCTGCTAATAAATTCTGTCACAATTATTCAGGGTGTCGATGGAGCAAGACGTGTACTACAAATTTTGCGCAATGAATTTGATAAAACAATGGCACTATCCGGTTGTTCTCGTTTGGAACATATTAATCAATCAATGTTGATTAGAAGAAAACAATTGACTGCTAAACTTTAGTCATTTCGAACACTGCCGTTAGATGGAGTGCCACAGTCCAATATAGTCGATATATTTATTTTATTTTTTGTAAAATTTTTTGAAAACAACAACAAACAATAAACAAAAACAACAGCTATTTAATAAAAATAAAAGCTATTCAGATTGAATATCGATAAATTGTTCGATCGGAACATCCAACATACAACAATCAGCTTCGGCTGAACCAGTATCGTTTTGTCGACATTTTTCACAATCATTTTGTTCTTCATTGGCCATTGAAATTTTGATTGGTGGAAAAATTTTCAATGATTGATTTTGTAATCGTTTTAAACGTTCATGTTCGAAATTAATTTTTCCATTCTTTGTGATTCTTGGAGTATTCGATTCTGAAGATGTTGAAGACATGTTCACTGTGAAAATTTCCACAAAATCAAACTCATAGAATTTCTCTTCGAAATTATCTTTGCGTTGTTGGTGTTGATGTTGATTGAAAAATTTTTGCATACGATTTCTCATCATCATCGATTTCGTTGGAAATTTTTTCAAAAATAAAATGCAGTAAAACATTGAAATTTAGTTGAGCATTTTTTTTATATCGAACTATGATCGATGGATATGAGTCACGATAGCAATTTAAAAAAAAAATTTAAAATTTAAAATTTATTCAAACAAAACATCGAGCATCAAATCAAAATCATAATCGGCTAAAACGTCATTTTTGAATGCGACTTGATGACTAGCTATTTCAATTTCATCAACACAATTATTATCATCATTCTTGCCTTTGTCTTTTTGTGGTGATGAGGATTCGTCGTGTTTAGCATCATCATCATCATCATAATAAACCGGTAATGATTGCCTGGCTAATTGTTTTTGCCTTTCCAATTCAAAATTTATTTTTCTACGACTTTGATTCTGTGACGATCCAACGACGCCGATGGATGTTTTTGTCAATAATAAATCCAGAATTTCAATATCATTCAATTCATTGTAACGCGATTCGAATGTATCGAATGCTGAATCTTTTTTTTCTTGATGAGTAGAATTTCTATTATCAAATAGATTATTTTTACGAATCTTTTTTCTCATTTACCATTTACTACTTATTTGCATAACATTTTATTTATTTGCGGTATTTGTTTTATGAAATTAGACTATTTTTTGTTTTTTTAAATTTAATTTTAATTTTTAAATTTTTTCAAAAATAGTTTGCAAGAATCTCGGGCACTCGACTTGGTTTTGGTCTGCAAATTAGAATTTTCTTCTTTTTCTTGTCATTCGATTTACCATCATCATCAGTGTTTGTCGATATTTTTTTCCTTGAATCCATTGAACGTAATCGTTCGATAAACTCGTTTAAATCATTTTGTTGTTGTTGCTGTTGACGTGCTTTTTGTCTTTCATGACGAAGTCGAATCAAATCAGCTGTAAATGGTGAAATTTTATCATTTTCATGTGATTCATCATCATCATCAATTCTGATTGGTAATTCTGGTGAATGAAATACGTCATCGTCGTCGTGGTCTAGTGATTGTTGTTCACGCATAGAATCATCATCATCATCGATAGATGTCATTGTAAATTCTTTTGAAATGGAACTTTTTTCTTCATGGCCATAATAATCATCTATTGAACTTGGCTCATCATAATCGTCATCAGCATAATCATCATCATAATTGCTGTCACTTGATGAAGCTCCAATCCGACTATTACATGTTGATGATTCAGATTCAGATTCAAATTCAGTTGCAAATGATTCATCATAATCATCATCATCAAATGTTGTCGATGGTATCGATATTGAATCGATAGTTTCTTCCATCATATCCATCATTGTCAATGTTTTTGGTGTTGGTTTTTGTTCGTCATCATTTTTTTCATCACGTTGTTGTTCATCATGATGATGATGATCACCATCAACATTTGGATCGTTGTTGTTTTGGGTTACATAACAATCTTCAAACAATGGTAAGATACTTGGTTCCATTTTTTTCGAGCGATGAACAGCAAAAACAAAAAAATACAAATTAAAAATATTGATAAAAGTCGAAAGAGCACGAATTTTTATAGAAAGAAAAAGGAAATTCGAAGTTTTTTTCATTTATTTAAATTTAACTTTAAATTAAGTCATTAATATAATAAAACGACGATATTCAATTCGATTTTCGAATCGATTCAAACAATGTTTTTAGTGATCCAGTCTAGATAATATTTTGGCCGTGTAAAGACGCTCATATATTCACCAGGTGGACATTTACTTGGACCCCATGATACGATACCGGTCAATTTTCGATTAGCCGATACTAATGGACCGCCAGAATCGCCCTATGTTTGTTTTTTTTTGAGCGAGAATTAGAATTTTCAACAAATTCGAATTTTTCTCATGAAAAAAAAACAAAAAAACTTACATTACAACCTGATTGTGTTTTATCCAATGCACAAATCATACCAGGATGAATAGCATTGATAGAGCCCCATTTTTCATTACAACGATCATTACCAACAATAGTCATTGAACCTTTTTGTAATTTATCTGGCAGATCTTTGCCATTACCATCCGTCAGGCCCCAACCATAAATAGTTACTTTATCGCCATCAACGATATCATCGGTTTCAATTTCAATCATTTGAACATTTGTACTTGGTACTACTGGTTTTGATAATATTAATAATGATATATCATTCTGTATGGTATCAGGATCATATGATTCATGTTGAATGATTGTTTTTACTTTAAGATCACCATAACTTGATGATGTACGTTGATTTGTTCCATAACGAACTGAAAGTGATGATGCTTTTTGTCTAGAATGATGATGATGAGAATTGTAATTGTAAATGAGAACAATCCATAAACTAATAATGAAAAACTTACCCATAAGTACAATGAGCAGCTGTGACTACGGTTGATTCTGAAATCAATGAACCACCGCACATATGACTTTTCATTATTAAATAATCTTTCAATAATGAAATTTGAAATGGTGCTTCAGCTAAATCGGCATCTTGGCCACCAACAACACCGGCAATAGGACTATCACCAATTTTTGAACGAGAAAATTCATTTGAATCAAGATATGCCCATTTTGGTTGAAGACTGCGTGGAAATCGTGCATCAACCGTTACGGTGATCACGATGAGAATTGTGACCAGAAAAATTTTAATCATTGTTGTTGTTTTCAAATGAGAATTGTTGATGGACCACAACCAAATGTTATATATACCCACCATCATCAACCAATCTCCGTAGACAATTTGTCATTTTTGTTTGTGTGTGGTTATAAAACGAATGGAAAAATGTCATAAAAATATTTGGACGATATGCGATTTATGTTCATTTGAAACGATCCGATTGAAGCAATCCGATTTCATCAATGTCATCATGGGGTTATAAATTAATTTCAAAAAAAGAAAAACAAATTTAATAATCACGTACGTATCAAATGTATAATTTAAAAAAAAATTTTATTATTTTTATTACAATCATTCCAGAATCCAGCAACAGGTGTTATATTGTGGAGACAAAATTAATAAATTTCAAATTTAATAATTTCATTTTCAATGATTGGCCGTAATAATTCACTAATCTGATGACGGGCTTTTTTATTGAACATAAGAAGATAAGCATCAGCCAAGATATCGATAATGTTATCCAAACCCTTCAAACCATGAACATAGACTTTACAATGTTTCAATTCATCAATTTCAAATTGTCTAAGTTGAAATTTTCCATCCACAATGGCCAATTCAAATTTAATATCAATATCACCGATATCGATTTCAACCTGTAAATCTGGATGTAAATGTTCACCAATTTTCAAATGTAAATCACTTGTAGCGATGATATCTTTATCATTCAAACGAAGTTTAACATCGAATGTACCATTTTCATTTTTCATTACAGCATCGCCATTACGATGAATGCGTCCCAAACCTTTGACTTCAACATTTTCCATTTCAGCTTCAATATGTAAATGAATCAGACCAATTTTACGGTCCAAAGTTACATTATGATGATCAATTTTTAATGGATCCAAATGTTTCGTTTTGATTATTGAGCCAATAATTTGATCAACGAATTTATTGGCTTGATCAGTTTTATCATCAGCGACAGCTTGATATATAGACAGTTGAAAGATTGAAAATGATTAAAAAATTTGCCCACAATTAACTATTACTTACCGGCCAAAACGATGGCAGAGAAAATGAACAATGAAGCAATGAATTTCATTTTTTTTTTTTTTTTGGAGATTTTTTGATCAAATATTAATCAGATCAATATGGATTGAAATCGATTGATTGATTCGATATTTATATCATCATCATCATTATCTCCATCATTTACAAATGATTGATTGAATCCTTTTTTACGTAATCTATATTAATGATTAATTAATTTAATTGATTGATTAATCAATTTTCAAGGTTATCTATCGATACCGGATCTTTCTATATCTAAAATTGCAATTGTAAAAACATCATTATCATTAATTAATCTTAACAAAATTTCTTTTCCAAATCTTTATGATCATTGTACCTGAGCGTGTAAAGTTTGAGATCGATGGATGGATAGATTGATGTACCAAGTACATTTGTATTGTATTTTTCCATTTTAATCAATTTGATATGATTAGATTTGTCATAACTCTTTTGAAAATACCACACATGAGATTATCATCATTAAATGTATCTATATTTGGATGAGTCTGAAATTTTTTTTAATGATTTTCGAAAATTATTGAAATTTCGATGAAAACTATGAATTTTTTGTTGAAAAACAACCGTCTCCATAGAAATTCCAAAACAAAAAAAGACCCATTACAGACATTATAACCAAATAAAGTGTTTTCATTTATTATTTACAAAAATATAATTATAATCATAATCATAATCATAATAATCTTGAATTTCAAAATCAAATAATAAGACGAAAAATAACGTTGTAATCAAAATGAATATGTTTTGAATATTTTGTCATCACCGAGATTGTTGTTTTTTTTTTTTTTTTGTTGTTGTTGTCGTCGTCGTTGTGTTGTTCACCATCATCTCTGGGATCCATTGGTAATGATTTTGATGGACGAAGAATATTTGATTTTAATGTTTTGTTCATTTGGCCACCAAAATCATCAACAGTAGATAGATTTTTTGTTTGTCCATCACCATTGGCAATTAGTCCATTAATTGATGATTTCGATGATGATGGTGATAGTGGTTGTTGTTGTTTTTGATTGGCCAATAATAAATTAAATTTAAGTTCTTTAAATTTATTGAAAAATTGTTCAAGTTCATCACTAGATTTTGAAATTTAAAATTAGTTTTTTTTCAATAAAAGAAAAATTGATCATCAACTTACCTATTGGCAAAAACAAATTGATATAGATCGGTTTGATTTAATTTAACAAATTTTATCGTATTCAATGTTGATGTTGTCATTTTGGACCACACAATTTTACTACCACCATTATGATTAGGTAATGCCAATGGATTTTGATGAGTAAAAGATGATAATTTTGGTGATGTATCATCATTAACTATTAATGATCCAAGACTAAATTCTACACGATCCAATCTTTCGCATTCGATTACTTTGTATTTGTCTCTGTAAAAGGAACAAATTCAGAAATTGGTATGTCAAATGCACAAAAAAAACTTACTTTCGTTGTTTATAATCGGCCAACATAAGAAGATCGGTCAACAGGATTAACATTGAATTACGTGTTCTTATATCCTTCAATTCATCTGTATTCAACAGACAGATGTGTTTAGCAATTTTTATCTGTGCTTGGCGATAAATTTCCCGTCCAGTGATGACAAAATTATCATTCAGATCAAAATTAAAATTTCCTGTCAATTTTTTACGAAATTCAATCAATAATTGTAATTTCATCAATTCATTAACAGCATTATCACAACGCATCGAAAATCTGGTGGCGGATTCAAAACATTTTTCCACATCATCTTTCAATGTTTTCATCATTTGATGATCTGCAGCAACAGTGTTTGATTTGGCTTCAAATTTTTTCATACGATCCAAAATTGTTTTCAATAACAATGGATATCGTGTAATACGTTGCATTGGTGTTATAAATAATGATTGCAACATTTTAACGTCTTTCGGTATCGCTATGGCCAAGTTTTTATTTGCCATCACTGAATCACGGCCATTTTGTCCACGTATATATTCAATGTAGGGTTCAAATTTTTCATTAAAATATTGTTGAAATGTACGAAATATACGATGCATAAAAAAGTCTTCATGAAATGATCGTACAAAATCATTATATAATAATTGATTAACAACATAAAGTGGTTGTAGATTTCCAAATAAAATTTTCTGATCATAACTTGATAATATACTGGCAATGGCTGGTATACGTTTCGATAGATTCATCAGTTTCTCCAGTTGCTATTTTTATTTTATAGTGATGATAGAAACATGAGATTTTAGAACTAAATGTAAAATTTGAATCAAACAATTACATACCACTAAATAAGATTTTTCCGTTACAATCAATTCAAACATTGATTCATACATCATAATTTGTTCGGTGGTCAATGATTCCCAATCAATTTTACGTTGTCCACATGTTTTTATATAATTTAACCATGGATTGTTTGATTGAAATTTCAATATACGATTATTATCCATCATTATTAATGGAGATGATTCACTGTCATTTTCATTTTCATTCATTTTAAATACTTTACGTTGAAGATATTCATCTAATGATTCACGACGTTTATAGAAATTTTTTCGTCGCCATGATGATCGTAATGGTAGCCGTTTATTAAGATTTACAAGCTTATCATCATTATCATCAACACCGTCATCATCTTGATCGATGGCTTTTAGTCGTTCATCACCACAATCAAAATCGCAATTTGCTTCGTTGTTAATTTGTTCCATTTGATCGTGTTGATGAAATTTCAGATCATCCAATGTTAAACTAAATGCACGATTATTTGTCAAACGACAAAGTGGTGGTTTTTTACCCGTTGAATTACCAAGAATCAATACATCACCTGTTGATCGTGATCTTTCAGTTCGATTTTCTGAATTTTTTTCAACAATCGATATTTGTTCGATTTTTCTTTCATCATCATGATGCTGAGTTGTTGTTGTTGTTGATTGAATCAAATTTCGTTGTTTTTTTCTAACCAATTTTGGTTTTGATTTTATTGTTTCAATTTGTTTTAGGAATTGTTTTATGTTTTTCGTTGGTTTTATTCGATAACGATGTACACAACCAATACGATGACCACGTGTACCTACACGATGATAAACACGTAAAACAATCGATACGGTCGTTCGACTTATTCGTTGTCGTTTAGTTATTGTTGATTTTTGTAACAATGGTAATGGCTGCTGCTCATTGACCATTTGTTGTTGTTGTGATTCATGATCACCATCATCAGTATGATGATCATCATAGGGTGATGGATGGAGAAATGTTCCTTTATTATTATTATCATCATGGTCATCAATTATCGTTTCTGAATCACGTATATCCACCTTTTTCAATTCATCAATCATATTCTGAAACATATTACATAATCTATGTAAACTAGATGTGGGTGGTGCTGTTTTTTCAATTGAATCATTTCGAGATTCTGAAATTGTTGAAGCCATTTCAGCGTTTTCATTATTATTATTATCGTTGTTTTGGTTGTCGTCAATCACTTCTGGTTTCGTTTTGGATATTAAAATGTCATATCCAATCGATGATTGGCCTCCAATGATCGATGATGATTGCTTTATGGTAGTCTCATTTATCGTTGTAGAATCATTTTGTTGTTTTGATGGTGGCATTAATTCTACAACGATAATAAATATATGATGAATTGATGAATGTGACATGAGGAACAAAAACAAAAACAACAAATTTGTGTCACAAGATAAGCAATAATTTTTGTGAGAAAAGAAAAATACCTTCAATTTCATCATCATTTTGATCGTCGTCGTCGTCGTCATCATCATCATGATCGTTGGCCGTAATACCATGTGGCTGCTTGTTGGGTGTATTGGAAACCAGATTTCCGTTGTCTGAAATGAAGAAATAACGAAAAGTATTTAGAATCCATAATAAAAATTGCAACATGAATAATGCCATTCCACGCATCAATATCTTCATCGTGTGTGTGTGTGTGTTTGTGTATTGGAACCGGATGAACATAGAATTTAAAAAGGGAAAACAAAAACTTTTACGTTGTTATAGACTTTTTGTGTTTAGCAGCAACAATTAAATGTTTTACAAACTATCACTATGGAAACTTTTGGTGTGTGATTTGAAACGATGATGAAAATGATAAATGGCTACCACATTTAACAAGTCATCGAATGATGATCGTGTATGCATGTAAATATGTACAATTGGTGATGAATAACTGACTATCGATACTATCAAAAAAAATATAATTTACCATTACATTGTTGTTTTTGTTGTTGTTGTTGTTGTATATCATCGATATTTGATTCGGATTTCAAAATATTTGTTTCATCGAAATTTGCAAATAATTTTTTATACTCAGCATCATCATCATCATTGTTATCATAATTATTCATCATAATTTTTCCATCATTATTTCGTTGTTTTGGTTCGCATTTCAACAACAACAACAACGATGACGATGATGATAATGAACGTTGACATATTTTCCGTCTAAATAATAGTGATGAAGATGAATTTGTAGATTTTTGTTGTTGATGATGGCCATCACCAGTAGTATCGCCAAATTTTGTTTCGAATAAATTTACAAATTTTTTCACCGTATTCGGTTGTATACAATCCAAATCTTTACGATTACCATTTTTGTCCGTTTGTTGTTTTTGTTCATCTTGATGTTGATGTTGTCCATTTTTGATTGTTTGAAAATCATTATCAAATAATGTTTGATATTTCGACGTTGGTGATGATGTTTGTGATAACAAAAATCGTAATTTTTCCAATTCATTTCTTTGTTTTATATATTCCATTCGACTCGTGTGATCATTTTGTGAATATTTTTTAATTGATGATGATTTCTTCAATAATGATGGTGATGATGATGATGGTGAGGGCATCATAGCACAATCGATAGCATCATAGAAATTTTCTGCATTACCACCATCGCCACCATTTTGTATAGTTGAAATGCCATTCCTTTTGCCAGGATCATTATTTGAATTTTGTGAAAAAAATTCCGATTCATTCTTTACAGCAGTAGCTGTACGTAAATGTGATGACGGCGACGACGACGACGATGACGAAGCTGGTGGTGGTGATGCGTTAATTATTACCGGTGTTGGAACAATTGGACGCATTCTATTCCAGAATTTATCGACAAAATTATTCAATTTCTTTACTTTTTTCTTTTTTTTCTGATTCTTTGATAATGATTGTCGTAGTTGTTGTCGTTGCCGGTTATTGTCGTTGTCGTCGAGGTTGTTGTTGCTAGTTTTTTTCACATTTGCATCTAAATCATTGCCATCTTTATGATTATTATGATTATAATCAATTTGATTATCGTCATCATTTTGGCTTTGTAAAGCAATTACATTATTGCTCAAAATTGTTGTTTTATTATTATTATAAAATTTTTTTATTTGGCCATTATCATTGCAGTCATCGTCGTCACCGTCGTCGTCGTCGTCGAGGTAACTACTGGTTTTTTTATTCATTTTCTAGATGATTTTGTGATTAATGTGTATGCAGATGAGATGAGATTTAATTGATTTTTTTTCAGTGTTAACGGGTTGGGTTTCATTCAAGTGTACTGAGATTGTTGATTGATTGGTTTCAATTTCGATTGGTCCCGTTTGATTATAGTTTGTTTTTGTTTTCGTTGAATGCACACTTTGGATTTCACAAGAAAACAATAATAATAATGATGATGATGGGCAATCATTCAAGTCAATAATCAATCTACCATCATCATCATCAATGTGGTTTTTAAACCATAGTAACCAAATCGTTGGTTGGTTGATAATTGAAAAAATCCTTTTTTTATGATCTGATGACATGATTCCATTTCTATAGCTTTTGGTTTCTATTGGTTTTTTTTTGGATTACAGATCTAGAGAATCAGAGAGAGAAAGGAATGTCACTATGGTTTCTTGGTTTAAATCCCTTTACGGTTTTATTTTGTTTGTTGTGTTTGTGTTCTAATTTGCCATTTTACATTGAAAAAAAAAAAAACACAACAATCTTATCAGTATTTTTCGTAGACAACAACAAGTGGTTAAATCACACTGTATGCATGTGTAATAATGAAAAAGAAAACAAAATCGACAAAAGAAACAGAAAAAGAAAAGAAAATCCGATTTTTTTTTTGGCGTTTTGTCGTTTGTTTGCAGAAAAAAAATTCTTAAAATTTCTTTCTATTAAAGAGGAATGGAAAAATACGATAGCTCAAAAGTGATGGACGAATCCTTTTTATTTATCCTCGAATAATGATGATGAATAAAATGAAATTATAACAATCATCACATAATGTTATTAGCTGATATTGGGCATTGCTATTGTTTTTGTTTTTGTTTTAAATCATTGAATTCACAAAAAATTCGTGCTTTATTCGATTATGATGATGATTATAAAATCTAGCTATGTGTTATACATGGCTTGAAAAGATTATTATCAAATTTTTTTTTTGTTGGCTCTCAATGTCTTGATGTAGCCATGGAAACATCGCGTAATGATAAAAGTGTTTGTGAATACGATTCATTCATTCATTGATTCCATTGATTGATTGATTGATTGACAAGTGAATCGAAAAAGAAAAAGAAAATAAAAGAAAACCAATTCTATAGCCAATCAATAGCTTTTTCATATCGTGATTGATTATTAGATTGATTATTAAGTTGTAAACAAAAAAAAAACATTTATGGATGTTCGGAAACAAAACAACAAAAAATCAATTAATCATTTTTTTCCTTCAAGAATTTGATTCTATATTGATTTGATTAATTAATTATAATTAACCTTGATTATGTGTGTCTGATACTAAACAATCGATTGTTTGTAATCGATACCAAACATCGATTATTATTTTGACTTCATCATCAATCAATCACATTGATCTATCAAATGACATTGAATCAGAAGAGAAAAATTTTTGATTTTTGATGGACAAATCCAATTCACAAATCGAATCAAATTTACACTCAAGTCTATTTTGATGAATGTCAAAGTATGACAAAAAAATTTTTCTTCTTTTGTTTGTTTATCTCAAAATTTCATAATCATTTCATTCTGTTTGACATTCATAGGCTATTGTTGTTGATTGGCATTAAAATCATGGTCATCTATCCATTGTGTCCAAAATAAAATTTGATTGTTCAATGTTTCACCGAACAAACACTATTTACACTGGATTATATCACGAGATGAATGATCCAAATTATCCAATATAATTATAACAACAACATAATCATCATCATCATCATATAATCATCGCATCACTGGTGATCGATCGTGTTCAACTTGTCAATGGTTTTTTTATGAAAAAAAAAATCCAAATTCAATTCAATGATGATCGGATATTCCAGAAAACGGAACAATAATAAAAATTTTATTCCAGTTCTTCTTCTTCTTCAACAAACAAAAAACTGTCGAAAGTTTCACATCATTGTCATCGTCATCGTCATCATAATGTATAATTTGTTGAATATAAAGATGAAGTTTAAAACATCATGACATGAAAAAGGATCAAGGATTATCATGACCATCGTTTTTTTGTTTCTGGATGACGAAAAATTTTGTTGCAAATGGTAAGTAGAAAAGCAATTTTTTTTCCTACCTTATCATCATTGTAATTATGACACACATACGCATACACACTCATATTGATTACTGATAATTAATCTTTTCAAACTTGAAAAATATTCACTGATCAATAATTGATTAGTAGTTTGTTGGTTGATTGATTGAAATTGAATTAATTTCTCATTTTGACGATTTTGTATAGATAATTATAGTGAAAAATTAAATGGAAAGAAAGTTGGAAAATCCAACCAAAAAAAAAATAATGAACGTTTAAAAATCAACTTGTTCCATCAGAATTGATAAATATGAAAATTTATTTGGAATTTTTTTTTTCTTTCGTATTTTGAAACAAGAAAAAAAATTGATGTTGATTCCTCTGTAGATTATTAATTGATTAATTGAAATAATTTATAGAGCCAATGATGATGATGATGATAATGTTGGTTGACAAGAGATTTTTTTTTTTGTTTTAAATTAAATTTCTTAAAATTCAAGGTTTTCCACTATTCATTTGTAGAAAAGAAAACAAAACAAAAGAATCCTTGAGCATATCATCTATTTTAATTTCATTTTTTTGACTTTTTTCATTTTTCCAAACGAAAATGAGAACAAAAAGATCGTGCAAAACACACATAGCATAATATGATAATGATGATCAAATGAGAAATCATCCTGTATTCAGTGGAGAAAGAAACAAAAAACAATGAATTTCGAATGAGACTCCCACACACACAAACACACACATAGATTTGATTCATTCAACCTTAAACTTGAGAAGCAACAATTTTTTTTTGTTGTTTTCAAAAAAAAACGTCATAACCAATTTACCTGAATGATAAATTTTTGATAATTTTTGTTGACATTGATCATTTTTCATTTCGTTTTGATTTGATTGTCGTGATTTTTTTTCGTTCGTTCTTTTCAAGGTTCATTCCATAACGATCATTGTTACGACATTCCATTCATCGGATGTTCCGGTGTTTAATTTCATTTTTCATTGGAAAAATGAAATCAAGTTTTTTTTGTAGCCATTTCGATAATGGAAAATACGCTCATTAATTTTAATATAATAATTTGTGTGTTGTTGATCGAAAAAAAAGAAGGGTAGTTTTTCTGTTCAATCTATAATTAACACCTTGCAAATTCATTAAAATGTTGGCTGAAATTTTATTATAATTTTTTTTTTATTCTTGTGATGGCTGGTGATTTATAGCCATTTGTATTTCAGAAGAGATTTGATTGTTTCTTCTGAATTCGTTGCTGTTGTCTTGTTTTAGTGTGTTTATTATAACATGACCTTGAATATTTTTTTTTTTTGATTTTTTGATTTTTTTCCTCTAAATTTATTCATTTATAATCCAATAAAAAAGCTTTTTTTGTAAGTTTCAAATTTCCGTTTTTTTTCTTCTGCTTTTAGCCAATTTGAAGAAAGTTTTTTCGTTCGGTCATAATAACTATGATGATGATGGAATTTTTTTTGAAAAATACATAATTATCAGGTCTATTACATACAGACTACAAATGGTTAACCAGGTGGTTACGAAATTTTTTCGTTTTTTTCACTTTCTCTTTTTTTCTCTCTTCAAATATTTGTGTGTGAGTGTGTGTTGAATGAAAATTGAATGCATAATCACCATATTGATGATTATGGTGATCATGATCATCAATTATCAAAAATGATGATGGTCTGGATCTTTGGAAAAAAACTTGTTGAAGAGAAAGAGAGAGAGAGAGAAAAATGACAATTGATTGTCCATGATAATGAGTAGCATTAATTTGTTCAAATTTTTTTTCAATTAAAATATTGAAAAAAAATTTCAATGATAATTTAGTGAATGAGGAGAAGGAGGGGGGGAACGAAATCAAAATTGATTGCCAATTCATTATCAACCATCAGCCACCAACGATAGCAGACTATTAATGTTCATTTTTTTTTATTGCATCGTGTTTGTGTATGTGTGTGGAATTTTTTTTTTTTTTAATTTTCGTATATCCAAATAGTGATTATTATCAATTATGATTCAATGATGATGAGATTCACCGAATTTTTTTTTTTGTTTTTTTGCGAACATAAATTACCTTGGAATTTTTAATCAAAGAAATTTCCCTAGAAAAAAACGAATTTTCACACCAAATCAATTCTCTATACGTGTTCTCATCATCGTTATAATAATCTCTTCGTTGTTTTGTTTTCTGTATCCTCAGGATTTTTTTTTTGAAATGTAAATTTTGAAAAATTCAAAAAAAAATTGATTTACATTTGTTGTCTGTATTCAACCATTGATCGATTTCGTTGTCAAATTTTGTGAATATTAAAAATGCAAAAAAAATTTGACCATGGAAATTTTTGGTTTTTACTTTCATTTAAAATTAATGGATAAATTTTCTTTTTCTGGTTGATTGATTAACCCTCTTTTTTTCGTTATCATCGTAGTCGTCATAATAACTTTATCATCATTATCTAGATTTGGTAATCAAACTCGTTATTTTTTCTTGAAATATTGACATCAAACAATCGACCATCATCATCATCATCATCATCATCAATGACGGATTATTATTGTGTATTCAAAATTCGTGATCCATGATCTCTAGACACACACACACACACATTGATCATGAGCATCATTGGTGAGATAATTAAAATTGTTCTTGGATCAATATCCATGCTATTTTTGTTTGTTTGAGGAACCAAAGAACAGCATCAGAAATAGTGTTGTTCATCATCATCATCATTGATTTATTCGTGTATTCATGTTTCTCAATGTTTATTGGTCATTGTTGTTGTAGTTGTTGTTGTTGTTGTATACTTGTATACTTGGACATGAAGAGTGATGAGTGTGATGTGTTTGTGATGCGTGTTGTATGAAATGATGTGATAGATGCATTCATGTTATGTGAATCATCATCATATCTTCTTCGATGGTGATGGTGTTGTTACATTTGGTATCCACCTACAAATTCCACCGAAATTGATAATTTTGTTGCTGTTGCTTGCTTGTTTCTCCATTCGGATATGTTTGTGAGACATCTTCCTTTCCATTGATTTTTTTGAATTTCTTTTTTGAAGATTCAGAAAAAGCTATAAAAAGCAATGTTCTTTGTGAATTTTTGGATCAAACAAACAATCATCATTTGCAATTCTTGTGCGTGTGTGTTTTTGTCTTGAATTTGTTTTTGAAATTTTTTTCTTGGTGCTTTTTGTCTGAATTTTATTTCCAGGTATTTTTCAATTTTGCAATTTCTTGAAATGAAAATTTTTAAAATCGGAATTTCTTTGTTTTTGTCGTATAGAATGGGTAGAAAATTCACTGCCATTGCCTGTTTTGTCGGATTGATCGGTACGACTATCGTATTAGCATCACCACCATCAAAAGGTGGTGATGATAGTTTTGAAGATAGTGGTGAAATCATCGTTCAACAACAGAAATTAACACGTCCAAAACGTGGTGGTTATATTGAAAAACCGGCCGGTTATGGTGCAGCTGCCGGTGGCATGCGTTTCCGTGGTCCAGCTGCAATATATAGTGGTGGTGGTAAAAATATTGCCGGATATGGTGGTATGTATTCAACAGGTGGCGGTAGTTTTGGTGGAAGTGTCGTCAGTGGCAGCGGTGGTGGTTCCGTTCCTGGTCCAATGAGTCTTTATAGTTATGCACCAAGACGTGCTAATGCTGCTGTTTATGGTGGTATTTGGGGACCACAAACCAATGAAGAAGCATTGAAATTCGATAGCCATATGACACGTTCAATGATTGCTGATGCTATGGCATCAAGTGGTCGACGATTATATGCCGGACATGGTGGTCTTATACCTGCCGCTATTCAATCACGACGTAATATTCAATTTTATGATGTTCCATCAAATTTCGATGCTGCCGAACCAATCACGGTTGAAGTTGGACAATCACCAGCATCACAATTAAATATTCGTTTCAGATCTTCGTCTAGTCCATTAGCGGTGGAACAGGATCATTCACCAGCACCTGGATCAATGCGTGAAACAAGTAGTGAAGATGAACCACACATTTTACGCCATATTGTAACACGTCCGATTTTACAAGAGGTTCATGAGGTAATCAAACCATTTCGACGTGTCACCCAGGAAATTAAGCCAGTTCAAGAAGATATTGAAACCGTTGTTGCTCGAGGCGATGAAATCCAAGGAGGAGGTGCCGCTATCGGCGGAACTATACTTACCGCTGACAGTGGTGAAGTTAGTGGCGGTGTCCAATCGGCAAACATCATCACTGGTCATAGTGGATCGGCTGGTCAAGGATATGTACAAGGAATATCTACAAAACCGGCCAGCTATGGATCTGGATCATATACTAGCGGCGGTATGAGCACAGGTCATATTGGTGCTATCTATTCATCGAAGCCAAAAAGCTATGCTGGTCATGGTTTTCGACAAGCCGGTTATGGTGTTTCCGCCGGAGCCGGTTATCAAAAACATCAAATGACAGGTGGTGGTGCCGAAATGGCTCAGGTTCAAATTCCGTTTGCTCGACGTGCTGCTGCTGCTGCTGCTCGTGGTGCTAGACGTGCTTGAATAGGAAAATATATTTCCAAATCGCAAAAAAAATGATTAATCAATACCGATCTTATTTCAATTTTCTCAATTTCAATACAAGTCCTGCCATAATAATTTTCTTTGAAAAAAATAATTTCAATTCAATTTCTGCCACAAAACAATGAATAATTTAAATTTTTTTTTCTACACACACTGGCCCACCATTTACCGAATTTCATCTCATCTCTCTCTCTTTCTCTGTCTCACTGTTGAATCAACTTGTCAATTTTTTCATTAAAATATTAATTTTAATTTTAATTAATTTTAATTTTATAATTTCAAATCAATCAATAAATCAGTAATAATAATGAAATCAAATTATTTTTTATGACTGAAACTCATGTTGCCATCTAATGGCAAAGATTTTTTTTAATGACAGATTAACGACGACGACGATTACCACCTAGATTAGGTAACAATGTATCCAAGCTAGGTAATCCATTAAGATTTGGTAATGTATCTGGATCTAAAAGATTACCATTCTGAGTTAATTTTGATAATGATGGCATACTATTCACAAGATCTTGTAGTGCACCACGTTTTTTACGATTTTTTGATCCAAACAGATTACTAGTGGGAAATTTGTCAGCATCCAAAATGATACCATTTTCATCCAAATTGACAACATCTTTGATATTTGGTAAATTATCACTAGATAATTTCGGATCAGTGGAACGTTTTTTCGTCATCCAAAATGATACCATTTTCATCCAAATTGACAACATCTTTGATATTTGGTAAATTATCACTAGATCGACGACGACGACGATTTTGTAATGGAGTACCATTGGATTGTATGTCTGAATTGAAAATATTTCCATTCTGATCCAATTGTGGATCATTTTGTGTATTCGGTATATTTGGTATAGTGGAACGTTTTTTTCGTCGATTATTAGTGGGTAAATTGTCCGTATCCAAAATGTTACCATTTTCATCCAAATTGTCAATATTGTTGATATTTGGTAAATTACCATAATCACTAGATCGACGACGACGGCGATTTTGTAATGGATTATCATTGGATTGTTTGTCTGAATTAAAAATATTGCCATTCTGATCCAATTGTGGATCATTTTGTGTATTTGGTATATTCGAACGTTTTCTTCGTTGATTATTCATGTTTTGATTGTTATTGTTATTTGGAGTCAGACCATCAGTACTAATATCATCCATATCGATATTATTTGGATTCATCGTTGTTGGCATATTTTGATTGGAATTTCCACCGTTATTACCGTTGTTGTTACCGCTGTTGCCGTTATTTGGAGTCAGACCATCAGTACTAATATCATCCATATCGATATTATTTGGATTCATCGTTGTTGGCATATTTTGATTGGAATTTCCACCATTATTACCGTTGTTGTAAACCGTTGTTGCCGCCGTTCATTCCATTATTGTTATTATTATAATTTTGTTGGTTCAATTGTCCAGATTCCATCGCAATTCGTTGTGCTTTATAACGTATTTGATCAACAATACCATTCAACATTGCCATTATATTTTGATCAATACCATCTTGATGTTCTAGGTTTTGTCCAAGATTCCTCACCATATCTAAATCTTTTTGTATTTTTTGTAAACGATTTGATGCATTCGATGTTCCACCATTATTATTATTATTGTTGTTGTTGTTTCGTAATTGATTTTGCATTCGATTTACTTCCTGTTTCGTCGATTGTATATTACGATTCAACAATTGCATCAATAAATTATTGCCTTGTTGATTATCATTCTGGTTACCATTCTGTTGTATTGATGGTTGAAAGATCAATGCTATGATTGCTGTTGTGAGTGTGTGTGTAAATGTGTGTTCGATGAGAATTAGATAAATATATAAAATAATTCAGAAACAGAATATGAGAATACTTACCAAAAGTTAACAGAATTGAACGATTCATCATTGAAAAAAGTTGGAAAATACACAAGTGAAACAAATCAAGAATGAAAATTTTATCGGTTTAAATTCAATTTCATTCTTGTGGCTGTGTTTTTATACATGATTTGATTCGTTTTATCAAAAATTCAAAATCAAAATTGTACTCGAAATTTTTTTTTGACGTTTTTTGTGACCAGATGTTTTTGTCAAATGAATTTTATTTTATTTTTCTGGATTTAATGTCAAACGTCGAAATAAAAAAAAATTAAAAGGAATTTTTCATCTCACAAATCAATGTCAAAATGATTCAAGTGCAGAATTACTGTGTGTGTAGAATTTCAATAACAGATTCTCTTGTCAATGTCAAGATTATTATCATTTTTTTTCATTATTATAAAATTTGATTGATCAACTGTTGTTGTTGTTGTTGTTTTATAATCGAATTTGAAAATTTTCCAATTTTTGTATCTCAATCTCTAATGTTTGTTTTGCAATTCCCAATTGATTGGCCAATTTTTGCAACTGTCTTCTTGTGTATTCATATTGCTGTTGTTGTGGATCATCGGGAATCGTTATTTCCGACAATTTTCTATCCAAATTTTTTAATACATTCAGTATTTTTAGCAAACCACCATTTAGATATTCACGATTCTGTGATTTTAAACGTTCATTTTCAATCTGGGCCTCTTCTATTAATCCTTCAGTTATTTCTTGTAATTTTTCTTGCCATTCTTCCAGGTTCTGATGTCCATGTGTTTGTTGTTGATACGTTGTACATTGAACAATGTTTACGATAACTGTAAACGAAAAAAAAACAGAATAAAATCAAAATTTAAATTAGAGAATTTTATGGTCAATAATTCAATTTACCAAAAATGGCCAATAAAATGGATAGAATTTTTTGCATTTTCAGTAAAAAAAAACGATTGGATTTGGAACGCACACAACACGATTGATGAAGAGATAAATCGGATACAATGTTTTGCACTATTTATATCACGTTTTTTTCGGTTGTTTTTTATGATTTTAGTGTTTCTGTCAAAATATTAAAATTATGGTAATCACATAATGGAACACATTGAAAGTGATTGTCAAATTTTTTTTCGATAAAAAAAATTAATTTATTTGTATCGAAAAATTTTTTGAGTTTGAGAAACACTTTTATTTGCAATTTTTAATCAGTCATAAATATACCCATTAAAATGTTGACCATAAAAAAATACAAATTCAATCGATATTGATAAATAAAAATGATCTTTTGATTTAAATCAATCAATTGAAATCGATTTGATTGATCGATAACAATCGAAAGATTTTTTTTTAAGTAGCAGATTAATATTATTGTTGTCGTTGACATTGCCTTGGTGATTGCACTTGATTTCAATTCAATACAATTCAATTAAACTTTACCCGTTTATTGTTATTGTTGTGGTTTTAGTTTTAATGATAATTTTTTTCTTGAAATAAAAAAAAATAAATTGGGTTCATTCGTAGTTGATGTGGTGATTACGTTAATTTAGAATTTTCAAATTCAATTTGTTGATCAGCCATACAAAGAGAAAAATATTATTATCGAATGAATGGTATGCCTGCATAATATTGAATATTACATTTATTCTGGCCACGTGGTAGATAAAGAAATCCGTTGATTCCATTTTTCTCCCCAGCTATTCTTGATAATCCAATATTTTTGAGTCCAACCAACCATTACTATTGCATGATTTGGAACTTGTCCACAATAATCAAGAAATGGTCCTTTCAAATGACGCATTGATTCAGGCGCATCTATTAAAACCGATATTGGTCCATATTTTAATATTAATCGTTGAATTGATTCTTCTGTGAATCAGGTGAACATTGAAACCAACTTCGTATAGATACTGGTGACTCAGGATTGCGATTACATTGACCAGTTTGTTGTGCCAGATATGGTCGCTCTTTTTCAGTTGTTATTCCGTTTTGTTTGATAACTTTCCATGATTGGTCAATTAATGATCCACGTTGGCAAATACCATATGGTAAACAATCAAGAACTGATTGTTCACTTAAATCAATCGATTGTGGTGATAATTCGTTGTCGCCCGTGATGGATAAGATATGCACTTTCAACTGTTGCAACTGCAGAGAATACTGCACAACTACCACATTTATGTTGATGACGTATCGGCGTTACAGCGTTATGGTCAGCCCAATTATAATCCATTGGTATTTGTAGATTTGGATGCGTCGGAAATGCATTTTCAATTTTGATGATGATGATGATTTGATTTTGACGCATTGCTTTCATCATTGAATCATATAATTGATTATCCAAAAGTGATTGGAATTCTTCTGCAGACTAGAAATATTTCAATTAACCAATGGTTTAAGTCACCAAAAAGAAAATTCACTTACCAGATGTGAAATCGATGTTATGCCTAGACGAGAACGTTTTTCTTTTGGACTTTCCAAACATTTCAGAATCTCTTTAGCTAACTGCAATATATTTTTAGCCAGAATTTCGAATCGTTTCTGCAATAATTGGTGTATTTTCTGATTATCATTCAATAATTCCATTGATAATAGCTGCATTTGCTCCGGTGTATTCTATTTATTTTTTTGAAAAATATCATATATCACTACATGCTTTTAATTAATGGAAAATTGGTAAAACTTACAAAATATCCTTCGATAATCCTAATCAAATCCATATTAGTTATATTTAAATGTCGTTCTCCAAATGAACTATCATAACAATCATTCAGATCATCTGGATCAACAGCAGTCAATTGTTTGATATCATCTCGGAACCCATTATCGGATAATTGATTGAAATCCATATTTTCAATAACAGATCGTAGTGTGGAATGATAATTTTCATTATTAAGTTGTGTTCGCACCTTATAGATTGTGATGACGAGACAAAAATAGAAAAGGAGCAATGATGATCGGCATAAAGACATCCTAATGGTGATGATGATCCGATAATACATACTTTCATTCGAAGAATCACAATTTCAATGAATGGAAAAATGTTTTAATTTTCAAAACGTTTTTTTCGTTTTTCATCATTTCATCAGCGTTATGGATCAATGGAATAATTGATCAACCATTGAATAATTTGAAAATGTCATCACTCACAGATAATGTTTCAATTCAGCGAAATGTCACTGATTGGCATACCAAATCGATTTCAGTTTGAAAGACCGATTTTGGCCAGCATGTTTTGATCATCGAATGAATGGCACACCAGCATAATATTGAATGTTACATTTATTCTGGCCACGGGGTAGATAAAGAAACCCATTCAGTCCCCAGTTTTTTCCCCAGCTATTCTTAATAATCCAATATTTTTGGATCCAACCAACAATCACTACTGCGTGAGTTATTTTTTGTCCACAATAACCATGAAATGGTCCTTTCAAATGATGTAATTTACGTGCATCAATTAAAGCCGATATTGGTCCATATTGTAATATTAACCGTTGCATGTATTTTTCTGTATTTTGATAATTTTGAATCCATTTTTTCATATATATCAATGATTGTGGATTTCGATTACAATGACCAGTTTGTCTGGCTTGATATGGTCGCTCTCTTTCCGTTGATATTCCTTTTCGTTTGATAATATTCCATGACTCATCAACGTATGATCCATCTTTGCAAACACCATTTTGTAAACAGTCTAGAACTGATTGTTCACTTAGATCAATCGATTGTGGTGATATCATTCGTTTACGACCATAATGGATAAGGTAAGCACTTTCAACTGTTGCAACTGCACTAAATACTGCACAACTACCACATCGAAATTGATTACGTATAGGTGTTACAGCGTTATGGTCAGTCCAGCTATATTTCATCGGTATTTGTAGATTTGGACCCGATATTATTTCCGATGAGGAATTCTGCATGGAATCATATAATTGATCACCCAAAAGCGATTGGAATTCTTCCTCAGACTAATTTAAATTGGTTTTATAAAAAATTAATCCAATATATTCAATATGGAATACTTACCAGATGTGAAATTGATGTTATACCTAAACGGGAACGTTTTTCTTTTGGACTTTCCAAACATTTCAAAACCTCTTTAGTCAATTGCAATATATTTGTAGCCAGAATTTCCACTCGTTGCTCTAATAATTGATCTGTATGCTGATTTCCATCTGATAATTCCATTGATAATAGCTGTATTTGTTCTGGTGTATTCTATTTATTTTTTGAAACATGAGAATCACTTGATTGATTATAACTTGGTAGAACTTACAAAATATTCTTCGATAATCGTATTCAAATCCATATGAATTATATTTAGATTTCGTTCACCAAATGAACTATCATAACAATCATTCAGATCATCTGGATCAACAGTAGCCAATTGTTTGATATCATTTCGAAATTCATCATAGGATAATTGATTGAAATTTAATTTCTTAATAACCGATCGTAATGCTAAAAGATAATTTTTATCATCAAGTTGTGTTCGTACTTGATGGATTGTAATATCGAAACAAAAATATAAAAAGAACAATGATGATCGGCATAAAGACATTGTGATGGTGACTGATGTTTCAATCATATGAATGAATAAAAAAAAATCTTTCAATTTTCAACAATTTATTCAATTGGACGTTTAATATTTCAAAGCATCATCTCATTAATTTCATGGATCAATTGAATAATTGATCAATCATTTACTGATTGAAAATGTCATCACTTCAGGTTTCAATTCATTGATTCAGAAATTCATCAACAGTCTGTAGAAAAAAAAACCAAATGAATAAATCAAACAAATCAGAAATCACCATATGATCAATACCAAATGTGATAATGGCTTGATGCTCAAACGTATACGTTGATTTTTAGGTTTTTTCAAACATTTTCAATTGCATCTCATCATCAATTAATTTAAATAAATAAATTTTCGACGAAAATGTGTGTCTGTTTTTTGGTATTCTTGTCTTGCCTCTAAAACCAGGCATCAAATATAATGACAATGTTTCCGACATCTAGTGGTTGAAAAATAAATTAATAAGAAATTTTCATTTTTGCCATAAACAAAACAATGAAATGAAAAAAAAAAAATTGATCTGATTTCAGATTTCTGATTTGGATCAATGAAAAACAAATTAAACTCTGAAATTTTCAATTTTTTTTTGTTTTTAAAAAATAAAATGAAAAGGTTAATTTATTTGATAAATATCAAATACCCGCCATTCACAAAACATTAGCATATTTTCTTCTTGTTTCGTTTCATTTCAATGAATTTCAGTATCATCTAATTTCTTCGTCTTGGTGGTGGTTTTCTTTTAACAAATGGAATAACCATATATAGTTCAATGTTACATGCATTCATATATCTAGGCAAATAAAGATAACCATTCAATCCCCATCCGGTTCCCCAACTATTTTTGATAATGAAATGGTCATTAGTCCATCCGGTTATCAGTATGGCATGATTATATGTTTTATCACCACAACGCCAATTATTTGGACCACGATTATATTGAAATAATTCATCGCCAGCATCAATCACTGCCATTATTGGTCCATAATCATAAACGGCAGACATGATTGTTGCTTCCATATTGCCAGTACGTGCACAAATGTGTGCTAATGTTACATTATGTTCACTGAATGCATGATAAACACAACTTGGTAGTTTCTGGATATATATTTCAATAAAGTGATTATCGATCTCGTTTGTATTTTGAATAGAAATAAAATTCACTTACCCTTCCATAATATGGTGACGATGATTCATCAATCAGACCAACACGCGATAATTGTTTCCAAACTGTTTTTACTTGACTTCCTCTTTCACATACATCCTCTTCTATACAATCTATAATGGCTTGTTCACTAAAATCAACATCTTTTGCAGCCACTTGTCCTTCACTTAGCAAAAGATATTGAGATTCGATTGAAGCCATCAGTGCAAATATTGTACAACTATTACAATATCCTTGATCTTTGACCGAGGTGACCATTCCTTTTGCTGCCCAATCGAATGAGATGGGCAAATTAGGGTTGAAAATGTCACCACAATTACTTTGAGGTAATGTCAGTATATCTTTAGGCGGTTGTGGTTCGCTAATATGTTTCAAAATATCTGGATTTAACCGTTCTAGATATTCTTCTCTGCTCTATGGTTTATAAAGAATTTGGCTTGTGAATTAAGTCAATAACCAATAATAATTGTACATACCAAATGTGTCAATGTCGTAATGCCAACACGTGAACGTTTTTCTGGTTGTTCCAACTTTAGACACTCATTAATTATTGACATTAATTGATTCAAATTTGTTAATGTAATATCAATACGTTCTTCTGTTTGTTGCATCGTGGCCATTAATCCAGATTTTTGAATCATGGGACGAACTTCTGACGAAGTCTTTGTTGTTCATTTTTTCCATCGAAAGTTGATGATAATAGTTTAGAGAAAACAAAATTGATAAAAAAAAGATTGAATTCAATGGTAAAACTTACAAAATAATTTTCGACAATTTGTCGATGCGGCATTGTATAAAGATTCATTTGTTGACCATCAAATGTATCATCATAACAATGGACAATAAATTCCGGATCGAATAACATTGATTTTAATTCATGATCAATAGTTACTGGTTCGATATAGGTACGATTTAACACTTCCAGAAACAATGGAACAAAATCTTGTTCAACATCATTTTGTTGAGCACGAATTTTTTCGATTGAAATTGTTGAAATGATGATGAAGAAAAATAATAATCCAAATTGGTGGATCGCATTCATTTTGTATGCGAAATGTGAATTTTCAACGCAAATCAATCAATTTTTGATCAATTTTCCAAAAAAAATTCAATCGTTTTTATATGCAAAAACAAAAAAAAATTTAATGTCACACCGTGTTTTTTTCATGGTTCAACCAAAATGTTTTATTTTTTCATTCAATTCAACATTTAATGCAATCACAATGTCATGATAATATAAACAATTTTTTGAAGTTGAAAGTTGATCATCATCGCAACCAAAATCGATAATTTGTTGTCGTACATTGCTTACATGTTCAAGAAATTTATTCATTTGTCTAATGAATCCATTTTTATTACCGATTGATTGTAAATGATCAATCTCATCTTTGGCTTTCTGTATGATTTGATCTATACTTTTTATCAATGATGATGTAATTTCATCGGCATAGTTTGTATCAAGATTTTTTGTGGCATGAAAATTCCAAGTGCTCGCCAATCTTGGCTGTCGATGTAGTAATGAAAACGTTAGTTTTGATAATCTTTCAGTATTATAGGAATATCCATCGATTTTCGGTACAAGTTTGAATAGATTTCGAATCAATTTTTCCGTATCATAATGATAAACAAATTGTTTCCGATGCGTTTCACTTTTTATTTCGGATATTACAATGAATATTACTAAAAAAAACAACGAAAAAAAATAAATTGAAAATGTCGTGAATGAAGTTGTTCCACAACATACCAACAACCAGAAGAAAATGATAGTTTTTCATTTTTTGCCAATACTATTAAATATGCGTTTTTTCTGTAAAAAAAATTGAAATTTGTCAGAAACAAACAAAAAGAAGATTTCAAAGAACAAGAGCAATTTATTTTTATACTTTTACCCTTATACCTGTTGCATGCCACAACAAGTACACAACAACACGCCCCTACACAATCGAAACAATTATGTAGAAAAACAACAACAACAACATTAAATGATTGGCAAGATAAATGAAAATTATCACACACACACACACACACACATAGGATTTCATCAATTGATGAAAAAGCGTGCCTGATTATTATCTGATTTGATAAGAGAACAGTGAACACTCGCACGCAAGTAAAACTATATCCAAAATGATGATGACAATCATTTTCAACAATAAAAAAAAATCATAAGATTCTCCATCATCATCACCAATTGTGTCAAGTTCAAAGTCGAAAGTATTTGTTTTTTAACAAATACAAGTGTATATTTCATTTTTTGACAAGTGTGTGTGTGTGTGTATGCGGTTATCGTGCAACTTGACAACGATACACACCCATTAAACGAATCTACTATTGTCATCATCATTTTTTGCGATCCAATTGTCAATCAATCTCAATGATCGTAAATCAATTTTGTCGTTTGACAATTTTGTTTTTTCAATTTTTTTCACAGTTCATATATTTGCCGCTAGATGGCTGGTCATGTACCGTATTTAAATTTTTTGTTCAATCAACAATTAATTGATCAATATTGATTTTTTTTTTATTATTACATTAGAACGTAGGCAATTCTCACCTGATTGTTATTTTGAAATTTTTTTTTATCATTATCACAACACAATCTTTATCAACAATATTCAACACGTAGTTGTTATTGTAGTGATAAATTTGTTTTTCGTAGTTTTTTTACCTCGTTTGCCATGGTCATCGAAACCGATTGATTGAAAATGCAATCCATTCGTTCATTCATCATCATAAATAAAAACAAGCAGACATGATTTAGTGGAAACGAATGATAATAAGATGTTGTTTTTGCAAGTTTATTCATATTTAAATTTAAAAAAAGGAAAGGCAAAAAAAAGAAGAAATATTCTGTTTTTATTATTTATGTGTGTAAAAAGAAAGGAAAACGTTTGTCGATAAAAACAACGATGAAAATTTTTTTTTCAAGAATCTAAAATCAGTAATTCATTTGTCGATTCAATCTAAACAACAACAACCACCACAATGCTTGCAACAAATATCATTGATGTGGATTTGGAAAAGAATCCAACATCATCTTCGATAAAGAGCAACAACAACATGACCATCGACAACAAAAATCCATTGGAATATTTTAGAAAATATTTCCAATACATTTGGATCTTTGTATTTACATTGCCATTATTATTGTCTATATTTTTCCTATTATGGTAAATGATCATCAATGAATTTTCCATTGATCAAAAATAATAATTTTCAAACTGTTAATTTTTAGTTATTACATAACCGTCAAAAATGGTTTTGTATATCCATTATTTCCATATATAAGTGATACTGGTGGCCATCCACCGGTTGCCTGTTATTTTTCAATGATGATCGATATTATTGCATTGCTTGGTAAGTTGATCGGTGATTAATTGGATTCAATTCTGATTTTTGTACACGATTTCACAGTATTTATAGCTGGATTATTTCGTTATAAACAAATTGAATATTATCTTAGCAGAGAAAAAACAGCAACAATAAATGCAGAACGACAATGGTTGATTAATTTAAATTATTATTCATTAATTGCTACGTGGATTTCACCAATCGGTTTGATTATGATTGGAAATTTTCGTGAAACCGAAAATATTCATCCACATATGGCTGGTTTTCTTGTATTCTGGTTGCCAATAACTTATTATATGTTTGCAGCGATAAAAATTATTGATCATATTGATTGTGAAAGTAGTGCCATCACTATTCGTTTACAATCATGGTTATCATTGATTTCTATATCAATATTCATAATTTCAATGCCAATTTCTGGCTATCAACGTGGTAATATAATGGCAAATTTAAATAATGAAATTCGTCAACATTGGTCACCGGATGATGATGGTTATGAATGGCATATATTCGGTGCCATTTGTGAATGGATTGGCATTATTACATCATTATTATTTATTAGTTCAATAGGTTTACGTATGCGTCGATTTGAATATTGGCAACAGATTTGAATTTCTATAATTTCAATTTTTTTTTTTGACTACAATTTAGATTCAAAACAACTTGTATCGTTTGATGTGTCATTCATAATAATAATTATCATTTTTTTCCCTCAAAATAATGATAATGATGATGGTGATTATGGTGATACAAGGCCCCACACACATGCAAAATTAAAAAAAACACATTTGGAACATTTATGAATATGCCAAACACACACACACACAAAAAACATTTGTGCGAGAAGCAAAAAAACATTATGTAATAATAAAAAAAAAAAAAACAACAACAATTGATAATGATACTTGACAATGACGATGAAAACAGAAAACAAAACAGCAAACAAAAACAAAAAAAAAACATGATGATCATTTATATTACACATGTGTCATTTGTAAATGTTTTTTTTTTTTTTGTTGTTGTTGTTGTACGCGTATGTGTGTGGCTATTATTATTACAATTACAATTTATATATATTATTATTATTGTTGTAATATTTCATATATATATACTTGTATTACCACTGTTTTTTTTGTTTGTTGTTGTTCAAATTGAAAATGTACAAATTTTGTTTTTGTTCATTATATCACACACACATGTACACACATATAAAACATCGGTAAATGACAACCGATAAAAAAAATTTGTGTACAAAACGTTGATGGCTATAATAATATTGAAATAGAAACACAAATTATGCATATATTCGTTTTTCTTTGGTTTTTTCAAAAAAAAAAAAAAAAAAATGAAAATATTTTGTAATAATAATGTTACTCATCATCATTATCAGAAAAGAAAATTATTGTCATTTATTTATGTATTGTTTACTGATGGACAACGCCCGTTTGAATGAAGAAAAAAAAAATTCATATTTGTCTGTATGTATTATAATCGTGGTGGCCATTATTTATTTATTTTTTTTTTTCATTATTATTTTCATGATGATGATGATCATTGTCATTGTCATTAGAGAGAGAGAGAGAGAGAGTGTGTGTGATCAATGGAGAATGGAAAACAAGAAAAATGTTTACATGTGTACGATGTTTGTTTTTGTTTCATTTCATTTCATTTTTTTTTCTCTCAATATTTTCCTTATAGTTGACAGAATTTATGAATGTTTTTTTTTTTATTACAATGTATGTATATTGCGCGTGATCAGATAATAATAATTAGTTATATCAGTTTGTTTGTTCGAATGTATTTTTTTTTTTTGGTTTACGATTTGTTTGAGTTTACGAATTTTGAATCTCTCTCATGATCATTATTCTTTATTTATTTTCATTGTTTTTTTTTTTTTTTTTTGTTCCGTTGAACAAACATTGGCAAAACAAATTGAAAATCATTTTTCATTCAAATTATATTGAATAGAACAAATTTTTACGTTTCATTGTTGGAAATGAGAAGAAATGATTTCATCAGAAAAATGAAATAATAAAAATGATTGTCAATCATTAATCATCACTTTAGAAATTTTCAGAATCAACTATTACTCTACTGACTGTGTGTTTTCAGATACACCAATTTTTTTTTAATAATAATGATTGCCAGTAGCAGATGTTGAAAATTTGAAATTGATATAGTTTCCATTATTTTGGTTTTTGTTACACATTGCACATTACAACCTGTTGCTACCATGTACCATTGTTTTTTGGATAGCAAAAAGAAAAATATTCAATTTTATAACATCATCATCATGAAATTTGTGGATGATTCCTAGATGATGATAATGGTGACAAATAATAATTCATTCTCAAACACACAGACACATACACACACACAACAAGACATTAGTTGTTTTTTGTGTATTAAAAACATGATGATAATGATGAACAATAATCGTTAGAAAAAAAGTGAGAAAAAATTAAGATTCTCTGTGTGTGTGTGTGTTATAAAAATGAATTTTAAAAAATCGTGGATATTCCATCATCATCATCATCATCATAAATAATCATTGTGTTATCAAAAAAAAGAAAGACCACACAGGATCTCGTATTAACAGAAATCATGATCCGTATCTGTGTGTGTTTTCAAAATGAAATCAAATCATAATAGTCACATACATGAACGAACTATGAAAATAATTTCTGGTTTAACTGAAAAATTTCAAATACAACAACAACAACAACAACAAAAACAACAACGACAATCATCATCATTCGGTAACTTGGTTGGTTGGTCGGTCGGTCGGTCGGTCTGTCGGTTTTTTTCCTAGTTGTCAATATCGGTCCAATGATTTTTTTTTCTTCATTCGTTCATTTTATTTATAACCACCTTGTTGATCCATCGAAATGTCTCTTTGTTTTTTTTAAATTTTTCGTTGACACCATACAATATGTTGGCTGGTGGCCCCTTTTTTATTACATAGATCAAGTGCAACCAAAAAAAAAATGAATTAAATGATCCATGACTTTTTATTCCGAATTTAATAAGATCAGTGCTCAGTATTATCATCATCATCATAATCAATTGGTTTATCACTTGATAACACTTGTGTATGTTTGTTGAATTGAAATCTTGCCAGATCATCATAAATTGAACTTGTCATTGAATGTCATCGATGAATTTATTTCGAAAAAAATTTTAAAATGCACACCCAAACAAACACCCACCCACTCCTGGACATTAAACAAATAAACGATGATGATGATGATGATGATGATAATGACCGGATTTAATATTTGGATTTTGTTTTATTTTTCTGTTTGTTAATTCTAAACATGTAAACATTCATCTGTGAATGACCGAAGAATAAATTACTTTGTTTTATGTGTGTATGTGTATGTGTGTGTGTGTGGTAAAATTTTCTAATTTGAATGGACATTGTCATTATCGTCATCATCAAATTAACATAATGTGTGGACAAAAAAAAATGTGTGGATAAAATAATGTAAAATAATTATCAGACATTATTTCACAATTGAAAATTATCTCAAATGTTGAATAAACCGGCCAACAAACAACAAGATTGCCAAAAAAAAATCCATTTTGTTTCGTTTTACGTTTATGTAATTATTATTTCATTTTATTTTATTTTTTTTTTCATTTCTTGAATATTTAAATTTCAAATTTTTAAATTCTTTTCTTTCAACTTTTTTCTCTATTTTCATGTTTTACGGCCAAATATTGGTGACATTGTTGTTGTTGTTGTTGATGATGATGATGATGACAAAAATAATCATCATCAGGATACAACAAATGGTTTTTAGAGAGAGAGAGAGAGAGAGAGGAATATAACATTGTTGATGACAATGACAATAAATGATCAACAACAACGACAACGACTACGACAACAACCATTGATGATGATGATCATCATTATATCCATTATAATTATCATCATCATCATCATCACACACATACTTGAATACAAGTGAAAAAAAATACCTAATTCTACCTTTATGGAAATGATGATGATGATGATCATTGTGGCCATAAAAAAAATAGTTATGAACTGCAAGAAAAAAAAGCAAACGAATCGTAACGAATAATGACAACTTGATAATTGAAAAAAAAAATGAAAAATAAAAATTTCTACCTACCCATTGTATCGTCGTTGTAATTTTTTTCGGTCATCACCAAACAAACAACCGGATCAGATATGTGTGTGTGTGTGTGTGTGTGTGTGACATTGCACAGTAGCAGTGTCACACATACAAATATCCGCATTTTGATGGTGTAATAATTTTTGAAATTGAGAAAGCCGGTAGGTCGGTCATTCGTTTTTTTTCACAGCTGAAAAAAAATTGATAACAATATCTATGAACGAGGCAAGAAACTACGCATACAAAAAAAACGATAATTATCAACTTAGCCATAGGAATGATTTTATTGAATTTCTCCATTTGAATTGAATTGAATTTTCGTTTCTTTTCTTCTCGATTGATTGAAATGTGAATTGTTTTCTTCTCTTTTGTTTTGGTGTATGGTGGTGGTCATGCTTTGTTGAATGATAATGTTTTTTGCTACATTTCTTTTGATGATGGTCATCTTTTCATATTTTTGCTACAACCACGAAACAAAAAAAAATGGCTACATTGGTGATGATGATGATTATAGAAATTCTGTCCATATCGTCGAAAGTTTTTTTTCAATTGTTCCAGACAACTCTTTTTTTCTTTTTATTTCTTTCTACCTGCTTTTTTTTTTTTTTTGCTACATAATTTGTAGCCAATTATTACGAAAATATTTCAGATAGAAGAAATTCATATTCAATATTTGATGATGGTCATTTGGAATTTTTTTTTTCTCTCTCTCTCTTTCTCTCTTTCGTAATAATAATATTCTCATTCCCATCGACCAAATCATGGTAATCATACATCATTTACCTACAACAATGTTGTTCGATAACCATATGTGTGTGTTCAACGACATTGCCATCATCATCATCATCAAGACAATGGTGATTATTATGATTATGGCTAGCCGAAATATGCAAACAAACAAATGAAATGAACAAAAAAAAATTTAAATCAATTTTTTTTTCATTTTCATAATTGATTGTTCATGTTTTCCCAAAAAAAAACATTTGTTTTCGTCTCATCATGAAAGAAGAAAAAAAAGGATTATGGTGAGAAAAAAATATTCCAAAAAAAAGTTGTTTCCAAAAAAGATTCCAATACTATCATTTTATTCAGTATAAAAAAAATGAAAATTTCAACCTCATTATGTAAACGCCTGATCAGCAATTATTATTAGTCCACCAATCAATCTGTCAAAATGTGTTTGCCACAACTGTCATCACCAATAATAATGATGATGATGGTGATGATGATAATTTGTATATTTGGTCACACATTTATTTGATAAATGTTTCTTCATTTTTTGCTTTGTTTGTTCCATCAATCTATAACTGCCTGTTCTGTCTATATTTTTGGCTGCTATTGTCCAAATAATTTCATCATGTGTTGCATAGTGAGAAAAAAAGAAACGTTTAGAACACAAACACACACACACACATGTCATGTCATCATGTGTGTGTGTGATTTGCATATCCAATTTTTATTTTCTGGCATCATTATTCAATCAAAAAAAAAAATGATAAAATGGATCAACTGAAACAAAACGAGAAAAAAAATACATAGAGTGAGAGGGAAACCTGACAGATAAAAAACAAACCTAAATGTGTGATGTGTTTGTGATGGAAGGACTGATTGAATCCTGGTAGTGTAAAATGAATGAATGAATGAATGGATGAATGATTTGAGGGAAAATTGAAATTTCT